CTTGCATCAACCTTGATTGGTATTTTTAAAATTATTTTAACTTTTTAAAAAATAATCAAACATATAAAATATATTAAAGAGTGTATTATTATTAAATAAAAAATTAATCTCAAATAAAAAATTATAAAAAAATACATAATTATTATATTAAAGTTATAAAAATATAATAAATATTTCTCTTTTTAATAAAATTTTATTATTATTAACTATTTATCCTCAACTTTAAAAATATATGTTAACAAAACTTTATTATTAATAATAAAATATTATTAATATTTCTCAAAATATTAACGGACACGTTTGGAGTCCAGACATACTTTGTGGAAAGAAAAACATTTATAAATTTTATATTCGTGATTTATGTGGATCCTCTCATGTTTATAAGTAAAATTAAACTTAAGTGTAATCAGTAATTTTAGTATTGTTTTTCTAATTAAAACTAGACTGTATTTAATTATCATGTATGATAAAAGTCAACATTACAAATCCTTACATTAAATAAATTTTTTAATTATAATTAAAAATAACATTAAAAGTACTAATGCCTCCAAATTTTATTCTTACAAGCAATGTAACATATTCATATTAGTAAAAAAAATATTTTTATTAAACAATGGCCCACCTTAATTGACTGTGTTCCACTAATTAAAATTAATAAACGTTTTTTTTTTATCTACGTTGTGATATCAGGTTACGTAACGTGAGAAAATATAAATATGAATTAGATGTTTGTAATTTTTAATAATTACAGGTGCATTGTCAAACATATATATTTAAATGTAATTATTTAAATATTATAAAAAAATATCAAGAACATGTTAATTAATATTTGAGTTTTTTTTTGTTTCTATATTCTAATATATGTATAATTTTTAATTTTTTAATTATAATTACTTATGTTTAATCCCTCTAATTTTTAAATATTTAAATTAAGTTATTCAATTTAAAAATAAATTTTTTATATTTATATTTTATTTTATTTTATAATTTTTTAAATTATTGTATAAATCAATAACTATCATACATGTTTTTATTATTTATTAGATAAAATTTTAGAGTGAAGAAAATAATTTAAACATTTAAAAAACTAGAACAACTAAATATGAACGATTAAAATTAAGAAAACTAAAACTATACATACTTTAAAATATAAAAATCAAAAGTGTAATTAAACTTTAATATTTTAAAGAATTGAAATAAATATTTTACAATGCACTCAAAAATTTATAATAAAAGTATACTAGTTAATATTTTAAAACCTACCAAATAATTACACATTGAATAATTATACATTAAGAGACGAAGATAATTCAAATTAGGCTAAGTTTTGCCTAAGTAAATTAACTTATTTAATATTTTAAAGTTTAAATTAAATTTATTATCTATCGTATGTTTTTATATTAAGTTTAACATATTATTTTTAAAAGTCTAATTTAATTTATTAATATTTTTTAATCTTATATTGAGACCTTTAACAGATCATTAAACATATTTATAAATAGGTTATCAAAACATCGTATATTTTTATAAAAATATAAAATTTATATTTAAATAAGATATAAAAATATGTGTTATACAAGTATTTATTGATGATTGTTCATTTGACTTTTAAAAAATAAATGGACAAGAAATATTATATTGGCAAATTTATATTTGAAATTTGTTTGAATAAAATAATTGTTTTAATTAAAGGAAGATTTATAACAACAATTATGGGATATTCTATAAGGTAAGAGACCGACAAAAAAATGTGATTGTCATGTTAATGTGAAAGTGTGATGGTAATAAGAAATATAGTGTACAATCTGTTTATCACTATATTAATCATTTCTTCACTTTAGGTAGCAGTTTGAAACTATGTCTATTAGAAACCTTATGCAAAGAAGATAGTAGTATTTGTTTGATGTTTTCTAATAAATCTCGTTATTGAAAGTGACTTGCAACTAGGTCGTTTAGTATGATCAATTGTATATATGAATTTAATAGATTATCCCTTAACTACATTATTAATTCTCCCTCAATTTGTAACATGTTATAATATTCTTTATACTTTAAATTTGTTCTTAATAAAATAATATTTTTAAAAAGAATAGTTTCACATATTAAATATTTATAATACAATTACATATTATTATTTATCATTCTTAAATTATATATTTAATTTAAATAAATAAATTACTAAAAAAAATGTAAATTAGTATTTATATGCAAGATATATCAAATAACAATAACACAAAAGAGTATAATAAACAACATTTTCTTTTTTATAGATACGTAGTAAAAATACTTTTTAAATTCAACAAAATATTAGTATTTTTAATTTAAGATGTTATTTATGTTAAATTTTAATTTATTTAATATATTATTATAATTTTTAAAAAAATTTAATTATGTTATTATATCAATTATAATAATTTTTTTAAATTTAAAATTAACTTATTTAATTAATTAAATATTTTAAAAAATTTATACTAAAACTATTATTTAAATAAGTTATGTTAAAGTAGACTTTAAAAAATTTAAGTTGTAGTTTTCAATCAAATAACACGTTTTTATTCTTATATTCAATGAAATTTTATTAACTTACTTTAAAAAACAATCTTTCTTATAATAATATTTATGTTGCTATTAATTGGATTTCACTACCAAATATTTTTAGTGTTTTGACTTAAACATTTTAAAATGAAATGTTAATATTAAAAACTATGATTAAAAACCACACAACACATGCATTAATGAATTTTTTAATATTTAAAAAAGTTATTTAAGGCACTTCTGTAATTGGCTTTCAAACATTTGAAGTATACGACATGTTGAGGAAGAAAACATTTGTGAAAAAAAATTTGAAAAGTGAATCTTTAAGGAATGTAAAAAAATTTATAAATGTTATCTATAATTTTCACGCTCATATTATGTACGTCTATGTATGTACATGCAATTCTTTTAAATGCTTTAAAATATTTTATCGAGAACATATCATTTAACATTTTAAAAATATTATGAGTTAAATCTTTATAATATATTATTTAAGACAAATTACAAAAAGAAAAACACATACCGGTCAATATTCTAAATTATATCATGAACTTAAATAACACATCATTCTCGTATATCTCTATATATAATGTATTTTATACGTCCACGTACTGCGTATGATCATCTGTATGAAAAGAATTGTGTGTTGAGTAACTATGGAAATAATAATATTAGTCAATATTCATATTCACATTTGTCTCGCAAGCAATTTTCGTCTCCTTTTCAAGCTGACGATATGTTATTTACACTATTATTTAATTATAAATTATTATGCAAGTAAAAATTATTATTATTCATTTAATATAATATTATACATATTATGTTTTATAATTAGTCGGTAATAAATAAATATATCAATAATATATTAAAATCAAATTTTATTATTTTTGGTTTAAAAAACTTCTCCCTTTTCTTGTAAATTAACTCACGAATTGGATAGTAAATTAGAAATAAAAAGGAAAGCAACATCCCACTCTCACGTGTCAGAAGTTCATATTAAATTTTATCCATGTTAGCAACCGCGTCAAAACAAAAAGGAAATTATCTTGAATTGGACTGTTATGAATTGGATATTGTATTTTAATAGCTTTTTATTGTCATGTAAAAATGTTTATCATTTTTATTTAATTATTATTATTATCATTAATTTAACTAGTCAATAAAAAAATTATAAATTTTGTTTAACAAGTGTGGCAATAGATAATTTACGGTGGTAGTAAACTCAATCCTTTAAGTTTAGTTTGGAAATGTTCAAAAGATTAATAAAATAGTCTATGATTGTTATAGTTTGTTTCAGTCTATTTTAATAAGATATTCAATATAATTTATTTGAATAAACTATTTTTTAAAATATTATAGTCAAATATAGAATATAAGAACTTGTGTAATAAAAGTTTACTTAATATACACTTAATTAAATTATATTATATTTCTAAACATACACCCTTAGTCGTAGATAGAAACCTCTTTTAGAGATTTTTTTTATACTCTTTATAAGTTATTTTTGGGCATTAATTATTTTTTATAAAAATATCTTCAATAAAACAAACTATTCAGTTAGGTAAAAAAATATATATATAAGACAACGTGTCTCAATGATTATATATATTTCTCACGAAGTAATTAAAAAAATACAAGACAAATTGCTGATAAATACAACATGATTAATAAAATTAAATATACTTCATATTTTTCCAAGAAGTAATTAAAAAGATCTTATATCTTTTTTACCAAAGGCAGTATTTTATAAATATAATTATAAAATTTTATTTAAAATAAAAAAACATTAAACTTTATAATTAATTTTAAGCAACCAAAAACGATAAATTTATATTAAAAAATTACATCAAATATAAAAAATTATAATATTTTTTAAATAAAAAATATTATTTTTGAAAACTTAAGATTAAATTAAAGGTTTAGATTAAAAAATCTATTAAAATTATAATAGTCAAATAGTTAATGTTATTTTTAATTAGTTTTTTTTTTTTTTTTGCAATATTAACATAAAAAATTTTACTCTATCAATTAATAATAGTATATCATGAATATATTTTGTATAATAAATTATCAAAAAATTATAATTAGGTAACAATGTAAACAATATTTATAAATAATATTTAAATTAAACTTTTAATTATTAGTTATAAGTGTAACTTACTTTTATTAACAAAAAGTTAGCAAATCCTAAAATTAAATTTCTAGACTTATCCTTTTTTATTTTCATTTAATAAATAAAAAACAACGAAATAAATAATCACACCAAAATAAAGTATTACTTTTTCATCAATAAATAACGTTCCATGCTAATAACTTCTGATTTTATTTAAGGGATAAAATTTTGGCATTTTTTGGAGAGGAAAGGGGCAGTTCCGTTCCGCAGTTAAGTGATTCGGTAAAGAAAAAACAATCATTCTCCAAATCGGATCAATTCCCGTTCATCTCTCTCTTCAATTTAACTCAAAAACCAAAGCTTGGTTCCGTTTTCCTCTTCACTCAAATGGCGAGTGCGATGAAGAAGGTCGACAAGATTCGCCAAATCGTGCGTCTAAAACAGCTCATGTCGCGGTGGAAGCACATCAGCCTCCGCCGCCGCCCCGACGCCACCACTCGCCGTCCACCTCCGGGGTTCCTCTTCGTCTACGTGGGAGCGGAACGGATGCGTTTTGCCATTCCCGCACGTTTCCTTAATCTCCCCGTGTTTCACGGCCTCCTTAAACAGACCGAAGAAGAGTTCGGTCTCCGAGGTAACGGTGGGTTGCTCCTCCCTTGTCAAGTCCCTTTCTTCTCCCACATCGTTAACTACCTCCACAAAGACGAACACAAGTACGGAAAACTCTCACTCCAAGACTTCGTTCATCTCGTTTCTCACCTTGACGCCGCTTCTTGCAAGGAAAACGTCGTCGTTTTTGCTCCTCTGCTCCAAAAAGCAGAAGTTTGAGATTGCCCTGTTTTCGTTGATTTGTATATGAACCCAGGATGGGTTTTTGGTTCTATTCATCCTTGAAACCCATTCCCTTTAATTTTCACTGGGTGGGGTTTCAATGAGATGTTTTTGAACTTGTCCTTCCTTAAGCTTTCTTTTCTAGATTGGGTTGTCTTTTACTATTTGTTATAATGGATGCCCAATACTTTTTTTTCTGTTTATCACCATGATCGAATTTTAGTGATCAATGAAGAATTTTATGGTTAATCATAGCTTTCGATCTGTGTTATACTCGTCATATATCACTGTGCTCTTTCTGCTATTAGCAACTCAAATCTTAAGTGCATTTTGAAATCGGAAGAGGTAGAACTTTAAGGTTTACTTTAATGGGTAAATTAAAATTAAAATGAGCTGTATTAGAAGCCTAATCTATATTATATGATATGACATTTGGTATCCTTCAAAAAAAATTGAAAAGAATCTATATGATATTTGGGCAACTAGAGCCAATTTCGTGTTTTTTAACACTACTGACCGGATTTGTTTTCATGCTTATAGTATTCTCTAAACATGTACAAAGAGATTCTGTAAATTTTTTCTGGTTGAATTTTAGCAGGGGAATCTCGTTTTTCTTTTGTGTTTTCTAATTTTGGAATTGCATTTTGCTTTCCCCATCTTAAGCCTTTTTAACTTTACCGAAAGATTCCGCACATGTCAACAAAACACCGATACATTTTCTTTAGAAGGGAAATGTTGGGCATGTGTCAATCGTTGGCTTGAGAGATTCCAATGATCTTTCTAGTTTTAATAAAGGTGTTTTGTTCTGCTTTTAATCCTTAACTTATATTGATCGGATTCCAATGAAGCTTTCCCACATGAGCACGGGTGATATATTTGATCAGATTCTCATTCTTTTGTTTGGCTCCTGCAAATTTGTTGTTTATCTTTGCAAAAAATAGCGGTATGGATTTCGATACGGTTCTGAATTGAAACCCTGAAATTTTCAAATTTATCAGTGGGACCTGTAATTATTGCTTGCGTGATCTCTTCTTTCTCATCTATGATTTATGGTTATTATGATCAAGTTGCAAAGCATATGCCATTTGGAATCGAGTATATCTTACTAAATAAATTCTGAATGTAGCTTGAAATCGTGCATTATTTTATCAAATATAGCATCATATTTTTCTCAACTATCATCTTAATAAACAATAATTAAATATTCAGACCATTCAGTAAATAAAAAACATTTTAAGAGGATGAGTTGCGGTCGTATTGAATTATTATTTTTTATATCTAACATCCGATCTTATTCCAGTTCCTAATATGAATATCAAATAGAATACTTCAATAATAAAAACATTTTAAAGAATATATTAATAACATTGCTGTTTCTAACAATAACTTCCTTTTGGAGAGTCAAATAAAAGAAAATAATTTATTCGTAAAGATTATCAATTAAACCTTATTAATATTCTCATGTTCACGTCTTAGTTTATAAATCATTTGTATCTTTTAATTTTCATTTTTAATTAAATTAATCATATATCCAAACTCGCGTTCCATAGTTATGAAAGAAACGTCTAAAGTGAGAACACTACTCTATATAGCATTTAAACGAATTACATTCAATATACAAAAACGTAAAATAAAAGATACTTGAAACTAAATATGCTAAAAAGTGGTCCCTGCCATGCAAAATACAATCAAAAGTCAAATATTGCTGTATCACTTCCCAATAGCATTGCGTATATTAAAATGTTTGTATATATATCTTGTTTGGATATATAAAAATGAAATAAGATAAATAATACTACTTTATTATTGTTTATATGCACTTTGATTTTCTAACAAAAAGTTTAGGCTCAAGAACCGTAGCGACGCTCTTCCTGCAAATAATAAATACAAGCCAGAATGACACTTGATGGTACCCACACGTACGTAAGTCGTTGTCATCATGGTGACAATTTGGGTTCTCGGCTCAGGGCCAACAACAGGACATTGATCCTTATACAAATGAAAGATTTAAAGAGAAGGGGACATCATCATTATATTGTTTCTAAGAAATTCATTTTTAAAATCGTATTTATATTTTTTATAAATGTAATTAATAGAGTTAGTTAAAGCTTAATGTGTAATACAGAGTTATATATATTAATCAAATTAACTTTTGATTAAGATCACGAGTATTCTATCTATAAATAACTTCAATAAAAAAATATTTTCGAACGTTCAAAGTTATTTTTTAAAATTAGTATTACTTATTTTATTTAAAGGATTAAAATTCGTGCTAACCAAAAATCAAACACATTACTGTAGTATTTATTAGTTGGCTGAAAAATTAAAAAGCTAGGAAAGAAAAGAAAAAGTTAGCACACAGCAGAGCAGAAGTTATCGGAGAGCGCCGTAGTACTTTCCCGTATGCATGCGGAAACCGATAAAGTGACAATTCTCTCCTCTTTCATCACATGGATTCATAATAGCATAATCTTTATTTGTTGGGTTCTTTCGCAATGACAAAAATGATAGCATTTTTATATTATTGTTGTGCAATGGTTTTCTATGAAATGAATTAAATTTAATGTAGCACCACTTATCCTTTTTCTTCTATTGGAGCGCATCAGGCACAGGCATATATTATCCCTATTAGATATGATGCAGTTAAAAGCAATTGGAGTTTATCTCAATTTACTGGTCAAGTCTTCTGAGTCACTCCACATGGCTCTGATGCAGATTAGTCACTAACCACTCACCAGACAGTAGACCCGTGATTTCTTGACCCACTCTTCTGTTTAAAAGTGACTTTCCGTTGCTTAAACCTCACTTTCTTTTCGCAAGTTACGGATCCTCAACCGCAAATCACTCTATTACCCCCCACGATCTCTCTTAACACTTACGATTAAACATTCAAATTTTGACCATGTAAACAGATTTATTCGTTGCAAACACAAAAAAATTATTCACGTGACATTTTCTATCTCTGATTTGATTTGGATACAAAGGATCCTTTTTTTCGACAATAAGATTTACTATACTTAATATATTTAATTTGTGTTTTTTATAACACAAAAGGAATCATAAAAAAAACTCTAAATCCAATAACCACGTTTATTAGTATTCATTATTATGTATTTAAAAAAATTAAGTACATTCTATTAAATAATTTTAATTGCAATAAGAAAATAGGGTCTTTACTTTTTTATTTGAAAAAATAAATATTATTATTTTTAAATGTGGGTTGAAGAAACGTTTATTTTAGAAAAAAGAGAAAAGTGCAATAGCATGCAGTACAGTATAGTTTTCAGCAGAAGGAGGACGGAGCAAGCAGAACGCAGAGGTAAGTGTCGGGTAAAATATGGAACCACGCGACCAACTACAGATTCGTTCACTTCAGTGGATCAAAGCTGTCAGCACGTTAAACCGTTGACCCACTCTCTTAATGATACGTGCTATGTACGTCCACATCCAGAGTGGGTTGTCTCTGCAGCACGCTCCTCTGCGCGTGAGGATCAGAGACCTGCACCCGGATCAGTAGCCTACAACAGCGAGACGCAATCTTGGTGGTTTTTACCGTTTGCTATATCAGAGAATAGCTAGGACTATGATCCAACGGTAGGGGAAGCTTGACCCTGTTTCAGTTTTCGAGCTTTGCTCCATTCAGTCATCGTCCTCGTCGGTTAGCTCAATTCATAAAATGCTAGGTTTGAATATTCATATAATAAAAATGTATCATTAAAAAAATAAAACTATATTCTCTTTAATACGTAGAAACGTATTAGGATCATATTGAGTATAAATTACAAGATTACAAAAGTTTTACTCAAGATATTAAATAACTTGTACTCATTTTAGTTTAGTTATGTATACAGGATTGAATTAAAATTAAGAGTTTTGTTAAGCTCATTCTTTATAAATAGTAAATAACAATAAAATTTTATTAGAGAAAAAAATATTTATTATATTTTTATAATTTTAATACAATAATTATATATTTTATTATAATTTTTTTATTTGTGAATGATTAAATTTAATCTTAAAAATTGAAATTAACAAAATTTTAAAATTAAAATTATATAGAGTTTTATTAATTAAAAAAGTCTGAAATAAACAAATTTAACAAATACGTATTAAATTATACAATTATATTGTATGTTGCAAAAAATAAAAATCAAATATTTTATTAAAACAGTGAAAGAGAAGGGGATGGAATCCATCTTTGCCCCTTACCCCAATTTGCCTCTTTTGTGGTTTACTAGCTCCCTAATTAATGCACTAAAAAAAATCCCAATCAACGGAATATAATATCTGGTTATTTTGCTTCGTGTTATTTATTAGACAATTATAATTCAATATTTTTTATTTTCATCTTATAAATAAACAATTAAATATACATTTTAAAAATATTTAATAAAATAAATAATAATGCAAATATCACCCTTTAAGTAAGAAACGAGTTTTAGAATATAAAATGAAACCGGGTTTCATTAAACATTTTCATATAATTAATATGAGATAATGGTTAATAAATTAAAACTATTAAAAAGAAAAACAATGTATTTTTTATATACTTTACATGACTTCATTTTTAAAATTTATTAGTTTTCTAATGAATACTTAAACAAATTATCTATTTTAAATTAAGTGTTATTTTAGTAATTTATAAATTAAATTATGTTTTTAAATTTTAAACGAATCATTAAATTTTTTTTTCCTAATTTTACCTCTAATAAATAGCAAATATACAATTTTTTAGCATTGTGTTAGTTACATTCTCAGTAAAAAATAAAATAATATTTTATAAGACACATAAAACATTAGATATAACAATTTTTTTTATTAAAAAACACATAATTCAGTTTATTAGTAATATTAAATGTTATAAAATTTAATAAACATATATTTATTAATTTGTTAATATAATTTTGTACATATATATAAAAATTCATAAAATAGTCAATAAAATTAATTTAGCAAGACAATTAATTGGTTAAAATATATACTATTTTTTTATTGTTATTATACAAAGCTTTAATCGATGATAAGTATAACTATTATATACAAAAAAGAATAATAAATAATAATTTTTTTATAAATTATAAATTTAATATAGAGAGAACAATTAACAAGACTCAATTAAAAAAATATTATATATTATCGGATTTTTGTTGTTTTCAAGAAAAAGGAAAAAAAAGGGGAGTAAGTTTGGTCGTGCATTTTCTAGTTTAAGAAATGTAGAACTGGACAACACATTGAAAACGTATTAAAAGATCAAAATTTCAAATTGAAGTTCACTCTCTCAATCATCCAACTTTGTCAAATGGATTCGTGGAGAGTCAGAGAAAGTGAGCCCATTTTGGTGCACCTTAAACATAAGTTCCTTCAGGTCCTTTTCTTCGTCCCTTAAAGGAGTATTAAAGAGGGTGTTTATTTTTGGCCCAATACGAAATAAATGGGCTTGGACTATATTAGAAAACCACGTAAGGATCAAAACCAGCAAAAGACGAGGACATTTGGGCATCCAAGTGCAATCAGCAAAAGCAATATAGCATGATGACAACATAGAAAAGAGATGAATCGTGAATCGTGAAACGTGAGAAAATGGTTACTCATAGAAAGAATAATTAAAACGATTAATAAATTAACGGTTGCAAAGAAAGCGCGAAGACATGGTTTGTCTGAATTGAAAAAGTGTGAAATATGCGTTAATAGAGAATGCGTTTGATTGAAGAAATTATGATGATATATTGACAAGTGTGTATGGAGTCCACAGCAACACCAATGCCAATGGCGTGCTTCTCTCCACCACGCTCCCTCGTTCTCTCTTCTCCCAATCTCACTCTTCTCTCTCACTCTCATCCTCAATGCGCTGTTCGAGTTTCTCTCAACAAAAGCCTCTCCCAACACATCGTTCATTCCACAACCAAGATTTCCGCTACTGCCAATGCCAATGGCTTTCAGACCGAAACTGCGGTCGTCGATAAGCCTCAGTTAGGTCGCTTCCAAGTTTCCAGGGGCTACCCCTCCCCCTTCGGTGCCACTGCTCGAGACGGTGGGGTCAATTTTGTCATTTCATCTCTCAATGCACTCTCAGCTACTCTCTGTTTGTTCACTCTTTCTGATTTTCATCAAGTGAGCCCTTCCTTTATTACTGCAAATCCAAAGTCTTTTTTTATAAGTTCTGGAAACATTGTTAATTATAATTTGGTAACTTTTTTCTCATAGTTTCTGGTAGTGACAATTTCGGTTTATTTTTTGCAGAATAAAGTGACAGAGTTTGTTGCTCTTGATCCGTTGGTTAATAGGACTGGGGCTGTTTGGCATGTATTCTTGAAAGGAGATTTTAAGGATATGCTTTATGGATATAAATTTGATGGCAAGTTTTCTCCTCAAGAGGGACATTACTATGACTCTTCTCGTATACTATTGGACCCTTATGCAAAAGTTAGTGCCTCTGCTCCCTTCTTCTTTATTTTTGATTTATAATTTTTTTTTAATTTAATCTCTATTAAATTGCAGTGTACCTTAGTAATAATATGCTAATCACTATTTGTCTAGGCAGTTATAAGCAGAGGGGAATACGGGGCTCTAGGACCTGATGGTAACTGCTGGCCCCAGATGGCTGGCATGGTACCTTCTGATGATGATGAGGTACTTTGGTTGATTTTAATGGTTTTATTTGAACTTTTTGAAAACTCTGTTTCACTTTTTATTGCTGTTATGCAACTTGTTTAGTATGACTGGGAAGGAGATTTGCCCTTGAAGTATCCACAAAAGGATCTTGTTATATATGAAATGCATGTGCGAGGCTTCACAAAACATGAGTCAAGCAACACCAAGTTCCCTGGTACATATCTTGGTGTGGTGGAGAAGCTTGACCACTTAAAGGTGAAGTTTCTGATCTGTTTCTAAAATGATTTAGAGTGTTCCTTGTGACATTTGTACAATGGCTATTATGTGAAAACAGTTCCATATATATATATATATATTTTAAATTTGTTTCTTTGGTGAAATTTTTTTTGATTTCTATGGTGTGGATTGTAAAAGAAATTTGTCAAAAGAGGAAAAGTACATCACATAGAAGAAGATAATTTGTGTTCCCCACCAATCCTTTGTTGTATCTTTATGAGGTACAAGATAGAATTTGAATATAAATACCTCTAGCATCTCTTAGACAGGAACAACATTAAATTATCAAAAAGATTGTACACTTCTGAATCTAATTGTAATGAAATTCTCAATGGTACAAGAAAGGCTCTGCATGCCTTCATCTAAGGTAAAGACATTAATTTTTAAGTGAGACATCACAAGTTCACAACGCATGATTGTAAATGAACTTGATGGAGTCAGGAGACTTTGGGCTGATGCGTTTTGTTATTGTTGGATCAAAATTCTCCCATACTGAAAATTTAAGGTCTGTAGAATTGTTCATCATCCATACAATTCTTCCATGCTGTTGGATCTATAATATTTGTTTTTCGCAATGGGCTAGCACATTACTTGTTTTGCCACTGTATTGCATTACTGCATATGAATGCATAAATTGTTAGCTGATCCATAATTAAACTATTCTTATTTGGCATTATTCATTTTGCAGGAACTTGGAGTAAATTGCATAGAATTAATGCCATGTCATGAATTCAATGAGCTGGAATACTTCAGTTACAATTCTGTACAAGGAGACCATAGGTTAGTCATTTGCTGATGAAATACATATTATTTTTATCATTAACTTCTAGTTATATTTGAATCTTCAAGTCAAATTCTAGTCAAAGCTTGCTATTTGTTAGAATCTTTGAGATAGCTTTTTAACCCCTGATGCCTTGCACCTTGCAAAGTACTATGCCAGTATTTCATAACTTTCCTTCCAATCTTATAACTTAATTAGATCAACTCACGATCTCATTGGATGTTTCTGCATTTGTGGCACTTTACAATTCTTATTTTGGCTTCTCTTCAATTTTTTCTTAATTATATGATAATACTATGTCTTTCTTTCAGGGTCAATTTTTGGGGATATTCAACCATCAATTACTTTTCCCCAATGATCAGATACTCATCTGCTGGCATAAGAAACTGTGGCCATGACTGTATTAATGAAATTAAATTCCTGATCAAAGAGGCACACAAACGAGGAATAGAGGTGACTAGAAATTCATATAATTTCACTTTATCAATTGTCTTTTGCATCTTCTTTTTTATTTTATAAATTCAATTATAATTTCATTGCTATATACTGGCTCAGGTTATCATGGATGTTGTTTTCAATCATACAGCTGAAGGGAATGAGAATGGTCCCATTATTTCCTTCAGAGGTGTTGACAACAGTATCTATTACATGTTAGCTCCCAAGGTGAGCAAAATATTTTTTCTGTTTGTTTCAGCTAGTTATTTGGAAATTTTGAAGCCTTGTAGTAACTCAAATAGTGGTTAGTCTGTGATCACTTATTATCTTAATCACCTGAATGATTAACTGTTTCTAAACTGGAAATATTTACCAAAAGTTGCTTTTTCTAATTTCCAAATGTTATATGCTATATATCGTTTCTCCAAAAATATTTTAATTTAATAGAAAAGAAACATTTGAAATGGAGATTTGTATTGGTTCATTCTAGTTTATTTTCTCATTTATTTGAGTTCTGCTTCAGAGTTTGTATTCCTGATTTGGGAGTTTGTTCTCATTTAGTGATTATTGATTAAACATGCTAATTCTAGATCCAAAAAGTAGGTCACTGCATTAAGCATACAGAAGTAACTGGACACCACAAGATTCAGAGTTCCAAACTTAAATGAAAAAGGGAGTTATTAGAGATTGCTGCCTACATCCTATATATTTTGTTTCTTTTGCAAGTTATTAATTTCTAATTTCCAGCATGACATCAGCTCAGGATCATTGTTAGTTATTATCCGGTGAACCAGAAGTATTTGTCCACTGACATAAAATAAAACGCGCCTATTTTGTTTTTAAAATCTAAATCTTTACTTCTTAAGGATTGTTGTTATTTTGCAGATAGGGTTTTAAGGCTCTACGACTATTTTCAAATTTATTTTAATTTATACTTGTAAGTTTTGCTACTTCTAAATCATGGATAATGCCAACAAAACCCCGCTTTCATGATTTTTAGGGGGAGTTCTATAACTATTCAGGATGCGGGAACACATTCAATTGCAACCATCCAGTTGTACGACAATTTATAGTGGACTGCTTAAGGTATGCTTACAATGATTATAAGTGGCATGATTTTATGAAATTTATTTCTCACCTTTTTTAAAAATTATTTTAATCCTCTTTTTGGATATTTTCTCCCTCAATTGTTAATTGAAATCAGTTATTAAAAGATTGTTGAATTTCATGGACATGGGCATTTACATGCTTGTATAGTTGGCCATATTCTAACATAATTTATCTTAAAAACATGCCTATTACTCCTTTATATTTATAATTCTTAATTGTATATTCTTTAAGTTTATTGCAGTCTGGTCAAAAATTTGTTTCAATTGTTATTTACTACGGGGTTACAAGTTGCTACCATATGGGATTGAAGGTCTTAATTTTTTTTCTCTTGTGCAACAGATATTGGGTAACAGAAATGCATGTGGATGGTTTTCGCTTCGATCTTGCTTCTATTATGACCAGGAGTAGCAGGTTATATAGCATATAGTGCCCTGTCACTCAAATTTTTCCAGAGACATGCATCTTATTTACTGTGGTCGTATTTCCTTTCCTTGGTTGTTACCAGTCTCTGGGATGGAGCTAATGTATTTGGTGCTCCAATAGAAGGTGATTTGCTGACAACTGGAACCCCTCTAGGCAGCCCCCCATTGGTTGACTTAATCAGTAACGATCCTATACTTCGTGGAGTGAAGGTTTTTCAACTTAATTCTTTTAAATCAATGGTGAAGCTTTATTTGTTATTAACTTATTAGTTTAGGGATGTACACTGTATCCTTATAGAGATAGTTCTACATTTTCTAATCATTTTCAAAGGATATTCAAGTGACTTTTAGAATGAAGGAATATTTTTATGGTAATTTTTATGAAATAAACATATTCCACCAAAATAATAGTGCAAATTTTGTTGGAAATGGGGATCTTCTGTGAGTTAAACAGGATTGTACATATAAATCTTTCCACATATATGGTTTGTCTGTTTACCTGGAATACAAAGGGGTTTATAAAAAGCCTATGAAGTTAGTTTTCTGCTGATATATAAATTTGGCTAGATTTTGTGGCCATATAAAAAGCCTATGGTCTTTATGATTAGATTGTGTGATTAATATAAATTGTTTTCAGTGAAACAATGAAAAAAGTAGGCGTTGTCAAGGGGTAGTGGAAAATACAAGGAATAAGGTTGACTTAAGAGAACAGTATGGGAAACAGCATAATCATTTTGATTTTGAAAAAAATCACAAGTACCTCGAACACTTGGTAAAGAAATTTTTAAAATTTTAAACTATTTAATTTCAATGTTTGCTTAAAGATTCCATTGATCTTAATAGATGTATATGGATTATTAAATAATTTAAAAAGATGGACTAAATTGGGTCATAGAAGTTACTTAGGTAATCAAGCATTTGTTTGCAATAAGCACTTACTGTTTGCAGTTATTTTCTTATCCTTTGGAACTTGGATAGTCACAAGTAAAAGTCCTTTGATCTACATTGATGTATATGGCTGATTGAATAATTTAAAAAGATGAGCTAAACTAGATTGTAGAAGTTATTAAGGTGATAGAACTGTCATTTGTAATAGGTGCTACTGGGATTGGTGTTTATTACCTTATCTCACATTTGGAACTTGAATATTCACGAGTAAAAGGTGTCTTTTTAAGGTACTGTTTTCTTCTAGGTGCTGTTTACTCTCTTGCCTCACCTAGGTTGAGTGCCTAACGCCAGTTGTCAGCTTGACTTGGACTTCCCTTAAAGTATTTTGATTAGTCATTATATTCATTATGTTTATATAGATTACCTTTTTACTCATTTGTAAGCAGTTAGCTAATATGCGAAGTTTCTTAATTTCCTCGTATAGCTTATAGCTGAAGCGTGGGATGCTGGAGGCCTTTATCAAGTTGGCTCTTTCCCTCACTGGGGTATTTGGTCAGAATGGAATGGGAAGGTCAGTGCAGACATTACTGTTGGATTCATAACCCCATTATCATGCCATGATTAGATGTTGTGATAGCACAGCTTGAAATGGAACTCTGTTTTAGAAAGAGAACTCGATAACACAACACTAAAATATATTGCCTCAGGTCTACATCAGAAGTATCCTGACTAACCTTGTATCATAGTTAAGCACAAGTGTTGGAATAATTGCATCAGGTTTCATTTTTATTGAGAATAACTTGATACTGAAAATTTAACCAAAAGTCTACGGACTGTTTACCTTTGACTAAGAGCCTTTTTCTATCCTCTAGATGTTCCCCCCAACCCCCAATGTTGGTTCTTTACTTTCTGTGTCCGTAAATACCTTTAACCAAATACTGGCTGTTGCATACTCCCGGATTTTCTAATGATAAAATGATCTGCAAAATTGTGTATTAAAACAGCATTTGTGGGTGATGTGTTTGAACTATTTAATGTGCAATTCTTGCATTTTGCAGTACAGAGACACAGTGCGCCAGTTTATCAAGGGTACTGATGGCTTTGCTGGAGCATTTGCTGAATGCCTTTGTGGGAGTCCTAATTTATATCAGGTTTGTCTGCTGTCTCATGTGAACTACAATAATAGTTCCTTTGTATTAGACTCCCACATCTATTCTAATATGTTATTGCTATCACTATCAATGTCATAATCATTATAGTTTCTTACACATTAAACATCCTATTTGGCTGTCTTTGAACTTGCTTAATACATATTTTATTCTCAGGATATCAGTATTTACTTAAGCTAAATTTTGTTGCTATCATCTTTTCTTCTATGTTGTTTTTTTTCGTGTAGTGGACATTACATTATATCTTTGGCACAGGGAGGAGGAAGGAAACCATGGAATAGTATTAACTTTGTCTGTGCTCATGATGGGTTCACGCTAGCCGATTTAGTGACTTATAACAATAAGCATAACTTGCCAAATGGAGAAGACAATAACGATGGAGAAAATCATAATAATAGCTGGAACTGTGGACAGGTAGATGTTTAGAATCTTTATCTGTGTGAAGTCAAATGAGTTAACACGACCTTTTATTAAATGTTAATTCCATTTCTCTAACTAATGTAGGAGGGGGAGTTTGCCAGTACCTCAGTGAAGAAATTGAGGAAACGACAAGTGCGGAATTTCTTTCTCTCTCTGATGATTTCCCAGGTAAGGCACAATTCCAAATTTGTTTGGTCTGTAAGGAGTTCATTATGTTGCACGTTAGCTAATAACATGTTTTGATTTGTATATTTTTATATGGCGTGAAATTATATGCAAAGACTCATTAAGGGTACAACAGAGCATTGTTTACTGTGTTAACAATTTGGGCGTGTGGTCAATGGTCATTAATTGGGCTTTTAACTAGCATAGGAATCTGAAACCGTTTCTTGTGAATTTTAATAAGGCAATGGAGGGGCAATGAAAATCCAAAATTACTTTTAGTTTAATGCTGTCCTGTTGTCATTGTTAAATTGATCAAATTATTGTTTATTTATGGATGTTGTTAACAGCATGAGTCTCTGTTCACTGACTTCTTGTTTATCTTATCAGGGAGTTCCAATGATAAATATGGGCGATGAATATGGACACACAAAAGGGGGAAATAACAATACCTATTGTCATGATAATTATGTGATCCTCTTATCTACTAAAAACTTTCAATGTCACGTCACCATATTGTCGATTCTATTTACTTATCTTCAACCTTTTTGCAGCTTAATTACTTCCGGTGGGACAAAAAGGAAGAGATCTCATCAGACTTCTTTAGATTTTGTCGCCTTATGACTAAATTCCGCCAGTAGGGACCTTGTGTTCTCTTGTTGGACTCTTGAATTTTTCTCATATTCTAACGTTGTAATCCTGCAGGGAATGCGAGTCTCTGGGCTTGGATGACTTCCCAACATCAGAGAGGCTGCAGTGGCATGGTCATTTTCCTGGAATGCCAGACTGGTCTGAATCTAGCCGTTTCGTGGCTTTTACCATGGTACATACTTTTGTTGCCAGTATTCAATGCCACATGGATATAAGAATTCTAATACCGTTATTTGGCATGAACATGAACCCAGGTAGACTCAGTGAAGGGAGAAGTTTACATTGCTTTCAATACAAGTCATTTACCTTTCACAATTACCTTGCCAGAGCGTCCTGGATACAGATGGGAACCTCTTGTAGACACCAGCAAGCCAGTGCCATATGATTTTCTCACTCCTGACCTTCCGGGAAGAGATATTGCACTACAACAATATGCTCACTTTCTTGATGCCAATATGTATCCTATGCTTAGTTACTCTTCCATTATCCTTTTGCGCACTCCAGATGAAAATGCGTAGCATGGAGAATCGTTGAATCAATAATATATATAATCATGTTCCTTCACGCTGGAAGTCTGGAACCATGAATGAAATCGTGGGATCAGTAAATAAAGCAATAGAAAATGCATTGAAAAATTTCCTTCCCCTTTACATATGAAGGGAAACATCAAGGACAAGAAAAATAAGCTGTATACGTGATGGAACGATGTGATGATGGAAAAGTGGGCAAGTTGTTTCGATTTAGATGTAGGTGATTTTCTGCTCTGCGTTTTGTAATGCCTTTTCTCACTGTGGCTTTCTATTTGTTTGTGTGTATGTGGAGGAGGGTATGGGAGCAAGGAACGGAGCAACCGAAGGAAAATTTGGCTTTAAAAAGGTGGGGTGTTTCAAGTTTTAAAATAATAGCTTTGATTTATACTAGTCCTTAAAACTTATCTAAGAAAGTGATAAATTTGCATTAAAAGTTATTTTTTAAAATATTTTTAATATGATAAATATTTTATTATTTTATGTTTAAAAAATCCATCTTTAATATTGATATTAACATTTTCTTTAAAATAAAAGAAAGTTCTGATAAAAGAGGAATTTTTTGAAAAGAGACAGAATACATATAATGGAAGAGAAGAATAATCAAGGAAAAGTGTTGCCATTCGAAATGTTAAATACCCCTTGTTCTTATTTCTTTGATTTTTTTTTACTATTTGATATCTCAATTTTATCTCACGATTAAAAATGTGATACTATATATGCATTAATTAAAAATATACTTTCATTAGTCATTATCTGTTCATTCTTATATGCAATAAAGTATGTTTGCGCGCGAGTGCTATAAAAAATGAGTGACTTCTTGACAAGTATTTTTTTTGTGTTATACCTCTTTTCTTTTTAAGTTAATTCCTCTCTTTGTATTTTGCTAAAAACATCTCAAATCATGGAACTCTAGAATTGAACACTATATGGAATCAATGAAAAAAATATTCTTTTTCAATAAATGAAAATATTTTATTGATATTTCTTATCATGTATGTATAGGTAAGCAAAAAAAAATCATTAAATATAAGTTTATACATAATTTATGCTTAAGAAATTTAAAAGTATTTAACTATTTGTGACTTTTTAAGCATCTAACAGTATGTAATTATAAATGCTCCTTAATCATGTAACTTGAAAGTTCTTTGTAAAATTAGAGGCTTATTGAAAAGCATCTCAAAAGTTCTAATTAGTAATTAAGAATTTAATAAATATAATTTTTATTAAAATTATAGTAAAAATATATTAATAATTTTTTAATATTTTATATATATTTAATTTTAAATTAATATTCTTAAAACATTGATTAATATTTACATCAAAATTAAAGTGTCAAAATGCCTTAATAATTAGCATGGGTATTGATGTTGTACCGAAACAGGAGCAGACTTAATAATTTTATATATTTTTTCCATGTTAAAAATGCTTTACTAGTTCTGTTTTTCTCCAAAAAATCTTCACACAGATCGTAAAAGATAATTTGTTACAATCTGTAAAATCAAACTATTCTTAGAATGAATAATTTCTAAAATAAAATTCCGTTAACCACGTTTTTAAGATATTATTTAAAAAATTAAAATTTTTAAATCAAAATATTCAATATCTTAAAAATTAACGAATTTTTTTAATATCTTAAAAATTTAAAAATATTTATATTTTTTTAAATAAATACAAGACACCGAAAAAATTACAAAGATAATAACAATAGACATCGTAACGAAGTGTATGACACGTGGGATGAGAGGTGTTGTAGAAGGTTTGGGAATGGAGGAGTAACCACTGAAGAATTCCAGAAAAGTCTAGACCCCACACTCACACCTTTCATTCTTTCTTTTTCTATAAACCCCAACGCAACGCACCAAATTCACCACCTCGCACGCGCCATCCTCATCTCCATTTTTTTCATCTCTGCAATTCGATTCCATAGCATAGCTTCGCATCTTCCATGGCGGGACACAAGTTGTTGAAGAGGAAAGGAAGCGTCGATGAAGTCAGCGACGATTTCTCCGATTTCTCTCTCTCTTCTCCGGCTACCAAGATTCGCCGTCTCGTTAGTACTCTCTCTCTCCCTCTTTCTTTCTTCCTTCATTGATTCTCCACTAACCTAACTGTTTCTGTTGTTTCAGGATGCTGAGTTGCCGCCAATTGTCGAAGAAGAGGAACCTTTACCTTTACCTAACCAAGAGAGGGCTCTCGTGCTCTTCAAGCCCCCCTCCTCTTTCTCTCTCACTCTCAATTCTCACCTTATATCTGCAATTAAGAACAGTGAGTATTCTTTTCTTTTTTTCTCATTTAATTATTTTTATCAATTTTTTCTCCGTTTGATTTAAAATTGAACAGAATTAATTCTGATAACATTTATTATTAGTGTGCGTGCATTAGAGTTGTTGCTCTTACTGAAACAAATAAGGTTTTATCATTAATTTTGATTAATAAATAAAATAATTACTACTGCAGATCAATATCCTTGGTCCAAACAACGTGATTCTGATTGTGACCGCTTAATAGAGTCACAATCACGAGAAGAGAACAATGGTGAATTGGCTCTTGTGCCTTGGGTACCCTCACCATCTTCTCGATTCACCGTTGTTGATGATGATTCTGAGAACTCCAATGCGGAGTTGATGGAAGCTGATGAAACGGAAGGAGTGGGATCTATGATGATGGATGTAGAAGAAGAAGATGCTGGAGGAGCTGGTAACTCTACAGCTTTGGATTCGACCATGCATTACCCAACGGCACTGAATCTACACCAACAGCAGCATCAAGGAATAACGGAAGGGTTACAGCAACACTGCTTTTTACCCCATTTTGTTCAGAACACCTCAACTCCAATCACTTGGACACGTTGAGAATCATACGTTACATACCACACTACTTCTTGTGTGTTGTTGCACAAGCTTATACCCTATTTAGCATTTGCTAGAATAGAGTAGAATCAACTAGACCTTAGATTGTATTGCAATTTTGAGCAGAAGTGGATTGGTGGTGGTCTATGAATGACGGTGACAAAATGGGATGTCGATTGTTGTCCCTGTTGAAAAAGCCATCCAAGTGTATTAACGAAATTAATGTGTATATGATTTTCGTCGCTTTCTTTGAGTTGTCTTCCAAGTTTCAAAAGTGATTCAATTTTTGAGATTCGCACTGGTGCAATGGCATCATCTTTGGATAAGGAGTCTGTTCTGTCTGTGTTTGCACTGGGATTGAACTCTATTTTATGGTACATATTATACAGTTGTCTCAGTATTAAAATTTAATATCTTTACTTTCAATTTTGTTAATATGTATTTTTTTAATATGATAAAATACTAGTATTATAACTTGAATATAATATTTTTATTTAAAATGTATTATTATTATGGTTTTTATTTTTTTTAATTAGTTAAAGATTAATAGGAATATAATGATGATGGTAAATCAATATAAATATTAGTTATATTAAAAAATTAATAAAGCATGAGTAATTTATAAAAATAATTATATTTTAATTTAATAAAGTCTGTTGTACTTGGATCTCAATTTTAAAAAAGAAATATTGTAATTATATATCGTAACGAATACCGTACTAATAACAGGGATTCCTTCGGGGAAACATAATACCAAGCTATAAAAACACATATTACGTAATATCAACTAGTCTTAGAAGATCATTTCTAACATAGCAGCTCGTTAAAATTGCATATTTTTGTTAAGCGTATAATCTTTACACTGAAAAAATATAAAAGTCTTAAAAATCACTTCTCTAACATTGCAATACAACTCTAGTAGCATGATTTTATGTTATTAATATTTCTTTTAATACTAACTTTAATAAACTTTATAAACAAAAAATGTTTATGAAAATCATAAATTATCAAATAAAGTCGATAAAAGCTTTTTCAAACGCCATTAAGACCTGGTTAAATAACTATTCTTGAACCTCTGTAAGAATGGTGCAGAATGTTACATAAATGAAGTTTCTATCATTTTCTTTTATTTACTCGTCTTCTATAAGAAACAATGAGTGTTCCACACTCCAAATTAATCAAATAATGCTAAAGTTGAAATAAATAAACGCTGAACCACTCGTGATGTGTATAACTTCTGATAGTTATAATACACTATCAGAGTAAGGAGTGCACTAAATAAACCAAAACCACAGCAAAAACCAAATGCCATAAAATTGGTAGGCAAACCATACATATGGAAGCCTTTCAGATGACAAAACAAAACGTAGGACATTAAAGTACATTGGTATTCTGAGTTATGGCCAAAATACTCTTCTATGTCATACCCTATGTACTCTTCGTCCTTCACAAAGTTTGTATACATTCATGCCATATCTAGCATATCTGTGACACGGTTAAGCTCGAAAAGCAGTACCAAACTAAGCTGCACGATGATTCTATACACTCTAGTCTCCAGAGACATATTTTTTCTCTTCATAGTATCTCTGCTCACTCTTAGCTTTTTTAGCATTGCGTTTCTGCATCAGAAAAGAAAAGCAAGTCATCTCTAAAGCATAAAGTTGTGACACAATTTTGATAGGAAAGGCAAAAGAGATCAAAGCAGCAATAGTGTAAACTTTTAGTGTATTAAATAATGGGAATTCATTAGACCATGAGCTTCAAAGAGCCTGTGATCATCTAATTTAAACGCCCCTTTCTAGATAGTCAAATTCTAACCAACAAGCATTAAATAAAGCTTGAATCCCATTCAAATTATGGTCTTGAACTAAGAACGTCCAATAAAAGCAAGGCTTACTGCAATTTCAATCTCAACACACAAACACATAACCGTTTCAAATGTTTCAGCAGTATGTGAAAATCACTCATGGGCGGCTAGTTCACTTCAGATTTCATCACCTGGTGTACAGTCCAGAAACGTGATACAGACGCTTAATGCATCTTTACCTTGTAAACTATGCAACCAGAGATGGATTATAAAGTTAAAAAAGCACCTTTGACAAATATGATATTGGGAATATGTATTAGAATAAACAATTAACCATATCAACAAATTTTGGAAGTTTCTCAAATGTTTCAGAAAGAAAAAAAAATTGTATTCAAGAAATTACCACGTATGCTTCATGATTAGCCATTATCCTTTGGGCTACGGTAGTGGTAGTAATATTTTTTGGGCTTTCAAGCAAGCGGAATATTCCCATGCTCTTGGGGATCTCATATGGATCTGTTTCGCTCTGCATAATACATGTTGTTCATTAATATGTCAAAAAAAGGAAAATGATATTGTAACCCAGGTGAACCATGAAAGAATGGGCACTTACGTTTAATGAGTTTTCAGCAACAGTACCATGCGCAACTAGTGAGATATTGAAAGTTGTGATCTGTTTGGTTCCAAAAATAAAAAATAAACCTCGTGATAATGAAAATATCCAATGGATTCAAATTATGCTCAAGAAAAATTCAGATGTTCTCTTTCTCTCAACTAGAAGAAATACGTGTTCAAAAAGTTAAATTTCTAATCATTTCAAGAATACAAGGGAAAAGCTGGAGACAAAGTTTCATAAAACTCCAAAGCCTAAAATGAACGAAATCCTTCACTTGAGTATACAAGAAATATACACAATAAATATTAGTCAATGCACCAACATCAAATTCAAATAAATGGTAAAGCAACAGCTGAGCCACTTAAATCCAGAAGATGTGGGTAGAACAGGACTTACCATGTCCTTTGTAATTTCCCAAGGTGCCCCAATAATGACTTCATCAACATAACGGCAAGCTAACACACTAAGGCTACGCTCATGTAATTGCATAATTGGATAGTGATTTCCTCTATGCTCACTGCACGGAAGTTGTTAGTTTCATATCTGTGGTTGGCATGACTACCAGGATAATACCTGTAAAGCCAATTTTGCATGATATTAAACTGTATACCTCACTGTTTCATCTGAGTGGATACCAACTAGAAGAAAATCTCCAAGCTCCCTAGCCTTCTTAAGTATCTGAAAGAACATGGGATAATGAATAAAACACAATCATAGAAAAACAATTAGGTAAAATCATGTCTGCCTATTTGATCATGAACTTCAGCATTTGACTGAGATGATAATAAATTACACCGTAGACAAAGTTTATCTGAATACCTCGACATGCCCTGCATGGAAGAGATCAAATGCCCCATCAATGTATACAATACGTGCATTTGGTCCAGGACCCTAAAATAAAGATGAAGTGACAATGAATTATCATATGAAAAAGTTTCACAAGCTGTAATGTAGAAAACAAATTGCCTCTAACCATTTTGAAAATTGTCATGTAAATTTTAAATTTAAATCAGTGCTGGTTGCATTAAGTAAATCTATGACTCTGTAGATGTTGAGATGGTTTAGCATAGCTCTTAAAGAAACGGCAGAAAGATATAAAACTATAAATTCACCTAGAGAAACTGATAATTGTAGGATGCAATACAAGCAACTAAAATACCTTGCCATTTGAAAACTGAACAATACGTCGAGAAGTTGGTAGGAATTGGGATATGTGGGAACCCTTTGACTGGCTTTCTTCTTGAGGTTTTACACTAGTACCATCATGATTTTCACGATTTTTTGGATCTTTTAAAGAAGACATTATTCTTCCTGTATTGAAGCATTGATTGTTGATATTAGTTGGGAAGCATAAAAAAATATCAATTATCAAGCGCCCCACATTAGAGAACTTTGGCAATATTTTCATCTAAGGAAGCCCAACCGTGTGTACACACACACATCACAGAAGACTTTCTCTGCAAGTCTATTTTCTCTCTACAAAAGAGTTGGACCCCCCCCCTCCCCCCAAAAGAAAGATAAATAAATAAAAACCCATAGCAGCCCAAAAGATGTGGTCACAATTCACAAAAGTCTCAGCTATCTTCGGATATAAATATAGTAACTTAGTACCTACGATATCTGTGCTGGAAACTCCTTCAGTGCGTTTAATTTGTTTGTAACGGCCAGCCTTCTTTGCAGCAGCATATGCATCTGTTCCATCTGGAAGCAGGCAAGGATCATCGCCATGTATGACATAGTCAATTTTGTATTCATGAAAGAGACGATTCAAGAATTGCTCAGTAATTGCATAAGGAGCATCAGTTATGACCTCATCCACCCACTTCAATCCACTGACAAGGGCCAGCCTGGAAGATAAATACATTTTCTAATAAATAGTTCACTTTCATAATTCAGTTTTCAAACTTGTAGGTACAAGAGAAAAGGCAAGTAAACATTGCTTTAGAATTAATAGGGAAAAATAATATTGAATTTCTGGAATTGATTGCAAGATATTTCTCTAGGTTTCTACTATTTCCCTCCAGAATTATAAGTCTTTTTCAAGCTCTGCTGGCACTTATGTTGTTCAAGTAAACCCAGTTTTTTTTCCTTAACATGTAACTTTTATTCTTACAGTTAAAGTGAATGGAGGTTTCATCTAAGAGAAAAAATCAAGAGGAGAAAAGAAGTTAAAGGAGTATCTAACAGGGTACAAGATACCAAAATATGCTATGCGTACATATTCTATATGAAAAAATAACACAAACATCCATACCTCTCCTCCATGGACAAAACAGGTGGCCCTTTATTGCCCACGATCTCCTCATCACTCACAAGACCCACAACTAATTCATCACCTAGAGCCTTAGCTTGTCTGAGTGCATTGGCATGGCCATAATGCATCAGATCAAAACATCCATCCATGTAAACCCGAATGCGCCTCTTCCCAGATTTCTTCTTGTGGAAAATCCCCAAATTAGACCAGGAACATGGCAACGACAAATAAGGAACCCCAATTCCGCCAAAATAACTTGTTGACAAGCCCAGCAAGGCTGCTGTAACCATTAGACCACCAAAAACACGAGGGTAATAGTATACCCCCTCCCAAATCCAACTGTTGCTTTCATAATCCATCTAGTTTTTTTTTTCTCGTCTCAAAAACTAGCTATTATTTGTAAGAGGAGGCACAGACCTGCATAGCAAAAGAGAATCAAATGCATTTTATTCTCTCCAAAATCCTACCAAACATATACCATTTATTGTCAAGTTCAATTCCAACAAACATTACTACAAAAATTCAATGAAGAAAATAAAGCCCCATCACATGTTGCAAAAAAGTTGAATTGCCACCACAACGAAATGAAATAACCATTGCATGTAAAATTCACAGGGAAAACAAAAGTAATTAACAATTGGGGTATTCACATATCCCTGATCCAGCTAACAATAATTAATTAAAAAATGCAGCTTTTTTAGAATAAAATCAGAAATTATAATGAATCTTCGTTGAAAAGAACAGAGTATGCAGATTCAAAACGGAAAAAGTATGCGTCCAAGTTGACAAATAATGAAAACCCACCTGAGATCCTGCAGAAAAAAATGAGAATTGAAGAGTAAGGAAGTGCGAAAATGAAAGTGCTCTGAAGAGAGACGAGTTTGATTGGATGCAATTGCAGAAAGAATAAACAAGGACCATTAATGGAAGAAACAAGAGATCGAATCTGAACCTTTTTTCGTTTTCTTGCTTTTCCGTTTCCTTTGTGTCTGTGTCTCCTCTCTCTCTCTCTCTCTCTCTCTCTCTCTCTCCTCCTTTGATTCGTATGGAGGAAAGCTCCTTGTAGTTTTTGCTTTGCAACAAGCCTTTGTCTGAGACAAAATATACGTCGCTTTTTACAAGCAAAAATTAATTAAAATAATAATAATAATAATACTAGTCAATAATCAAGGCGAAATAAAATAAAAGTCTTTTACTAGAATGAATGAATGTTAGTCATAATTGATCTATATTGTATATAATCTTAATACAAATGAAATCTCACCAATACCTGATTTGATTATTTGTCCCACATCGACTGGACCCTCCTTCTCATATGTGGCTGTGCCATAACTCGTTGCGTTACGCTATACATTTATCAGCTAAGACCAATTGCGCGTTCGCGGTTCGCTTTTACTTTTCGTGAAAAACTTTGCATTTTATTAAATTAGTCATTCAAAGGGCATCATATTTAGATTTATCTAATTTAATATTATATATACTAAAATATGGTATTTAAAAATTTATAAAAATATAAAATTCAAAAATTCTCAATTATAATTTTTAATATAAGTGCCGATAGAATAACCTAAGTTATGAAATTTTAAAAATTGCTTTAAAAAATATTAAAAAATTATAAGTCAGATTTTGTCCAAATTTTTTTAAAAATAAAAAATCATTAATAATTATTTAAAAAAATTAAAGTAAAAAAATGTCAGAAATCACCGCTCGCAGTTTATGAAAAGTTTCCATATTTTATAATTTTTTTAAAATACCATAATTTAATAAATTTTTATATAAAAAGGGCCTCAAATTTATTCAGTGTTCAATATATTTTTGTGTTACTTTTTAATTTGAATTCATGTACGTCTCCATACAATATCTATTAAAAGTGAACATTAAAAAGTTTAATAAAATATAATAATGTAAATTTTTTGGTTAAATTGTCAAATGTTTAAGACATTATTCTTCTTTTATTCGAGTTTGAAACCGTACATAGACGAAGTTAAAAGTTGATATAAAATATTGAAATTAAAATTTAAAAAAATAATGACAACAATTATATTGTTGTATTTAAATTTCATCTTAAAGTATTTTAGGTCACTTAAATACGTTAGATGCGGAGTTTCTATCAACTTTTGTGTGTTTTAAAAATATATCATTTAGTGAGATTTTTATTTTTATTTAGGAGGATGAAATAAAATGTCTTATTTAAAGACAAATAAATAAGATATACAAATTATTTAATATTCTTCAAGTAATTAATTTTTAAGTATATTTAATGCTCCTAACTAATATTGTTTAAGTTCTAGTTAATAAGAGTGCCCATTAATTTGTTTTACAATTCTATTTTCATAAAATTCCTGTATTATCAATTATTTGAAATATAATAAAAATGTTAAATATATTCTCTAATTATATTATATTTTAATAAATATTGTTTAATTTATTTGATAATTTTAATATTTTATTTAATATCAATTTTAGTATTATAAAAATAAAATATTAAATAAATTTCTCATATGACATCAAAATAATTAGTTTTCCAGGAATCTGGATTCTTTGCAATTTTAGAGAGAAATGCAGCCTAAAGTTTAAATTTGCTTAAGCGAATTTAGCAATAAGTAATTTTAGTTTAAGTGAATTTAGTCAAAAAGTAATTTTTGCTTTATTAAAAAGATTGACTTAAACTAAAATTGTGAAAATTTTTAAAAATTCATCATCTTCTTCTCTAAATTGTAGAAAAGTTGAAAAATATTTATGCAAAATTATATAGTCACACTTTATGGTCATACAACAAAAATTTAAATAATTAAAAACATATAATAATACAACTATTTCTTAACAAAATTTTTAAAGTTATCATTCCTATTATCCTTATAATAATTTTCAACAATTTAACTTAATCCAAATAGTTCTATATCACTAACATTTAGTACAAGTAGCACACTAAATAATATATTTGAAAATATTTATGTAAAATCATGTAGTCACACTTTATGATCATACTATAAAACTGAAGTATTTCAAAATATGTAATAATGCAATTATTTCTCAATAAATTTATCAAAAGTTATCATTCCTATAATCATTATTATTATTCTTAATAATTTAACTTAATTCAAAATGGTTCTACCTTACTAATGTTTACCATAAGTACACATTAGACAATACATTTGAAATATTTGATAAGATGAAATATGTATAAGTATTTTGTAACTAGATAGTCATTGGTGAGAAACAAAAGTTTCTCGATTTTTTTTGCAATTTAGAGAGGAAGAAGATGGAGATTTAATTTTATTTTTTTTTGTAAGAATGATGATAACTTTAAAAATTTTGTTGAGAAATAGTATCATTATTACATGTTTTGCAAAGGATTTGAATCTTTTGTCAAGTATATAAAATGTTTTATATTTTTTTAATGTTTAAAGTAATTAATGTCTTTATTGATTAGAATACTAAATTAATATGTAGATAAATCTTTTAAAGATTGAGAAGGTTAAATTATTAAAATTTAATTTATAAATTTATTTAAACATATATTCTTTGATAATATTCATTAAATATATATAATAACAGATTAATAAAATAATTTATTTTTATCTATTTTTCACAAATAAAACAATTTATTATATTGTAATAAATACTACTCTTCATTTTTAAAAATTTTGAAAGTAATTTTTATTTTTTATTTTCTTCTATACACAATTTTTTTTTATATGTACTCTCCTATGTATATATATATACATGAAAAAAAGATTTTCTCACGTTAGTATTCTTACAAATTTTTTATTTAATTTATATTTAACTAGTTATATATATATATTTGTCGGTTAATCTCAATCAAAAGTCACCCGATAGATTAGATCCTTTTACTTTTAATTGGACCAGATGATAACTTAAGTGTCAACTTACAAGGTGAGAGGAATATTTAAAGAAGGCCCAACACATTCGTAAAATATTCACGCGTCGATAATATATTATTAATCATAATATCAATTGAAACTCTTCGTGCATTTAGTGTTATTTAAAGTTAGTATTAATTATATTTTTACTACAATTTAAAATATTTAGTAGCGTATGAATAACGTTACTATGCTATTTGTTTAATATATCTAGTCACGTTTTTTACATTAATTTGATTGAAGATTATTTAATCAACACTTCTTAGTGTTTATTTAAAGAGACACGAAAATTGAAGAAATAATAATAATAAATATTACGTGTAAACGGTGTAATGTAATATGATGGAAAAAAATAAAAAAATATTAAATAAATAATGATACTGTCAATGTATTTACACATCATAAATTAAATTATAATTGAATATGATTTGAAAATATGATATTATGAACTTGCTTGTATAAAAATGTTAACCGTCTGTTCAATGAAAATCAAATTCATATTATAAAAAGTGTAAACAATGGCCACCCCAAAACAGAGTTGCTACTAGTTTGCTTCAGACCAAGTGAGAATAGGCTAATCCACCCAATAGGATAATTGATGGCTACATTTATAATTTCCACATAATTAATTTTTAAAAGGATTTTTTGTTGGCTTCAACTTAATATATTTTACTCCAATGCATAAAATAAATACAAAATAAAAAACTATTGTAAATTAATATATATACTTCACAGTTAAATTATTTGATAAGAATTATTTTAATTTAATTTATGATATCGAGTTTAAATTACAGTGTTATGTTAAATATTTAAAAATATTTTATAATAATTTAATTTGAAATTGAAATAACAATTGATATTATAAATTTAATAATAAATAAATTATTTATTATTATTATTATATAAAAAAATTTAAATAAAAATTATAAAATATATTTTATGATTTTATTTTTTTTGTTAAGCTATATTTTATGAATTGTTCAGATTCATTTAAGGTTGTCTCAAAAAAGTAAATTTATCACTTTCAGTAAAGTTATTAGGAAATAGGCATAGCGATATTGTAGCAATAATACAAATAGAATTGGGATTTGGGAGTCTGATTATCAGCTTTGCAGTGCAGCGATGGCTTTGTCCCTACCAATCCAGTGTTCTCCCACTCTCCGATTATCCCCAAAACCCATTTTCTTCACGCTCCGACGCGCCAACCACCGTGCGTGCGTGGTTTGCGCTGCCACTCCCCTCCTCCAAGTCAACGACCTCAGGGCCAAGATAGTCGAATCCGACGTGGAAATTCTCCGCGGCGTTAACCTCACGGTGAACCAAGGAGAGGTTCACGCCGTCATGGGAAAAAACGGTTCCGGAAAAAGCACTTTTGCCAAGGTCACTTCTCAATTGAAACATATATATATATAAGCTACTGCTGTTCAAATTTGATGTAAATTAAGTGAAAATGAAATGCAGGTTCTTGTGGGGCACCCGGATTATGAAGTAACTGGAGGTAGCGTTGAGTTCAAAGGGGAGAATCTGCTTGAGATGGAGCCTGAAGAAAGGTCTCTTGCGGGTCTCTTCATGAGTTTTCAATCCCCTGTTGAGATTCCTGGTGTTTCCAACGATGAGTTTCTCGTCATGGCCTACAATGCTCGAAGGAAAAAACTTGGTCTTCCTGAGCTTGGACCACTCGAGGTTTCTCTATTTTTTAACTTAAATCATCCTTTGTTATGACTTGTGAGCTAGCTCATTTTTCATTATTATATATTTTAATTATCGTGTTTTTTTAACATATAACAAAGGGCACACGATAAAAACCAATGTATAGCAAGTTTTTATAGGAAAATACAAAATTCAATACATTAATAGTATAAAATGTTACAATTGCTAATAAAAACTTATTATTTATTGATTTTTTCTTGTGTGCCTTGAACACACCTTTATATTATATGTAGCTACTGTGATTTTTAATTAAACAGTTTCTGTTTTTTCTATTACTTAATCAATGCATTAAGGGTACTGATTAGTGAGAGCCTTATGATTATTCTGTGTTGCAGTGCTTTTCTTACCTCATGGAGAAGCTCCAGCTTGTTAACATGAAGCCCGACTTTCTCAATAGGAATGTGAATGAAGGGTTTAGTGGTGGTGAACGCAAGCGCAATGAAATCTTGCAGCTTGCAGTTTTGGGGGCAGACTTGGCTATCCTGGATGAAATTGATTCTGGTTTGGATGTTGATGCGCTCAGAGATGTGGCCAATGCAGTTAGTCGGATTCTGACCCCGGACAATTCTTTATTGATGATAACTCATTATAGACGGATTTTGGATCTTTTGAATCCTACACATGTTCATGTTATGGTGAGTTAAATACTTACTGCTGATCTTCAATGTTAGTTCAGGTTTTGGACTTGAAAATGACACACGGGGTTTTGTTATTAAAATTAGGATGTTTGTCTTACCACATTCTTTCTCCCCTTTTCCACACTCCTCTACCCCTTTTGATTGTTTGTTGAGATACTATGAAGAAAATATCTGGTCTAGTGGTTTTGATCCGTTGGGGAATTGTGGTGGTCAAAAGCATGCCATTAAATATTTGAGCTTTTACTTCATTTGAGTTTACAAGCTGGGGTAAAAGGTTCAAAAACTTATAGATGTGAGCTGACTGAAGGTGACAATTCAAGCGAAGGAGGCACTTGAATTAGATTTCTAGACAAAGATAACAATAGTTGTCTTTGATGACATTATCATCTGATTCTTTAAAATATTGTGTATAATCTTCAATTTACTTCATGATTATACCATTTGTTTTTTATATATATTTGTAATTTAAAGGTTTGATGCTGATCATAACAGAATTGGGGCCCTTAGATTCTTTGCTGGTATGCTTTGGGATTTGTTCTTTTTGAAGAAAAAAGATAGCATTTGAAATAAACATATATCTTTGTAATTAAGCTGATCTTAATGTTTTATCATTGCTGTTAATTCCCAGAAATCCATTTATGTATATCTATAGACTATAGTTATTTGTTATCCTTCTGATAGAATTTGTTTATCTTGCTTGAAGAGCAGTTTTAGACGGTGAGAAATTGAATGTGTATATGTATTACGTCTGTGCCATGAAATAACATAACGAACCTTTCTTTTATCCTTCTTAACAAATCAGAACAAAGGAAAAATTACAAAGACAGGCGACATGTCGATGGTTGAAACTATTGAGGCAGAAGGATATGAAACAGTCTCCACTTTATCATAATGCAGCTAGTACTGGTATCCTTTCTGACTTTAGCATGAACGTGCTGTGCTTGTTTCAGCTTAAATTCACTTTCATATAGTACATACTTACATGAGTATCCTTTCCAAGAACATAATTGGAAATTGACTATATATAGGTGAAATCATGGACAAAACTTTCTTAAAGGTACTAATGGTCGGCCTCATGAAGTGTACTCATTTGAGGGGTCATAACTATGGTTTATTTTCATGTTAATTTGAAATCTTTATTCATTTGGGTTTTGTTTCGGTGTTATTGCTCCATACCCAGATGACAGTATTGTGCCTGGCTGGCATTCGAACAAAGCATGTTTGTGTGCAACAAGATTTAGTACTTATATATGCCAAGAATAGCTGTTATTGACCCTAGGCATGTAAATGTGGTCTTAATTACTATTATTGAAGTCATGCTTGTATTCATCTAATGTTTTAGCATTAAACTTGCAAAGTTAACAATAGGGAGGCATTTAGCAATCAAATGTTCTGTTGTTTTTATTTGCATAATATTATACAGATTAATACTGGAGTTGCTTACAGACATAACTTTCTCTTTACTCTTTAGTAAAGCGCTGGAAGTTCAGAAGATCTTTAAACTTCGAATCTCAATGCATCAACATTAGTCTGAATATCATCAGTACAAATAATGAGCAGAAAAATATTTTCACCAGCAACGTTTGAGTTTGGGTGCACTGCACTACCAGGTAAATTTCATTCACGTTCAGTTTTAAAAGGACTACCAAATTATGAACATTTCATTTAATTACTGATCATAACAATTTCCAAACCTTGTAAGTTTTTTAAATATCTTTTCTTATTAATTATGATGGACTTACCATAGATTGCCTAATATTTAACTTTTACTGCAGTATGAGTAAAACATGCTTGACTAAGCTAAATGACAAAACTTAGTTGTTGTTTGGTCCTTCAAATTGATTGACTTTATCAAGCAGCTTAGTATCAAGTTTGGCTGAGTCGTTCGTCAGTGGAAATTTGTCATATTAGCACTACTAGCCTCAATGTGAATTGTATTTTGCTCTCTGTAAGAGCTATACATTGATATAGTGTTGACTTTGCTAACTAGTTTTTTGGTTAAATTAATTTGTATGTCTGAATTATTTGGGAAATTTTAAGTAAGTTTATATTTCAGAATTTTGTAATTAGGTTCCTGAACTTGTAAATCGTTTTTAATTGGGTGCCTGACCACATCGCTGATAGGATTCTGTTAAGTACAAGGACAATTAAAAATTTTCAAATAGTTTAGAAGCCTAATTGATAATTAAACTAGTACCTAGTCCTTGAACTATTTTAAAATAATCAATTAGATCCTTATATTTAATGGAACTTTAATGAAACCCTAGCCTAGGACCAAGTTGAGAATTATTTATAAGTTTAGGAACCTACTTACGAATTTTAAAGTACACAGACCTATGTAAAAAATTTTCAAATAGTTTAGGGATTAATAGATAATTTAACCTAGTTTGTCTAAGAATGGGAAGGAAAAGTACCGGTAACATTTTTCAATTAACTTTGCATTCTTGTTTGTTTGTGTTGCAGATATGTAAACCATGTTATAGTGAAGCAGTTGCAAAAGTATTCTGATGGATCCTTTCATTTTGCCCCGACTGTTTAAAGCTCATATTGACAGATGTTGATGTTTCTTGACTTAGGACATATATTGTTCTGGTCATTATTTCGTAGGCTTTGATAGAGAAATATCGAAACTATTGAATTATGCATTTACCAACTTCTCAGTGGATGTTTTAAAGTTTTTTATATTTTTAATTGTAGGGGCATTTTCAATGTTAACCAACTTTTGGATCACCCCTGTTGGGTTAACTACTGGAGTGGTAGTGCAGTTAGAATTGTAATAGCATTGAGGTTTAGTAAAGTTTTGGTCTTTAAAAAAATCATAATTATGTTATTTGATTTTTTTCAAATGTTTTTTTTTATATATTTTTCTTTACTGAAGTGGGCTTGTAATTTTAGTTTTTTAGCTAGTCGTTTCAAATTGTGAATTTTTTCATTTATTTCTTCTAATATCATGATTTTTTTATTTGGTCTTAAATAAAATATGAAATTTTCATTTGTTTCTCATAATGAGGGACTGAATAAAAAAATTATAATACTTTGAAGGACTTAAAAAATCACAAATTCTGCGGGATGAAAAAAATTTAATAAAGCCTATCCATCATTTTACATTAATATTAGTAGAGTTTTATTATTTAAACATTTAAAAATTAACACCTTATAACATTACATATAATCATTTTTACTATTTTTTTTTATTTTTATCTTTTTTTTTAATACATGCATCTTGAAAGTACTTTTAAACTTAAGAGAAACACTAAAAAGTGTAAATTAAAAAATGTATAAAAAAATATCTTTAGTTACAATATTTAAAGTTGGCTTAACCTTTATGATAATACTAAAGAACTTCAAACTTTTGTATTAGGATTATATTTGGTAGAAGGAAAAAATTTTAAGTTATAAAATTAAATAGATAAAACTCGTAACAAATGGATAAGTTGTAAATCTTAAAAAAGTATAGAAGAAGAAATTTAACTAGAGTTGTGATCTTAGGCATCTACTTGTCAATTTTTTATTGATTAAGAAACTAGAAGTTTAGTCAAAATATTAAGTTTCAATATGTTTTCACGAGTTAATAGAAATGTTTCATTTTTATGTCAAGGCAATGGTAACACTTTCAATGAGTTTTATAAAATTTTTATGAGTTCAAGATTGTAAGAGTCAAAATTAGTCAAAATAAGATACTTTAAAATATTCATTAATTAGATTTGTTGACGTGACTAAAGTAAAAAAAATAAATTTTACAAATTCAAACAATAAAAGAAGATTCAAAAGGTAAAAAAAATGTGTCAAAAAATGACAAAATTCAGAATAGTTGTTAGTGATTACTAGCAAGTATTACTAATTGAAAAATAAAAAATGTAGAGCAAATCATGTATAACAAAGTAGGAGTAGATATAAAAAAACGTATAAGGAGCGGTTGTGAAAAACATTCACGTGAAAAAATAAAAAAGTTAAGTCTAACTCTATTTATAAATAAGAATAGATTTTACTTTTTATAAGACAATTTTTTATACTAAATACTAGCACTCAAATTTTCTACACGTCAAAGTTTTATGATAAACTAAACCTGACAACCAAAGATTCAATAGTTCATGTGTTGTGAAAATTATACATATATTTTTTATATTCAAATTCAGCCTATTTACATATTACTTTATTATTATTATTTTACTTTTACAAAATTGTTTTACAACATTTTTAACCATTACAATTGTAACATACTTAAAAAAATTCATAAAAGATTTAAAATTCAATTATTACTCTTAAATTTATTTGTTTACTGGTTAAAAATTTTACCGTTAACAAATTAGGAATATCATCATCTTTACATGTGAATTGAGAGCATTCAAGAAACATGATAGACAAGCTTCATCAACATCCCCTTTTTAAATGGTGAAAAGGGAACAGATGTAGGGATGGATCGAATTCTGCATGGGTAGGGTTATATCGACCACCGCATGCCACATAATAATAGTAATAAAACTGGATCAGGACGAAACAATCCGAAAGATGCGTAATTTACTAAATGTGTTTGGATACACATCATCAACGCAATAAATACCTAAATTTCAGAAGCTACTCTTTTTATAACTTTTTAAGTATGCTCGCCCAAGATATCATGACGCTAAATCGACCATGCTATAGCTCTAGATTAGGATCTTGAAAGCAAAAAAAATAAAATAAAATTGTACGAGCCAGTCTTCATTTAAAAAATATCCTTAAACTCTAGAATACTCATAATACAGATTATTTATTCAGTCAGTACATTATTCTGCAAGATACAAAGACAAAATTGATTTCTCGAACGAGAAGACCACAACACTATGAAGCAAGAAAAATGGGTGACCTTGTAGAAACCAAGTGGGATCACGCACCAAAAAACTCAAGTTAACCAGTATTTTTTAAAATCTAAAGCTATACATCTGACTAACAGGATTGCCTGTACACATCAAGGGGAACATATGGGGGAAAAAAGGGGTATGATTTTGACATGCACAGTATTATTGCCTTGTCCAAATTGTAGTCATTCGAAAAATTCAGAACCAAGTGGAGCCAGCACATGAATCTCTGATTAAAATCCATCTGTGCGACAAGTAGCGGAACTGGTAGTTCCTTCATTTTAATTCCTATAATATGCATGTATTTTTACTTGTACAAAAAGTGCGCGTATCACCAAGAACCATGTTTGCCTGAAAGAGAAAACCATGCATAACTTATCGCCGCATTACATTGAAAACATTTGCATCAACCAAAAAAAAAAAAAAGAAAAAACACAAATCAAAAATCTAGAATAAATTACATTCCACCCTTGTGAAGTTTTCCCAAGACACAACACCCAATTTTGGTCATAAGAGTTCCACCCCATTTGCATCCGAACATTTAAACAATATATTTCCCTCTACAACCTTACAACAAAACTGAAGTTGACGATATATTTATTGAACACTTCGTTTTGATTTTTCACCACATCAATTATTCTATTCCTAGTTCCAATATACAATTTTGTTTCGTTAATTCATATAATCAGTAAGTGGAGAGAAAATGGGAGAACTTGGACCAACAGGAGATGCAACAGAATGAAGCGATACAAAATGAAATAACATTACTATACCTTTGTGTATATTTTATGATATAAAACCGGTTCCATTTTACTGTTTTAGGAGTGGATAAAAAGATAAGAGAAACTATTAGTATATAGTGGCTCCATCTCATAATATTTTATCTTTTGGACAGGGGGTAGATGGACTAGAATATAATCCATTAGATTACATTCCGTTCCATTCTATTTAATCAATCCAGAGACATCAAATGTCATTCCACTTTCCCCAGTCCCACTCCATTCTATCCCTTTTCATCACTACAAACATAACCTTAGAGGCACAGAAGCATGAAACAATCAGATCATCATTGAGCATATATCCTCCATTTTCAAGCAGAAGACCAAAAACAACAAAATAAGTGAAAACTGCAACCAAAATACAACTATCGCAGCCTGAATAAGTATCTCATGCCATGTGATTTATTATTTCATATAATATATATTATAGAAAGTCTTTTAACTCTTACTGATTCCCTGCTTCTTCTGAGGATGGACTCTGTCCAGGTAGGGAGCAATTATGGCATCTAACTTCACTAACCACAGAGCAAGGGCAGATGATGTATGGGGCATAGATGCAAAAGATGCAATGATTTCTTCAACCACACCATCTGGAAATTTGCATTGAAACAACCAGTCCTCATTGATGGCACCAACAAAATCAGCAAGAACCTATAAAATTACAATTCATAAGAAAATATATTTAGTTAAGATCAGTAGAATTTCATGCACACCAGGATATTCTAACAAACAAGAAGTTAAAACAAAAACCTGCAAAAGCTCCACTAAAGTTGAGGTACGTCTGAGCCGTTTGACCCATAGTTTATGAGCAGACTTCCTCCAAGCACCAACCAGGGCATCTTCGGGCATAACAGACTGCACAAGCAGTGATGGGAGTAATGGAAAAAGATAATCTTCAAAATACCCATATGCTTAAAAATAATCATGCAAATCAGGCAATTTTTCAATATAAAATATCAACAAGTTGGAGAAACAGATAACAAGACAGGGTAACACATTTAAGTATCAATATAGTATCATCATGCTTTTCTTTGATTAGAAGTAACATAAGTAACAAACTCTGTCACATTTTCCAGAACGCTAGCTACCCTGTCCAAACAAAACCAAGTGACACAGAGAATGAAGTATCAACTTTCCCACATAAACCCATCCCTTTTCTCTTTCTGGACAAAACACTAGCAAAACATGCATTGCATTTGTACCCTTAAGGGTCTAATAAAACAAAATAAGACATCAATGCCGGTATGCAATGAATGATGAAAATTGAAGTAAATGAATGACAACTCACCTCAATAGCATAAATTGCAGCTTTTAGTGATTGAATCTGTGATGGTAGCACCTTATGATTAGGAAATGTATTTCTATCTTCTTTCTCCCTGCATGTGGCAATGTGGATTGCATATCTTTCTTCTAGATCAAAATCAAGCTCAAAAGTCACATGGCAAATTTTACAGTGTCTCTCATCTCTCCAGTACAGATCATGACAACTCTTACATCTGGCAAGAGAGTCAAGATAAGACCTTCTACCATATTTCACAACATTGAGGTCTAAATAAAAGGAATTCCAAATCCAGGAATCATATTCTTGAACACGGATCCATTTTTGCATTTGTTCCTCTCCTCTCTTTCCTGCTTCAATTACCACAGCCCCAGCTGATGGTAAAGAGTCTTTACCAGTCTCAGTCAGGTTTAGGTTGTCTACATCAGATACAGGAGAATAACTGTCATCTGTGACCATATCCAATTCAGATTGATCAGATTGTGACAAACACCCTATTCCAGTACTATTAACATTAATCCTGGACATAGATCTACATAGAGATATCTGTCTCCTTTCCAAAGATTCAATAAGAAGAGCCTCCCGTTTCCCTCTATCATCCAGAACTGACAACAAGGCACACAAGGCCTGCATACAGGTTAACCATACGCAAACGATTATTAACACTAAAATAGTAATGCACACAACAAACACATTAGAGTAATAAACATACACAAGTTTGATTGCTTACTATTCCATAATTCCCATATATGTAACTACAATTAACAATATCTAATGTATTGGAAAATAAATTTAAATCTTTGTACGGAGTTATGCATGATAAGAAAACCTAAAAAATTCACCTCTTCAGTATCAATAACCTCCCAGTGACCATCTTCGGAAGATTCAAAGTAAACCCTCCTGTGGCCTGGATCATCTGTGTTACAAGGGCCCAAGAAAAGCCAGTATCTATTGTACCGACGATCAGATCCCAAAAACACTGATTGAATCGGGTGTGAATCAGTTGAACCTTTTCCCTTTTCAATGGATGCCTCATGACTATGGAACCTAGAGATTAATGATGAGGAATCTACTGGACGGGGATCAGAATTCAAGTGTACTTCTGGAACACATCGCATTTGTCCAGTCTGGTTCCAAAAAGGCCCTGGATTTTTTACTACTGATCTCTTTATTTTAGCTCCAGAACCACGTAAGTGGATGCCAGAATTGCAATCAGCTGTAACTTTTGGATCCTGTAGAAAAGATCATTCAGAACATAATATGATAAGAGCACTTGACAAATTACATCTTAGGGGATGTTTGGGAGTTGGGAGGGGAAGGGAGAGGAATGAAGGGAGACAATTGAAGGCCTGTAACTTTAGTTTAGCCAATTTAAAATTTTGCTTTAATTTGAGAGGGGGAGATAATTCAAGGCCTAAATACAACCTTAGCCCAGAAGTTTAGTATTTTACCTTCATCCTGATGCTGGATCCAGATGAAAGAAGATCAGTCAAAGCTGCCAATGCATTTAATTTTTCCTCAACATTCAAATCTGAATATTCACCCTCCATCAGTCCTAATAACCACACTTCTCCTGGATGGCTCTCATCAATTTCAGTGTATACTTTCAGTGTATTATTTTTATTTTTATGACTGTTTGCACGCTTCAGTTTTCTTATACTGGCGTTTATTGAAATATTTTCAAAATCATCACCACTGCTGCATGTATCAGTGTCATTAAGTTCATCATCAACACTCCCAGAGTCCTCCATGTCTGACTGAAATTCATCACTGTCCTTTGTAACAGTGCTCATACGCAATCGATATGCAGTTGACGAAATCTTCTCAAATAAAGTAATATCACTGGAAAGTGTAGAACATATTAAAGACTCCAGTTCCTCTGTTGTGCTGGCAAGGTTTAATTCAGCAATCTATGCAGTATCAAAATACAGTTGAAATTGATCAATAATATAAAGAAATATCATAATCCAAATAGGTAATAGTAAATTTCCATCCAATTTATGCTTTTCTCTTTTTCTTTCCCTTTAAACTAGTGAAGTTCTAAATTGAAATAGGACAAAAATCATGCAATTGCAGTTAGTTACCTGCTTTGACTTTGCCAGCTCAGATACTTTGCATCCATTGTTTCCTCTCTCTGACAAGATTTTAAACAACTCACTCTTCAATGTGCCAGGGCATAGGCCATAGTTTACAATAAGATTCAATTCCTACAAAACAACACATAAGACTATACCTTAAAATCCAAAACATGCACCTAACTAAGAACTTTGATAAATGCTAACTACTTATTCTCATTACTACTGATTAGCTACAGCTGAAAACATGGCTGTATTTTATGGGATAAAGATAAATGCCATCATTTTTAATTTCCTATCCAAACTGGCTTACACAATCAGTAAACAAAGAGTGCCAAATTGTTAACAATTTTTCCAAATAGGTGGCACTAAATGTTTCGTTGATAAAGTATAACTTTTTTCACTCCCAATGGATCAGAATTAAATCCAAAGAGAGAAATATGATAGTTTTAGCTATATCATATAAAAATGTTCAAAGGTGCATATTTGAGATGACAAAAACAGTGTCTTTGACAATTGAGCTGGTTTTATTGGAATTTATAAGATTAAGTAAATGCCTAACAGCTTCACAGAAGTTTGGTAGCTCAAGAACTCTGATGAAGTTGACACTCCTTGGCAAAGTTAGCTTGCCATTATTATTATAAAGTGATTTGTCATTAGTAAATCATAGAAGATGATATTTCTTTTATGTTTTTCAAGGGTGGGGAAGGGGGGACCTTGATTTTGAAGCCAAAAAATACATATCTCTTTGGAATGAGAAATTATGGACGGCAGAAGCACAGACATCTTTAAATTTTAACATTGCTGAAACTTTTGAAACCTAGGTTTCCCATGAGTAGGTAAATACCCCCGACATATTGCCTTCAGTTACATGACATATATGATTCAAATATTATTTTGCCTCAAAATCTGCTAAAGTAGATAACAACCAAGAAAACAGACGTGCTCCATTAAGGATATGTCATAAGGAAGATTATACAAAAATATACACTAATAATCAAAAGCCTTTAGAATGTTTGATCTTATATAAACATAGACACACACATAAACATATTAAGGTGAAGTCAGACCTAGAATGGGCTTGTTTAGACTTTGGAATACCTTGCTAAGGGCCTCTCTACGTAAGGAACCTTGCTTTGAACCAAATCCAGAGGCAATCAGCACTTGACGGAGTATTTCAATCCAAGTAAGAGGATTTAGAGATCTTCTCCAGAAGTCCAGGGAATATTCTTGACTTTCAACCTGCCAAATAATTTTAAAATGAACATGTAAAGAATTTGTATTAGAGCAAAAATAGATAAATGTTATATTGTTAGTTATTAAATGTAGAAGACAAGAAGCATGTTATTATTCATAACCTCCCAAAATGAGCTAAGGAAACTCACCGAGTGAAGCAATGCAAGAAAGTTACATGACTTATTTAAATGAGCTGAAAACTCATTAGCAAGCTCCACTTCAATGTCAGATAGAAGAAGTGTGAGAAGGGCCACATGAATCTTCCCAAGTAACATTGAGTCCTACAAGACACATGCAGAAAAATAAGACACATTTTGGATGTCAAATTGTGCTCTAAAAATCAAACAAGAAAATTGAAAGCACTGCAAAATATAAAACTTGGGTCAAAGATGACATATTACCTTATCATGAAATGCTTGAACAAACTCATCAAGAGTGAAGGAACAAATATCAAGAACTGTAGCATATGTATAAATGAAATGGAAAACCTGACAAAATAGAGTTAATTCAACGTCAATTTAAAGTCGTTATCATTAAAAAAGTTTCAAGAGAATCAGAAACAAAGTGAGATAGTAACTTGAGTAAAGCTTAACAATGATAATGCTTGATAATCTAATAGAACTTCTTTCAACACAAAACAAATAAATAATCTAAAAATTTCTTTCAGTCACATAACAAATAAATCCAGCAGAGTAACTATTTATATGACCTATTGGAAAGATAGATAAACACTTAAGCTAATTGTGCAATAAAAATGTACATCATAGAAGAGAAACTTTAGTACATGAGTGTAGGAAGAACATAGGGCATGTAAAAATAAATGACATATACATTCACAAAATCAGATCTTCCAAGCCACAACTGATTGATTACGCTGACCTTAAATAATTTCTTCACAATTTCTGGAGAGGAGTCCCAAGGTTGCAAATGGATAGGTTTCTTCATCTTGACATTATCTGGGGGGAACTTAGCCAGCACATCTGTGAAATGAAATGAGCAATCATTGACTGGTAATTATCACAACATTCCCACATTATGCAGTTACTTTAGAACATAAAACAGTACTCTAGTTAATTCTTCTTCCTTCCAAAATTACCTTTACAAAGTGAGCAGCCAAACATTCCACTGGCAGCAAGATGATCAGAACACATCAGCAGATTGTCTCCTTGTAACTCTCTAAGCTCTAGCTCTTCATCATCAATTAACATTGAAATTCGATCAACTCCCTCATCTGATATTGCATTATCTAAAGCAAGTTCACATTTTTCCTTCGGTGTCTGATTCTGAGTCACATGTATGTTCAATTCCCCCTGCCAGATAAGATAGAGTTGTAAACTTGTCAAACTATCACCTAACATTAATCACAGAAGAACACATTTAACTTTTAAATTACCACTCTTCTTTGCAAGGCAAGTTTCCTCTTATCCTTCAACTGAGTTCTCTTATTCTGCATTTTATTTTTTTGCATTCCCTGAGGGTGAAAGATAATATCAAGATCTACTATTATTAATCAAAATTCACAAGCTTTCCACATGTATTGTAAGGAGGACAACAAAGTGAGCTACATATATGAGTTGAGAAAACTTACATTCAAGCTCACTGTTTTCAATGACCTGTTCTCACAGACTTGTTTCTGTGTCATAGAATTTGCGATTAGCGAAACATCTTGGTCAGCAACGCCAAAACCAATTGGAAGGTCTGCAGCATCAGGATTTGTTGCCCTCCAAACTGTCATCAGACCTTTGCCAATACCATGTTTCTTCACAGGTGCTTTCATATTACAATTGGGTTGCCTTCGAATTGCACTCTTGGAAACCTGAGGAAAGGGGATCTATGTCAAATGTAAAGGTGTGTAAAAAGAAAAATAAAAATTTCTTGGGACACTAAAATTCACCTTTCTTCTTTTCGTAGATTCTTGGTCCTCTTCACATGCAAAAGTGAAATATTTGGGTCCAAAGCAAATAGCAATCAAAGCCAAAATGGATAAAACAAGGTTAATTACAAAAATTATAACAGTGAGATGCAAAAGAGAATTGAAGGTATACTTAGAATAATAAAAATGGCCAAATGGTAGAAGTAAAAACCAATGTATATTTGCCAGGTACAAGAGCACAATTGAAGGAACTAAAAAGGAAGTGACATTCTACTACTCAATTTTCAATTGAGCCTGAACATTTTATTTTATCTGTCAGAAAGAAAAGGTTAGAGAACATTTGCAATGATTAACAAAACATAATAAATATTTAGTTTAACTTCAAATTTCTATAGATACTATATATCAAATGATGCACAAGTAATGAGTATTAAAATAATTTTGCTCCCCTCCATCTTCACTCCATTCAAAAGAGGGATGATGTTAATTAAGAAATCGAAACTCACTCATCTAATACAAAGTTCTTTATAGAAAGTCATATTATGCCATTGTTCCTGCCCAAGATTGTCGCCTAGGTCATGGTTATTCAATTCTATTTGGACTTCCAATGAGTAAACTTATACCTGATATGATTTTGTTAAAAAAATCAATAGTACAGTAAGATAATCTCCCGGAGTTCTATGAAACCTAAGCTCCCTATAGCTTTACTGTATAACCCAACGATCTCTGTAGCTGATTTTTCATATGGTATATATAATTCATAAATAACAATAATAATAATAATAATAATAATAATAATAATAAAAAATAAAAATAAAAAAAAATAAAATAAATAGTAGTAGTAGTTAAATTACCAAACAGAAGATTGTCATTCCATACATCTAGATTTTTCCATTCAAGCCTAGTTCTCTTGTCTCAATAATTACTACGTTATGATGAAAGACCAGATCCTTTTCATTAGTTTGGCACAATATCCAAGCATAGCATGTGTTGTATCATATGGCAATTAAAAAATAAAAGAAGCATCGACTGAATCCACTGTGGATCGCCATTCAGCACTAATACAATGGTAAAGGAAACAGAGGATAAAGTAATCAGTAGAATAACTAGAAACCATGCTAAACGCACCAGAAGGAAGAGAATCAAATTCCTGGCCGAGAGTAGGGCCATCCTTCCGCAGCACGTTGTTGACAATGTAGTCTGCAGTAAACAACTCCTGAAGACATTTTCGTTTCTGCCTTTTCTTAACATTACCGGTCGCCGCCATATATCTTGAAGATGAAGAACCGTTTCTAGAAGCAGCGATCGCCGAAAGTGTTTTCCCACCATAACTGCGGAATTTTTCGCGCGAAGAACCACACGACGCTACTATCACTCCGTTTTCCCCCTTCTCCCTCTGCGTTCTGCACTTGTCATAGCGTTCCATCACCTTCAGTGTTCCGTGCTTCTCATCTGCGCCACAGAAAACGTGACAGAGAGTCAAAATTAGAGTTGAGACCTGAAGCTGAAATGAGTCACAAAATGAATTATGCAAAGGAAATGCAATAGTGTGACGATCAAACACTGGAACTCCGTGGAATTCAGTTACGATGGTTGAGCGTTGTGGCGGTCTTTGAAGGAGGAAAAACGAGAACATGAAACAGAACGTGGATGAGAATAGAGAAGAATGAGTGGAAGAGGTGTGAGAAACGTACCGCGATGACAGCTTCGGCACTGTGAGTTCGGAAATGAAATGGCACAGAGGAAGTAGCTTGGACAATACAAGTGAAGCAGAGGATAATATGTTAGAAGAAGTAGGGTTTTGGGTTTTATGGAAGAGGAGAAATATCTCTCGTTTTACCAAGCAATCCATCTCACCACCCAAAATATCAGAACAAAATACTCCTTCTTCTTATTGGGCTCGAATTCAGCCCACTTATTACACTCCACGAAATCAAATCATCACTCCTCATTTTTAAAAAATATCAATTCCTAATTAAACTTGCAATGCCATTACTCAATATTGTATGTAATTTAGGTGAAGGTCAACCACGAGCTACAACTCACAGATGAGTTAGCAAAACAAATTTTAAAAATTTAAATATTTAAAAACTAATTCTTATCAAATTTTACAGATAAAAAATATAAATCTTTTAAATATTTAAAATAAGTTTTTCTTTAACATAATTCTTTTTAAGGTTTAAAAAAATGTAATTCTTTATTCATGAGAAACCATATGGTATTCTTTCAAACTCACTTCTATCTTTGTTTTTTTTAAAAAGTCAGATAATCCTCTTTTAGAATATTGTCATATAAACTTTATTCAAATTTTCTTTCTTCTATTTTAATTCTTTTTTTATTTCTCATCCTTAATAGTATGCAAACCCATTTGTCATATCTACTAAGAACTCTAAATCTACATAATTGGCCTCCTTTTTTATTGTTATACTCTCCATTGTAAGATTTTCTTATTTAAAAATATTGTATATTCATTCCAATTATCTTAAAAATCATCATTTTTGTTTAATTAAAATAAGAATAATGATTAAAGAAATTTTATTGAACCAAAAACGACGCATAAATTCACTTCGCTGTAAATTTAGCTTAAATCAAAATTATCCGCTTAAGCTAAATTTACATAAAAATAAATCTAATTTATTCGTCAAATTCGCTTAAGCTAAAAAAAATATACTTAAACTAATCAAAGATTAAGATAAATTTAAAATTTTTATCAAAATTAGCTTAAGTCAAAATACATGAATTTAAGCAAATTAAAGACATATATAAATCTAACACACATTCGCTTAAGCTTATTGTGGCTTAAGCTAATCTAAGACAGATATTAATCTAAAATACTCATTATAATTAGCTTATTTTATTTAAAAATATTAATTATTTTTCTATAAATAGGCTTGAATCCATATTATGATTAGTAAAAATGACAGTAATAAAATATATCTGGCAAGCACAAAGTTGCACAAATTTTATAAGGTATAATAACATTTTATGTTGTCGGCTTTTGAGACAAGGATATTATTTAATCGAATTTAATTTTTAATTATCATCAATCTCTTACTTCATGTTAATTTATAAAAGATTAATCATCTTATTTATACAGGGTGACATGATTTGAATTTTGTAAAAATTGTTCAGAACTTGATAATATATAAATAAATAAATAGATAATAATATGAGTAATGTAACAAGAGGTAACTCATACAATAAAATTTTTACTAATAATGATCTCGCTTATCTTTTATTATTTTCTTAGAACATGAAATATCATAGCTTAATGACAGTTTCCTCAATAAGTTGGGTGTGAAGTTACACAATCTCAATATTTCATGACTGTTTCTGGATTATCGAATAACGTGTATGCAATTTCACAACTTACCATTACATTTACACTTAAGCTTATACATATTCACTTAAGCGCATATCATACATAAAGCCTTAAACATGGGAAACAAATCCACATCAAGCAGTCCATTTTCGCTTCAGTGATTCATTTGTAGCTTACCTCTTTACTCTATTTCAAAACAATACTTAATTTTCCACATAAGCATAAGCTAATATGTTTCACATAAGCACATAGGGTAACTTTAAGGTTCAGTTTAAACTTAGTTTTCGCGTGCTATTTTTTGCTCGGACGTGTGTTATTTTTAGCATAAGCACAATATTTTTAGTTTAACTTAGAATTTATTTGCTAAAACCCTATTTAATTTGCTTATGGTTGACTTATTTTCTTTAAGCTATGTTTATCGCTTAAGCTTTAACTTGTTAGTTTAAGTTAGTATTTTAAGCTTCAGCGATACACAATCCGCTTGAGTTAAGGAAGTAGTAGCTTAAGCGTTATATATTTAGCTTCAGTGAAATAGTAAGCCCCTATCATTCATAAAAGCACGACAACAAATTATTAGCTACTTTATTTTATGGACTCATTCTTATTTTTACCTAAACTATATATTTAAATTTAAAAGTAAAATATATTTTTTCATATTTGTTAATCACCATAAAATACCAGTAGTCCAACTAAATACAATTTAATTAATTTGATATCATATTACTTAGTTAAGTCATATGTTATAGTCACAAATTTAAAACTCAAAATAGAAAAGTATAAAAACATATTTTTTTTTGTGAATTTTATTTTTTTATTATATTTTTAATTTAGACATATATTTCAATTATAAAAGTTGGTATTAATCCTAAGAATATATTTGGTAAAATTTTTCAATATTCAAAATCCTAATTAAATAACTGAAATAATCGTTAAATAACATATTTTTTATTTGTTAATGGTATAACTAGTATTTTTTTATAATGGTATTGAACTTTTTTTTTACAAATTCAGCAATAGTATTTGAAAGCTTAAGATAAATTATTATAAAAATAGTTAACTCATCATTAGATTTATTAAAATAATGAGGAGAATAAGGTGGAAGGTCATCAAATTTGTTTCAATTTTTCTATGATATTATTTTCAAACATTTTAATTACTTTATATTATTATGAAAATTTCAAAACAAATTTTTTAAATTGATTCTAATGATAATTTTCTAATTTTCAAAAGCTTGCGAATATTTATAATTATTGTTATTTTATTTTATACTTATTTCAATAAGTTTTTTTAATATAGCTCAATATATAAAATTCTATGAATAAATTTAAGATAATAACAAATTATACAAAATTGTTTATTTAATAATAAGTTAATTAAGGTGTGTTTTCAAACAAACTCTAAATTTATGGCAACAGTCTTAATATAAAAAAAATATATATTGATTAAGTAATTAATTAAACTATATACATTAAATATTATATTTTATCATACAAAAACGACTTGTGATATTAAAATTTGTATTTTCTTATAAATAATCTTAACAAAACTTTCAATAATAATGTCTGTAGTTGTATGAATTTGCTTAACAAATTCAAATACTTTTAAAAGCTTATTTAATAGCTTCATTCCTTCATATTATAGTCTCTATTGTTTATCATTTGCCCGTGTCTTGATTCTTAGACTAATTATTTTATCATAATTTTCATATCTTCTATGGTAAAATTTTTATATATATTATTAAATATAAAAGAAGAAATTATTATATAGTCTCTATAGTCTATCCCTCCTTGCGATAAAACCTATGGAGAGACATGCATAAAGATATTGACTGAGCTCTTTTTCTTTCATATGGTAAATTTTTCATATAATTACCAATGGAAACTTTTGATACATATTAATTTCAAAATATACTTAATGAATTCACATAAAGGTTTATTTATTTATTTATAACCTAAAATGTTAAGAAGTTAAAATTTAGTCCTTATCATCAATTATTCTTCTATTGGTTTCAGGTGGTCTTCTAGCAAGTTTTATGCATCAACTTCAAGATTGTTAATAAGATACAGGTGTTTGTTGAACTTTTAAAGTCTAAAAAATAGAGGAATAAGGAGAAATAGTGGAGAATTGAAAGACATATTTCACGTTTCACTTAAGCCGTAGTAATTTTGCTTAAGCTATATTGATTATAATAAAAGAGTTTATTTACCTTGATATTCGTTTAAGCTAATATTCATTGTTTAAGTCAAAATTGTATTATATTTCACGCCTTAAGCTATTTATCTCTCGCTTAAGCGAATTACCTCTAGTGAATAATTTTTTGTTGATAATTTTAGCTTAAGCAAAAAAAACACGGCTCAATCTAAAGTTGCAGAATTTGTGCGATGTAAACTGATTATTATATAAAGAGAACATGAAAAAAATCTAAAAGATCATTAAATAATGTATCAATACAAATGTCATTTTCGTGATGAATTAAGATTGTAAGAGTGAATGTAAAATTATTAATTCTAAAAATCATTAACTTCAAAAATAGGGTTTGTGAAGAACTTATAACTATTGCCATTATGTCTCATAATTGTTGCCATTGTGTCTCTGATTAGTGATACGGGTCATAATCCAAACATGCTTCTATGTAAGTAATTTTATTCATACCTTATTCCCTATGCTACCCTCACTCTTCTAAGCTCCTTTGCCCTATGCCTTTAGTTAATTTGCTTTGAATGATTGTTTCACTCTTCGAAAGTGAGCAAATATTAGATGGAAGGAAACCTCGACTAAGAATTGAATACAATAATTTATTCATCTATGTTCTTATTTAGCTTTCAAGTATGAGAGAACTTCTATAAAGTGAGCCCTTTAATCTTAGATTGTCAAGATACAAAATAAAAGGTTTTAAAGGTGCAAAGAGAAATTATAAAAAATTATACGAATGATTAAATGATAAATATGCATAAACTTATATTATTAAGTTACAAGTAAAAGATCTGAATTGTTTATGAATTTTAAAATATATTTAACAGTTTAAAAATAGTTACTCACTCATAAATTACTTAACATGCTAATTCATGCTAGCCTTCATGCTTAACTTTTTTATTGTGTTATAAATATACATGTTAAAAAATAATAAATAGTAATTTTTTATTAAAATTTATAATATTTAATATTATTAACATATTTTATTTAATTTAATTTTGATGTCTAGTCCTACGTCATTGGACAACAGGGTGAAAATTATTTGTATTACCAGTATATAAAAAATAAATTGTATAGCTGACTAAATCACACATGTATAACTTCATTTATATTATTAACAAAGTTGCATATGTGCCATGTCCATTATACTTGAAATATGAAACAAATAAAGGCGTTATCCGGACACATAGAATAAAAATTAGCAGCAAAATAATTATTTTGTTCTTACTGTTTAATATACAAGTATAAAGTTTTGCAATAAGGGATAGCTTATTTGACATGAGATACTTTCAATCTAAAGAAATAATAAAATAAACCTCAATAATCTTTAGATTAAAAAAAATCTCTAACTGTTGATTAAGGAATAACATTAATAAGTCTAGAAAAATATTTTCTCCCGTAAATTACATGTGCAGTTAGTTTATGTTGTATTTTTATTTAAGCAATTTTTTTTTACTTAAACAAAAATACAAAAATAATACTAATTAGAAAGGAATTTATTAGAAAAAAAAAAGAAGGGATTCGCATCTGCAATTTAATAAAAAAATAATATAATAATCTATAAATAATACGGGAGGCATTAGGATTAGGTATAATAATTTGTTGTAATTAAATAATTTATAAAGAATTTGAATGTTTAAAAAAAATATATATTTTCAATACTGTTTGGGCTAAGACAGGTATAAGAGTTTAAGAAAAATTTAACCCCCGGTGTACAGATTGATAACTCAGAATATTATTATTAAAATTCAATGAATTTATTTAACAACAAATGAGTTATATTACATCACAATAAAAATATACTATACTTTTTATTACGAAAAAGAGAAAATATTTTTTAAACACTTTATTTTTTGTTTTATATATATTTTAATGTAAATTTATTTTATAAAATTAATCTCAAGATCATTTTTAAAAGTAAAAACAAATATTTTTTTATATAAATTTTATAATTCATACTTTATTAGCAATTTTTTTAATAATGAATAAATTTTAAAATATATCTTCATAACAAATTTTGTTGTCATCTAATCTAATACTACAAATAAAAATAGTTTATGGACATGCGCGCAGCGCGAGATATAAAAGTAGTTAGGGTTTTTGACATCCAATAGTTAGATCAATATAGAGGGAAAGAACGAGTGAGAGAGAAAAAGAAAGGAATTTCAATGGCTTCTAGGGTTACTCTGAAGGCGAAAGGGAAGAGTTCAAAGGGATCGAAAGCGGAAGATCGATCAGCGAGTGAGTGTTTGAAGGAGTGGACCACATGGGCGATGAGAAAAGCTAAGGTCGTCACCCACTACGGGTTCATCCCTTTGGTTATCATCATCGGTATGAACTCTGACCCAAAACCCCAACTTTCCCAGCTTCTCAGCCCCGTTTAATCTAAACGTTTATCCGTCTCGCATCACATCACTGCGGCGTCGTTTTCCTTTTTTTTTTTTTTTAAATCCCCCCCTTTTTAATATTTGTAAGTTTGTGGTTCAATTTTCAGTCGCATGTCTAATGTAATATGATGATGTCAAACTGGATTAGCTTGTTTGATTTTGGATAAATTTCGAAAATTCAGTACCAAATAACCGCTCATTATAATTACAACAGTATCGTGTGATTTCGCTTTGTTGAGCAGCTGGAGAATTGTTTTGTTTTGTACTATAGGACATTGAATCTTGCAATTGCGTTTGTTGCTTAAGATTCCTTGAGGCTTTGTTTGGAATTTAGCGAAAGATGGAAGGAAAGGGTTTGAAGGAGAAGGGAGAGTTAAAAAAAAAAAAAACCTGTAAATTGAAGCAGAGGAGTTTTGGAAAGTTTATACAACTTTTCCCCTTTCTTCTAAAAACTCGCAGTATAATTAAATAAGTTTTTCCTCTTTTTTTCAAAAATTAACTCTCAAAAAGTTTAAAAACCGTGTTCTGGTGCTTGAATGATTTTTAGACTATCAATTTGGTAAGGGGTAACATACATCAACATGATGGCGAGTTTGCAGATCAAAGTAGTTCATGAGTTACAATTTACTACAAGTAAATGATGTTATGCGATAAACAGAAGTCATGATTTGATGACCGATTTAATCGTTACAAACCAAGTGGTCATAGTTGATTTAGAGCGTGTTTGTTTCAGATTATTTTCTTGAAGAAATAATACTTGTTTTTATCAAAATTTTGACACAAATTTTTAAAAAAAATGATCAATTAATTTGTTTCTGAACATGATTTAGGGTGCGACGCGGATTATAATTAGCAAGTTATGGTTTGGTCTAGTGGAAAAACAAATTCTTTCCCATTTTTAATTGAATCATGATTTTAGACCTAAAATCATTGCCAGCAACATTTAAAGTGTGATTTCGTCAAACTAAAATTCAAACTAGCACTTTGAGAATCTTGGGGAAATGGGTATTCGCTAAGTGCGCGTTTGAATTCACGTTCTTTCCACTTTTACAAGTTTTCCAACAAGTTTACTAGTTGAAGTGTAACGGATTATATGTTTGCTTCTTCACCCCTCTATTCTGGGATTTCTGCGTCCGAGCTAAATATGTCTGCAGCCTCCGCGTGACTTAAACGACTGCTGAGTTTTACAATTTTGATTCGAGATAAAAAAAAGTGCATGTAACTCAATTTTTAAAAAAATTGATAAACTGCTAGATTTTACATGAAGATGTTCGAGAATAATTTTTTGTATTAATCAAGTTATTTGAATTTTTGTCGTAAGTAATTGTCAAGTCTGTATTTGGTGTGTAAGGAAGGTCGTAATCGGTCTTGTTTATACGAGATTAGCAGTGAAAGAAAATAAAATTGTGTACATCTTAGATCTTTTAATGTGTTCTGATTTACTTTAATGTTCCTAGTTGAATTTACATTTTCAAAATTTTTAACATATTTTCAAACACACTTCGACTGTTTTTACTTAGGATTCGTGAGAACCTCGCACAACGTTCTTTGATAACTTTCCTTTTTGTAGCAAAACAAGGCAAACGGAACACATCATCAAATTAATTTTGTCTAACATATCAATTGTAAGAATATAAAATTCTCGTAGTTTTTAAAAGTTATATATGGGAGTTATACTGGTTTCTTAAGGAGTATACACCATGTTTTGGTTGAGGAATTTTTTTTTTACATTTTTAATTGCAGGGTGTTATTTTTATTTTATTTTATGTTTCAAAGGTTAATATAGAATCATAAATTCTTTTCTCAAGGTAAGTAGGTTTACTTTTCAATTATACATCTTTCAAGCATGCTGTTATCTAGCCATTAATATGCTTCGTTGAACATTGAATAACATTCTGGAGGTGCTATATCAATGATTGAAGCCACAAAAAGAAAAGAGCTCCCCAACCACTGGCACTTTTTTTTATTGAGCTTTTAATATGAGCTAAAGCCATAAATAACATTTCTCATCTTGGAACTTTGAAGTCTTATTTTGGAGCATTTCATAAAGATTTTTGACCAATTTGTTTCTCAGTTATGGGAATGTTTTTTGTACTTGACATTCTGACATTTCATGATTTTGGACATGATTTTCAACTTACTTATGCCTGAATGGTTTAGCATTGAAACTTTTTGAAACAGAGTTTATTAAATAAAATATATTTTTAGCTTTCAAGAAAGTTGTGATAGTTGCATTTTTTGTTGCAAATGCTAAGGCCAACAAGCTCTTAAAATTGATGGTGTAATTTTGACAAATGGTCCAATTTAGGCCTCCAATTTTTGTCCAAATGACCGTCAACGGTTATCACGCTGAAAAAATCTACAACAATTAGCCTTTGATCAAAATAATGTCATTTCTGTATGATTTTATTTCATTTTATTCGGAAGTCATATTAAATTTTGAATAATTCAAGTTAAATTGAATAAACTCACTTAAAAGAAATAAAATTCTCAATATCTATTTTTTTTAGTTCACATCACTCAATTTTTCAACTAGAAGTTTATTTAGAAAGTTATAACTTCTTAACTTGGTTAATAAATTAGTAAAGTTGACAGAACTTGTAAAATAACATTTAACTTTCAAAAATTAATTAATAATTTTTTATTATATTTTTTTCTTTTTTAAAATAACTTACTCATTACATAATTAAAATTATACATACACATGTTATTCTTTTTTTTTTTTTTTTAAATTCACAAGTCTTTTTTTTTCTTCTACCTGCTCTCTTATTCTTTTTATCTAAGTGTATTTTATGCTAAAAAAAAATATGGTTTAGAGTATATAAAAAAATTTTAATTTTTATACAGTTATTTAATTAATTAAATGTAAATAAATATAATAAGTAATTTTAATATTATATTAATATAATATTATATATCTTTTTAGGCTTTTTTATTTAAATATTGTAAATTTAAAAATAATTTTTTAAATTATAGTTTTTTAAAACTATTAATTTGTTTAACGTGACACACTGTTTCATCAAAATGATTGATGAAAATATTATTTTTTAAAGAAAATAATAAATTTTGTCATTAAAAGTATAAAATAACTAGATCATAACATGTGTAAGCATTTGGATAATTTTGTAATATTAATGGTGAAACTAATAAGTAATTTCACTATGAAAAATAAGAAACTCGTAGATGGTAACACATGTTACGGTTTTAATGAGTTTCGCTATGAAAAGTAAAAAACTATTAGATGGTGACACGTGTCATGATGTTAGTGAATTTTACCATAAAAATTACACAATTTATAAAAAGTTTACAAGTGTCACAATTTTGACTCATTACGTAAATTAAATATAAATTATTTTAATTTATTATAAAATTATAATCACATTATAATTAAATAAAATTTTAACAAAACTAACTAACATTATACTTGAAAATATTTTTTTTATTTACATGCTATTTTAAATTACATCTTAATTTAAAAAAATTAAAATTATTAACATAATTAAGCTTAAGCATAATAATTTTTATTAGTAGATATTGCTTATAATTATATTGAAATTAAAAAAAATAAATTACTAACATAATAATAACAAATATTTTTTATATTTACATACAAATTACTAATGTAATGACAATACGTAATTTACTTTCATTAATTTTAATAACAATCAAACAAAATCTAATTTAAATTTATATATAAATCATGACCATATTTAAAATAAAAATAAAATTACTAAAATAATACTATAAAATATTTTTTTATTTACATACAAATTTAAATTACATCTTAATTAAAAAATAAAATTACTAATATAATTAAGCATAATAATTTTTATTAGTTGATATTAATTATAATTTTATTAAAATTAAAAACTAAATTACTAACATAATATTAAAAAATATTTTTTATATTTATATATAAATTACTAATGTAAAAATAATACATAATTTACTTTCATTAATTTTAATAACATAATAAAAAAATTTAATTTGAATTTACATACAAATCATGATCATATTTAAAATAAAAATAAAATTACTAACATAATTAAGCATAACAATTTTTATGAGTAGATACTAATTATAATTACTGTAAAATTAAAAAAATAAATTACTAACATAATATCAGAAAATATTTCTTATATTTATATATAAATTACTAATGTAATCACAATACCTATTTTTCTTTTATTAATTTTAATAACATAATTAAATAAAATTTAATTATTTTTACATACAAGACCATGTTTAAAATAAAAATTAAATTATTAAAATAATAATAATTTGTATGTAAATATTAAAAATATTTTCTTGTATGTTAGTAATTTTTTTTAATTTTAATTGATATTTAATGATAAAAATTATTATGCTTAATTACATTAGTGATTTTAATTTTTTTAATTAAGATGTAAATTAAAGTTGTAAGTAAAAAAAAAATATTTTTAGATATAATATTAGTTAATTTTAGAATTTTATTTAATTATGATGTGATTATAATTTTATAGTAAATTAAAAAAATTTATATTTAATTCACGTATTTTTATAAAAATAATTTTAAAAAACTTATAATTTAAGAAATTATTTTTAAATTATAATATTTAAATAAAAAAGCCATCTTTTTTAAGTCATTCAACATAAATTAGTTAATTCTATTGTTAGTTTATCAAATAACTTTAATTTTATAAAATAGAGCTATAAGTTTTAAGTATAACTCTATAGTTTGCAGCTAATTTTATAGTTAAATGTTACAAATTCACAGTTTGTCTTATTTTATCAAACATAACCTTAATTTATTATCCATTACTCAAAAGAAAACTTTAATTTATGATAAGCCATGTAATCACTAAAATCAAATAAACTAATTTTACGAACACATATAGTTGAATATGAAATTGATAAACACATGTAGTTGAATATTTAGTAGCTTGCCAATTAGCCTATTCAATGCATAACGTGCGCAGAATGACTACTCAATTTCAAATGGTGATTTATGAGCCTAATTTATTCGATAATGCTACGTGTTACCGAATTTTTCTGAACAAATTGCCAAATGTCCTGGTATGAACAATTAAATAATAAAACAAAATAGAAAGAAATTTGAAAGTTAGACAAAAATCATGGATGATAAGTTAGCAAATTACAATCTATTAATCTGCATTCATCTATTTTCATCCGCATTCATTAGCAATTTACAATCTATTAATCTGCAGATTTAATAAGTTAGCAAATTGCTATATCTATTCGTTGAACAGGTGAAAAACTAAAATAGATTAGTATTTGCTAATTCGTGAATAAGAGGCTAAAGAAACTCCAGCTAATTAACTCCTGCGCAGTAAACTTTAGCCCGAATGATCAATGGCCAGTACATGCACAAACTATTTCTAAACATACAAAACAAGAGTTCTTATTACTAATGGAGTTGTGCATCATAGAGGGCCATTAGTAATAAGTGTGATTCTAGTGTCACTTTCTGCATCAATTATTATTGGAAGCTTGGAAGAGTCAAGCATTCTACTTCAAGGAGCTGGCCTAGCCTGGCTATGGTTGTGGGATGTGGACGGTGAAAGATTGTAATGTGGAACAATTTTAATTGCAAATTTGCAGTACAGCATATGCATTGTCTTTAATGCATTTTGGTTTTCTCCTCCTATAGCCTATGCTATCCAACACATGACACTGTTGCACGTCGTAAATTGCGTGGACTTTATTCGTCTTGTCCGTCCCATGCAATCAACACAATCTCATCCACGATCATATGTATCTGGCATGAAACACACCTTTCTTTAACAATGAAAACGTTTCCTATTATGTTCTATTCAACTTTACTATTGACTAGGTAAACAAATATGCACTATCAACTTATATTACCAATCTGTTTCATTTAGACGGATTTTCATTCTCTTTCCAGAAAAGGTAATTAGACACTGTATTCGTTATAGGAATATAGAGTTTGAATAAGTTCATATATATATATATATATATATATATATTGACAAAATGGTCTTATTTGTTTATTTTTTCTGTTCAATTCTTCTAAATATCACAAATTTTTTATTTAGTCTTCTTGTGATATTTAGAAGAATTAAACAGAAATCAAATACAAAATTTCAAAGAGATGAAATAAAAGAAAAATAAAAAATCAACTATTTGATAAAAACAGTACTAGTACATTGTATAGGACTCATTTAAATACAACTAAATATAAATTTTGCAAATTTTTTAGAAACAAAAATTTAGTTAGTCAGCTTTTTTTTTTCAGTGAAATGTTATATTTCTTTCTTTCTTATCTTTTCTTTTGGTCGATATTTTTATTTCTTTTCATGAGATGTCATGTTCACGTATTAGCTGCCTTCTTGGATTTGTCCATCCTACCTAAAACTCACGTTCAAACAATAACAACGTCATTTTTCCTCAAAATTAAATTCACTTTAAAATGTGACTTTTTTTTTAAAAACGATTTTACTTACATATAAAATTATAAATGCCCACTCAGGCTAACACACAATTATCTTCCTATAATACAAATATAAGTACGTACACATGAATTTTAAGATTTATTTTTACCTTAACTGTATATATATATATATATATATTACTATAAAATATTGTTTCTTCAAATTAATATTTTTCAAATTAAATTTAAAATTTGGCACATCACATCATATTAAATTAATAGACATGAAGATGATATATCTGGATTCAAACAATTTTTTTTTTCAAATTTTAAAATTTATTACCTATTATGTGAAATTAAAGAGTTAAATTAGACTTGATTAATTGGAGTCGTATTAGATAAACGCACTAAACTAAACACAATCCTCCAAAACTCTACTTTTTTTATTCATTAGAAACATCAAATATCTTACTTAAGAAAATCATATTATATTATTGTTGTTGTTGTGGTTATATTTCCTATATTTTTAAAAATTAATAAAATATGTATACAAAGAAACTTATAATAAAAAAGAAAACTGTAGACAACGATGGAACACAATAATGGATAGTGCCCTAAAATGGACCGTTAGCGTCTGCAGCAAATGAATCTCGGCATGGCGAAAGAAACACTTTTGTTTGCCTTGTGTGATTTAACTGAGGATTCGAAATACGTTATTTATAAATTGTTTATATTTAACTAGTTAAATCTTCACTGATTTTGTTGTTCAAGATTAAATCTGGATTGAAAAACATAGAAATAATGAATTTAGATAGAAATTAAATAATAAAAATAGTAACATTTTAAGTTATTTGGTATAATAGTATGAAAAAACAGAAGGAAAATAAAAGTAATTTTCTTAGTTCTTGTTATTTAGTTGAAAAAGAAGTATAAATAAAGAATGTAAACTTTTTTTTTTTTTAATTATGCCCGCAAAGTATACACGAATCATATAAAGCGAGAACGATAATTTTGACAGAAGTTTAAAAGTCGGAGTGCATTTTTACGTTTTTGTCATTTAACGATACGAGAGAGAGAGAGAGTAAAATGTGAATTTGACTTTTTTTTAATGTTTTATGCGACAATCCGAACCAAATGAATGAGTATAATTTATGTTAATTATTTTCTTTCTCGTTATTTTTTTCCTCGAATTAAAGACAATGTTAATATTTTCATGAAAAAAATAATTCTCTTAGTAGATATTTTTTACTCATTTAAAAAGTTTTATTAGAAAGCATTTAAAAAAAAAAATTAGCACCAAACCTATAAAAGGGATAAATAGACCGTATTTAAGTTTAAATTTGAAAAACATATTAAGTATAGTCCTTATAAAATCTAATATAATTTACTTCATTTCTAATCCTACTTGTGGATTGGATAAATATATCGCTGATTCAACCCTGAAAAAAAAATGGACAAGTCTTGAACAGGGTACAAGGGAAATTACTTGAACATGTAGTGTCCACTTAGTTTATTTAAAATGTTAATTATTACATCTTCAAATAAAAAATATTTAATAAAAAGTTATAAATAAAATTAACTTTGATATGTCTCTTGATTATATCGAATAATTTAAAGTTAATCACATAAATAAAACTATTCAACCTTAAAATAAATATTGAATTGTAGTATTTTGTTACTTACAACCCAATCAATATGCAATATTTTGTGCCATAAAGCTTATTTACAAATTGTCCCCTGTTCAATTATTATTATTATATGGTAACTTGTGATATATATGCCATTTAATGGGTTCTATTACTTGTTCTCGTTATTCATTCATCTTAACCCAGGATGGTAACAAGGATGATCACACTTGTAACTTTTCCACAACAAGATCTTTTAGTTCAATGAATTTTTCATCTATGTGAAAGACCCAACAAAAAATTCTGGCAATTTGTTACTGTACACTTCACTTCAGTATCCCTAAAACTAAATGAAGTCCTAATTAACAGTGATAACAAAAATACCGTTGTCAATGGCAACGATCTCAAATATACCAATGTCTTTTACTAAGTTAAGCTAATTTAGATTTGACACTTTTAGAGAAAAAAAGAAGAAGAAGCTCAATTCTCAATTATCATTATTATTTCACACGTTAAAGTTGAACTTTAAACACGTAACTTAATTCAGCTTATTTATAGTTCATATTCATAGTGTTACATGTTTTATTATTTGTAAATGTTGATGTTTGTTTGAGTTAAATAATTTATTAAATAGATTATAATTAATTTAAAATATTGTAATAAGTTAGTATAAAAGAATAAAAATAGGAGAAAACAGTAAAACATAATATAATTAACAAATAACATTAAAAATCAGTTGACCGTTAGAGCATACAAAACATGCATAGCCTATTGACAGATAGTTTAGTTAAAAAATTATGAAAAGAACTTTAATAATTAATTTAATAAAGTTTTGATTTTTAGTGCAAGAGGTCTTTGAACAATTTTTAATAAATTTTATTGTTCAAGAACAAATTATTAAATTTGAACTTAATAAATTTTAAATAAATAATAAATGAATTGATTTTTGTTTTCTTGTTTATAACGAACAAAAGGACAATTTCTTTTAAATACACATTTTTTTTTGAAATTTTTTTTAACACACAGGTTAAAAAAAATTGACTATTCATTAAATGTGTCAAGTTACCATTCGGTACGTGTCCTTAGTTTATACCCCGTTACTATCCATAAATGGGACCTCCTCAGTCCTCCCCACAGTTGAAATGCTAAAATATTGAAAGAAACCTGTGGGGTTGGTTGGGTGATATTGGAGGACTGGACGATGTGGGGAAAATTAATACTAACAATTATGGAAAACGATAATTCTTAAACGTTTCAGCATAAAAGAATGAACAGTTGTCAACCGTCTTCCTCTCACTAAATATAACATGTAAGAGAGAGACAGAGAGAGGAACCAAACCAAATGTCCGGCGGCCATACCTTCGCCGCTACACTTTTCCGGCAAGTCACGCCGTCGCTCCCAGCTATTAATTGATTTGACTTCACTGTCTATTACGATTCTCTTTCTCGCCAAATTTTCCCTATCCCTACCTCACTTTTTCTATCGTTTTTGAATCATTTGCTTTCACTCGCACATTCCAGTATTATGCTCTGTTTGTATCATCTCCGATCAATCATCAGCAGAGAGATGAACTATGTCAACTGATTCCACTGCAATGAATACGCAGCCAGACGCTGCCGCTCCCAACCTTGGCGAAGGTTATCCTTCTCTTTTCATTTAAACGCTGAACAATAATCACGACTTAGTTTTCTTTGTTTTGCATCAATTTCCTTTTCGATTCCATTGTTCTTTTCTTTTCTCTTTCTAGTTTCTATCTTATGCTGTTTTTTGTTTTAATTGAGGAATGACACGTGGCGATGATGTAGGAGGAGAGAGGAGGAGCATAAACCCTGAGCTATGGCAAGCTTGTGCGGGACCGTTGCGCAACCTTCCTTCGCCGGGGACTCACGTCGTTTACTTCCCTCAAGGACACAGCGAACAGGTTAGGTCACTTTGTTACTTCAATTCACTTAATATTATTTTATTTTATGCTCTTTTCGATCGTCAAGTAGTGCTTCGGTTTTTGAGATATATCAATGTATTGTCCATCCATGTTTGCAGGTTGTGAGACCTTTTGTTTACTTTCAGCTTTTTTCTAATGTACTTGTTGAGAACCATAACGTTCCTGATGACGTGGCAAAAGCTGAGCGAAGGGCCTGAAGCATTGTAGATTATACTGTATTTTCAGGATTTTTTGACATGAGTGATCCCTTGTTTCAGGTTGCTGCATCTTTGAAGCAGGATGTGGATGCCCAAATCCCAAACTATCCTAATCTTCCCTCCAAGTTACCGTGTCTCCTTCACAATGTCACCTTGCATGTATGGGTGAATTTTCTGCTTAAATGTCTGCTTCGGGAGAGTTTCCTGTTCTAATGTTGTCCAGTTCTTTTGTTTACATTCCCAGGCAGATCCAGAAACTGATGAAGTATATGCTCAGATGACACTTCAGCCGGTGCAATCTGTAAGTACATATGCAATGCTCTATACACTTTAAAACTGTATGACATGACAAGGAATAAAATTGAAACATAGTGTATGACTGTCCTATTTGCAAAAGATAAAGGCTGGAACAGTTCTTCACAGTTCCTAGGAATTTGGGAAGTATTGTTTCTGCATGTCCTGAGTATACCCAGCGTTTCAAATTTCTCACGAGTTGAAGACACTATGTGTGCAGTTTGATGCAGATGCCTTACTAAGATCAGATCTTTCCCTCAAGTCAAGTAAGCCCCAACCTGAGTTTTTCTGCAAACAACTGACAGCGAGTGATACAAGTACTCATGGAGGTTTCTCTGTACCCCGCCGTGCTGCAGAGAAGATTTTCCCCCCTCTTGTAGGCTGTGTTCTTATTTCAATTCCTCAACAAGAACTGTGGAGTTTGATCCAGTTCCTGTTTTTTCTATATAGGATTACTGTGTTGAACCACCTGTTCAAGAACTTGTGGCCAGGGATTTGCATAATAACATTTGGAGATTCCGCCATATATATCGTGGTAGGTTTACTTATCTATGATATACTTTTCTTCTCTGTAATAGGTTAACATCTTGTCAAGCTCACTTCTGAAATTTTTCGCCTATGACTGATCTCCCTAACTAGGAAAACCAAAACGTCACTTGCTTACAACTGGATGGAGTCTATTTGTCAGTGGAAAGAGACTTTTAGCTGGAGACTCTGTTTTATTTGTAAGGTGAAGGTTATGATGGATACCTTTTATATTCTTGATGTCGGTGTTTGTCGTTTACAATATGTTGATGCACTGCAATCAAACTTTACCATTTAAGCTCAACTCTTTTAAGCTAAAAACTTAGGCTCACTAGATTTCCTGATATCAAATGTTTCTGGGCAGAGATGAAAAGCAGCAGCTTCTTTTGGGTATCAGACGAGCTAACAGGCAACCCATCAATATATCATCCTCAGTACTATCTAGTGATAGTATGCACATTGGAATTCTGGCTGCCGCAGCTCATGCTGTTGCAAACAATAGTCCTTTCACTGTGTTTTATAATCCTAGGTTTGATTTACACTATTGTCAAAGTACTAATGCATAACTTCTTTGACTATCAGTTTTCTTTCCTGTCTGCAATCATATTGCAATGGATATGGTGAACCAGTATCCTTAGTTCTAAAATTTTTAAACCTCCGTGTACAGGGCTAGTCCCTCAGAATTTGTTATTCCTTTAGCCAAGTACTACAAGGCAGTGTATAGCTACTATATATCACCTGGCATGCGCTTCCGAATGACATTTGAAACTGAAGACTCTGGAACAAGAAGGTGCCTCACTTTAGACCATGTACTATATTCGTGAACTGTATATGCTAACTTGAAAATAATGCCCTGGTGAAGAGAACTGGGTGGTGACTATTATAATGGGAAGATGGACATATTTTTGCTTAGTTGTTGCCTGATACAAACAATACTTTATTTCTCCATTCAGTTTACTTAGACTTTACATTTTTTATATATTATTGGTGAGATGATTGTCTGGTAATAGATGTTATACATGGAAATGATTTTGATATGGAGTATTACATTCAATTTTATTGCAGATATATGGGTACAATTGTAGGTGTCAGTGATCTGGATTCTGTGAGATGGAAAAACTCACTATGGCATAATTTGCAGGTACAATTTTGTTCATCTTTTAGCAATTCCAGGAGGTAAAATTTGCCATCCATATATGAACGTTGGATCACTTGTACTCTTTAAAATGTTTTTTTCCCACATTTCTGTAAGATCAAAAGCAGTCATATGTAAGTTACATGCAAACGTTCAGGTTGGTTGGGATGATGCAACTGCTGGGGAAAGGCAAAGTAGGGTCTCCATCTGGGAAATTGAACCTGTGACTGCTCCATATTTCATCTGCCCACCTCCATTCTTCAGACCCAAGAGACCTAGACTACCAGGAATGCTAGGTGAATATTTTTTGATACACGCCTTTAGGAGCAAAATGAAATGTGTTGGATTTTTCTTCATCAACCTCTGTTAGATTGTTTCATCCTTGACCTTCATTCTTTACCCGTAGGACATTGGTTAAGGAAACAAAGTAAAAAATATTTAACGAAAATAATAACGTTTATTATATTGATAATGCAAAAAACATTTAGCACTTAATTTAGGAATTTAATAGAATATATTAACTGTTCTTTAATCAGTTCCTTTAAGGAAATCATTAGCAAGAACCTACCAAATTTCTCAATAAAGAAAAACTTGAATTCAGTTTGAAAAATGGAAATTTATTTCTGTTGATGTATTTTGTAACTTTTTTTTAAAAAAAACGCTTTGCAGATGATGAGCCATCAGATTTCAATAACCTTTTCAAGAGTACAATGCCTTGGGTTGGTGATGATATGTGCATTAACGATTCCCAAGCTCTTCCTGGCTTGAGCTTAGTTCAATGGATGAGCATACAGCAAAATCCTGCTCCAGCTAACTCATTTCAATCAAATTATGTGCCTTCCATGGCCGGATTGGTTCTGCAAAATCTTCCTAGTGCAGATACCTCAAATCAGCTGGGATTTTCTACTTCACAAATCTCTCAGTCGAACAATTTATCCTTTGATGCTCAGAAGATACTTCAGACTTCCCAGCAGCATGATCACATTCAGAAGCTACCATCCACATCCCCGCCACAGCAACCAAGGAACTTGATGAGTCAAACTTTACCACAGAGTGAAGTTCACACCCAACTTCTGAATCCCCAGAGTCTTGTCCAAACCAACAATATTCTTCAACAGCAACAATCATCCAGTCAAAACCACCAACTGCTTAGAGGTCTGTCTCAGAACCCACCTCAGCAACATCAAGTAACTACAATGGGTCAGAATCAACTGCAAAATTCGATTCAATCCCCTATGCCTGATTATGTTAATCATCAATTACAGATGTCTGATAATCAGGTTCAGCTTCAGTTGTTACAGAAGCTTCAACAGCAACAACAAACACTGTTGGCAAAGCAATCTGCTTTGCAGCAGCCTGCTCAACTTATTCAAATCCCAGACCAGCAGAGGAAGCTTTTAGATGTAGCACACAACTCTAGGGCCCTAACTCCTGGTCAAGTACTGGAAATTCCTCCTACTCTTCAAAACTCCCTCCCTGAGGCTAGATCTTTAACTCCTCAGATAACAATGCCTAGTAGTCAGAAAAATGTTCAACTCTCTAATCTATCCAAGCAACCTGGCTTATTGTCTGAAATTTCTGGTCATGTTGGACTTCCCCCTACAGCTACAACCAATCTACATTCAGCATCGGGCTGTAGTATACTGACTGGAGCAGGGCAATCAGTAATTACTGATGATGTTCCATCTTGTTCCACCTCACCTTCCTCAAATAACTTTGCCAATGCACTCCCTCCAGTGATAAGTTCCCAGATCCATAGGAGAACAATGGTAGAGGATGACATGGCTCTGTCTGCTGTCACGATCTTGAGTCCAAGTGTATTAGAAACCATGTCATCTAATGCAAACATGGTAAAAGATGTGCATTCAAAGTATGAAGTTAAGCCTTCTTTAAACATTTCCAAACATCAGACTCAAGGGAATTTTGCCCCTAAGGCCTACTTGAATGGTGGTGTGCAGACAGACTATTTGGATTCATCATCTTCTGCAACCTCGGTTTTCCTTTTTCAGAGTGATACTCATATGCATCAGAATAACAACCCATTGTCTTATAATCCACAGTCAATGCATTGTAGAGACAATACTCAAAATCTGGATGTTCAGGCTGACTCTAGGACCAACATTCCATATGGCAATCACATTAATGGGCAAATGGAAATGTCACCAAATCTAGATCCTCTTCTAACCAAAGGAACTATGGGGCTGGGTAAGGATTTGCCAAATACTATCTCCTCAGGAGGCTTGCTTGGGGACTACGAAAATAACAAAGATGCTCCAGAGCTTTCATCTTCAATGGTTTCTCATGCATTTGGAGTCCTTGATATGAGCTTTAATTCAATTGATTCCACCATAAACAGTAGTAGCTTCTTGAATAGTGGTCCAAGGAACCCACCATCATTGCCACTGCCACCGCCATTGTTGCCACCACCATCACAACAACATCAGTTTCAGCGGAAGAGAACATACACCAAGGTTTAGTATTATTATTATTGTTGTTTTAGTAATAAGCATTGACGTAAGTTTCTTGATTAGTATGTTTATTTATAACTATTATGCTGTTCTAAGTTAGTTTTTTGTCCTTAAAGGTATATAAACGTGGAGCCGTGGGAAGGTCCGTAGACATTACACGATATTCAGGTTATGAAGAGCTTAAACAGGATTTGGCTCTTAGATTTGGTATTGAGGGACAGCTGGAAGATCGGCAAAGGATAGGTTGGAAACTCGTTTATGTAGATCATGAGAATGATGTTCTGCTTGTGGGAGATGACCCCTGGGAGTAAGCCCTACTGGTTCTTTTTTCCCATTGGATTGCTTTTGCATGCGTGCATGCTTCTCACACTTTCTAAATTCATTTTTTTCCTTACTAGCCTACAAACAACAATAGCATAATCCTTTTTCAATTAGGTGTCTATTACATAAATAAATAAGATACCATTCCTCCCCTCCCCCACCACCACCACAAATAAAAATAAAAAAAAATCATGAGGGAAAGAGACAAATGACGCTTTACACTTCAAGTTGGTTGGCTTGGAATTTCCCATATGTTTGCATGTGCGTCCTTTTATTTCACCGTGAGATACATGATTAAGTCAAATGATAGGATCAGGCTATTGTTGTATTTGTGTGATGTGAAATTTCAAGCACTAAAATAATTGGATAATATGCATCACGTACAAGTTGCAATTCCTGAATTTGGTGTATGCAGTGGTAGGAAATGTTGAAATTAGACTAATTCTGTGAACCCTATACTTGATTTGATACATAGTTATCAATAGCGGCCGGCGTAGTGGCACAGTTCCACTATGGCAACCTTGTAGTGTCGCGGTTCAGTGTCATGACTGTTGTGCCGGCCAGAAATCATGAAAATCATAGCGGCAGCTATGCTGTTTTCCTTAAAAATTCTGAATCTTCACTTTATTTTTTTAACATTTGGGGCTTTTAGGGGAGGGGGGGGGGGGAATATTGAGATTTCTGCCTCCTTTTATTTTCTGAGTCTTCTCCTTCCTCTTGCAGACCCTAGCCCCTCAACTCACCCCAACTCTTTCCTTAGCTCTCCTCTCATTTCTCTTTTCATTTCTTCTCTTTTTTCTCTGTTTTTTCTGTTTCTTTCTCTGTTTTGATTCCTCTACTTTGTTCTATTTCAAATTTCAAAGCTTCAAGTAGAAGCAATAGCTGCTCCTATACCTTTTGCTTTTTGTTATTTATTTCTTTCTCTAATTTGAGTTTTCCTTTTTTGTTTTGTTCCAAATTTGTATATTAATTTTATATTTTTCAGCATGTATGTGTGTATATTGAAACTTCAGAATAGTAGTCATCCCGCTATTATTACCACTATAGCTTTTTTGCATTTTTGAGGTTGGCTATTCTGAGCTGCCCGGGATTGACTACTATGATTTGATATCTGAATTGTTTGTTATGGATATTTCAGGGAGTTTGTTAACTGTGTACGCTGCATTAAAATACTTTCTCCTCAAGAAGTTCAGCAGATGAGTTTGGATGGAGATTTTAGCAATGGTGGCCTTCCATATCCAGCCGGCAGCAGCTCTGATGGTGGGAATACTTAAATTTTGTCCAGGAATCTGCAAACTAATCTTCCATGTTGATAGCTTAAATTGGTTGTAGGAGACATACATTATTATGTCTTTGTGGGGTAAACTGCTGACGATTTTATCCTACTCCGGCAGCCAGGGTAATACTTGCAGTTAATAGGATAAATTTTATCGCTACTCTGGACAGGCAAATTTGAAGAACCAATAAGAGAAAATAGTGGAAAACGTGCCACCAGTCAGCAACTTCCATCAAGATTGTTAACCGGGAAATGAATCAAATATTTGAAGCACTCGCACACCCCAACAAAGTTAGATGTATTAAGCCATGCATTGTTGTAAAGTTAATGGAGCAGAAGTTCTCTTAGCTTTGTTTGGAATATCTATTTAATTCAGGGTATTGTAAAAGGAAAGGTTAAATTATCACAGCATAGTTCAGTGTATAAAAAGTAGGTTTCGTCTGCAGTCATTGACAGGAATTCTCGATCTTTTGTAAACACCAGGCAGCTAGATCGGGAGAAAATTTCCAGTTTTCCACTAATTCTAATGTAGTAACGTTGTATGTATTGTATTGCCAAATTGATATTGATGCATCAATTATAGAAAAAAAAAAGTATTGTTTCAATGAAAAAATAGTTCATTCTTAGTTAACTGCTGACCTCAGGCTTGCACTTTTAGTTAATTGATTATTCTACCTGTGATGGGTTTTCATCATAATTTTTTTTATCAAGAATGCCGTTGTTATCGTCATGTTAGATTAATGGCAAACGAAAATGAAAAATGAATTAAAAATACGAACACCACATCCCGCCATTTTCACTGAAATTTTACAATTTATTGATTTTTTAACTGATATTTTAGTTAGCAAGACTAATTATTATAATTATATATATATATATATATATGCGTTTTTTGTACAAATATATTTATATTTTTTATTAGTTAATTTAGTTTAAAAATAATTATAATTTAAATAATAATTATTTTTAATGTGACAGAAAAAAATGTAAAATAAAAAATTTGATTATTTTTAAAATAAATTATATAAAAAAATAAATATAACAGTTAAATTTAATTTATATGTAATTTTAAACATTCTAAATTTTAATAATAATAATTTAATTATAAATTAATAAATATATTTGGATGTTATACATTTATTTATATTTTTATTAAATTATTTTATTTTAAAATAAACCAAAATTATAATTTAAATATAAAAATATCTAATAATAAATTTTTTTATATTACATAATATCAAATATAATTACATTAAAAAACATGATAAATATATTTTTATATATAAATTTTTTTGTATATTTTATATATTTCTCATCCTCTTCAATAATAAAAATTGTTACTTTCTTTAGTTGATGTAAACATAAAAAATAAATTTTTTAAAAATAAATTAAAAAGAAGATGAAAATAAAAAAATACATAAAAAAAGTATATACTAATGAATAAAAATATAAAAAAATATTTTTTAATAAATAATGAGATTTAGTATTATACTCAACTACTCAAGTAAGCTCTATTTGAATGTAGTTTAATTTTTTATTTTTTAAGAATTGAAATGAGTACTAACATAAATTTATTTGATAAATTATGTATAAAACTATTAATTTATGATTTTAAAATAACATATTTAAATTTAACTTATAATAAGTAAATATATACTAATGACTAATTATTCTAATTTAAATTTTTTTTAACTTTTAAATTAGTATTAATTTTAAGAATATGATATTTTAAATAATTATATCAATATAAAAATATATATTTATTGTATTTTATATTTTACGTATAATTTAATTTATAATTAGAGAATAAATTGTATGTTCATTACATTACATGATTAAATACTCCAAAAGAAATTTTAAAAGCATGAAAAATTTAATTTTAATCTCAAAAAATTTCAATAATTACATAATTAGAATATAAAATATTAATAAATAAATAAAATTTAAAATGTTAATATTAAAAATATTGAAAAAATATTTTTATAATATTTTAAAAATTAATTCATGTCTTTGATTATAGATTTTACGTATAGATATAGAATATATATATATATATATATATTATTACATATTACGTATAAATAGTATTTATTAATAATGTTTTTTTTTTTTTCAGAATTAATAATGTTCTTCTGAATGTGCATTTATGGTGTCTGGCTGGGCCTGTTAATCTAACCCAAGCCCACAACAAAGCAAGCTCGAAGGCAATCAAACAATCAATCCACTAACTACAACAAAATTGCGCAAGACACAGAAATTAGGGTTTCGGCCTGAAAATCAAATCCAATTGCGCTCCCTCTACAAGTTCACCGTTAGATTCAAACTGTGTGAGTGGTAGCACCAGAGGGCGAGGAGGAGATGGAGAAGGAATCGCCGTTGACGCTGGGAAAGCGAAGAGAATCAGAACTCACTGACGACACTTCAAAGCCAAAGAAAGCTCGCAGTTCGGAACGCACGTGCGTTCACGAGGTAGCCGTTCCGAGCGGCTACGTCTCAAGCAAGGACGAACAACTTCACGGTACTCTCTCGAACCCTTTCTACGACGGTCCCATGGCAAAGTCGTATTCCTTCACCCTCGACCCTTTCCAGCAAGTCTCCATTGCATGCCTTGAACGAAATGAGTCCGTTTTGGTGTCCGCACACACTTCCGCCGGCAAAACGGCAGTTGCAGAGTACGCCATCGCAATGTCGTTTAGGGACAAGCAAAGAGTCATCTACACTTCCCCACTCAAAGCACTGAGCAACCAGAAGTACCGAGAACTCAGCCAAGAGTTTCAAGACGTTGGATTAATGACTGGCGATGTAACGCTCTCTCCTAACGCCACGTGTCTTGTGATGACAACGGAGATTCTGAGGGGAATGTTGTATAGGGGTTCAGAGGTTTTGAAAGAAGTGGCGTGGGTTATATTCGATGAGATTCATTACATGAAGGACCGAGAAAGAGGTGTTGTTTGGGAAGAGAGTATAATCTTTTTGCCACCTGCTATTAAGATGGTTTTTCTTTCGGCTACTATGTCCAATGCCACTGAGTTTGCGGAGTGGATTTGTAACATTCATAAGCAACCTTGTCATGTGGTGTACACTGATTTCAGACCTACTCCTTTGCAGCATTATGTTTTCCCCATGGGGGGTAGTGGGTTGTATTTGGTTGTGGATGAGAATGAGCAGTTCAGGGAGGACAATTTTCTGAAGCTGCAGGATACTTTTTCAAAGCAGAAACTGGGTGATGCGAATAGGGGTGCTAAAGGCAATGGACGAATTGGGAAAGGTGGCTCTGGTTCTGCTGGTTCAGACATTTACAAGATTGTTAAGGTCAGCTCAGCACTTCTACGTGTTATTATCATTGATCAAATGGGGATTTTTCCCCCCTTGATGTCGTTGAACATGTCTATCATACCAACAGCGGATGTATATATGTTAATTCAAGAAATTTCTCTGTTTATTTTTCTGCAGTTCATTTTATTTTCTGTCTTGGTTAGAGGCTTGTATGGGTGAGGAGTGTATTGAGTTTTGCATAATCGTTGTGATGGGAACGTTGACTATTCAGGAGCTTTGGAACTTCTGTTTGTGAAAGTTTTGTTAGATTCTAAGACAATAAAATCAGCAATGGTACTCAAAATGCTAAAGTAGCACTCTAATGGCGCAATTCAGAGAGTGTTATACTTTTCTTTTTGGGAACAGACAAATATGCAAGCTGCCACTAATTCTTTGAAATTTCCTGCTAGATAAATACTCTGCATTCACAAGTCATGAAAAAGAAAGTTTGCCTTGAACAAGTTAGTAAGCAGTAGATTTTGTATGTATATTTTAAAATATTTATCAGTATGAGGACCTAATTTAGTTAATTGGTGAGTTCTTAGTTTATAGTTAGAAGGGAGAAAAGAGAGGTACATAGGAAGGGGTGTTCCTTCTTAGATAACTGGTGAAGAAGGTGTAGTAAAGACAGACAACAAAACCCTACCCCATGTGGGAATTCTACATTGGTTTTTAGGTCATAAACAACTTCTGAATCACATTTGTTATGTTTGTTTCTCCTCCATTTCAAACAGAAGAATTCAATCTCTTGATACCTTTGAGGTGTTTTCTTGTAATTTCTTTTTTTTTTTCTTTTATTTCTCAACTCCTTTGATATTGAAAACATTCCACCTTATTAATTCTTTTGTAAATTTAATGCTCTCTCTTAGGTTGCATTTTTGGGGAAGTTTTTCAGTGGAAATAATTGCTTTTTATCAAAAGCTCTCTCAGGGTGTTGTGACTATATAACATTTTTGACTTTGCAATAAGCTAACACAAAAATGTGCTTTGTTTTGGACAGCCATACTTAAAAGAGTTAACACCATTAACATGCTACACACACACACACAGGCAGGGCACATTTGGCAGTTTCTATGTGTGGCATGAGCTTGATATCTGTTCCTCCCCAGCTCCCCTTGTCTTCTATTGTTCTGTTGCTAAGGCTTTATGGATTTCTTTGTTTATATTATTTGGAGAATGTTGGGTGTGACTTAAGTCCCTGATTTTGGAAGATTTCTTCTTTGTTTAGAGTCTTTATGGACCAGTTTTTGCAGATCAGTTTTACTGATTTTGGATGAAGTGAAACATGCCAAAGTTTTGGGGCAATGTGCAATAAACTTTGGTACATTTGTTTAGAGAGTAAACTTTCGCAATTTTGGGGATATCTAGTCAGATGAGCAGTTTCTTGAGGGTATCATTAGGCGTCTTGCTACTGTTAATATGGTGTAAAGCACATGGCCTTTTTTGAAGGAGTGTCGTTTGCAGATATGTTAAGAGATTGCTTTGCTATCATTGTGTTTATACTTTTCTTGTTTTTAAGGAGGATTTCTTACCCTCATTTTCCTCTAATACTTTTTTCTGTGTCTCAGTAAATTTCCTTGTTAAAAAAAAAAACAAGTGATTGCTGTTTATTTGAGTTAGAATTTTTTTGACTTTCAGATGATCATGGAACGGAAATTCCAACCTGTTATCATTTTTAGCTTCAGTAGAAGAGAGTGTGAACAGCATGCAATGTCTATGTCCAAACTTGACTTCAATACCGAAGAGGAAAAGGATACAGTAGAGCATGTTTTTCAAAATGCAGTGCTCTGTTTGAATGAAGAAGACAGGAGCTTGCCTGCCATTGAGCTGATGTTGCCACTTCTTCAGCGGGGGATTGCTGTCCATCATTCTGGCCTTCTACCTGTTATCAAAGAATTGGTTGAACTTCTTTTCCAGGAAGGTCTTGTGAAAGCCCTCTTTGCTACTGAAACAGTAAGATTCCCAATTCTGATTTCTTTTCTTCTTTGCTTTTTTTTACTCTCTATTGCCTTTAGAATGCGTCTCATATGCACTTTCTCCAGTTTGCGATGGGTTTAAATATGCCTGCAAAAACTGTTGTATTCACTGCTGTTAAGAAGTGGGATGGTGACAGTCACCGGTATATTGGATCTGGTGAATATATACAGGTGAGTGATATTTTATTTTTTGGGTGATGATGGTTGTTAGTTTATTCATTCTAGTGCCCACTTTACTGTTGATGATTTTCTGCCTTTAGATGAGCGGAAGGGCTGGGCGTCGTGGCAAAGATGAGCGTGGAATTTGTATCATAATGATTGATGAGCAGGTGGGTATGCTAGTATTGAATTTGATATCTGTAGAGTAAATTGTGAGTCTTTTCTTATTAAATTCCTCAATCAAATCTCTATTTTTTGTATTGGCCTTGTGGATTGTTCAGTCTTAATTTAGCCTTGTGCAAGACTATTAGTTTAATGCTCTATATTGTGATCACAGTCTTGTTATCTATTATCTACATAACAGTCTCTTGTTGTTTGAGAACTAATTGGTTTTAAAATCATCAGCTTACAGTTTATCTGATTATTATATGCAGATGGAAATGAATAACCTCAAAGACATGGTTTTGGGTAAACCTGCTCCTTTAGTCAGTACATTCAGGCTTAGCTACTATTCAATTTTAAATTTGATGAGCCGAGCAGAAGGCCAATTCACTGCTGAGCACGTAATAAGAAATTCATTTCATCAATTTCAATATGAAAAGGTTTCTACTGAACCATTTCCTTCAAAATTTTATAACCATTTGTTGCACTGGGATGTATATTTTATTAGCATTTCTTACTCTTGTTCAGGCCTTACCTGATATGGGGCAAAGGGTGGCAAAGCTGGAGCAGGAAGTAGCCTTGCTTGATGCATCGGGGGAGGTAGTATTAGCTCTTGGGCCCTCAGTTTAGTTTCTTAATAATATGTTTTGTGTTCCATTATTATATTGACATTTGATTTATTATAATTCATAATATATGTAGGCTGAAGTATCTGAATATCATAAACTAAAACTGGAAATGGCACAGCTGGAGAAGAAGATGATGTCAAAAATAATAAGGCCTGAAATGATTCTTTATTTTCTTGTCCCTGGTCGATTGGTAAGTTGCAGTTAGCATCAGCATGGAAATGATTTTGAATTATTTTTTGCTTCTCTAATTATTCTTGAGCAAGTGAGGAAATAAGTGTATGACATCATTGACATGCCGATATATGTTAATTAATAAATTAATTAATATTACTTTTTTTTTTTGTTCTTTTTTTTTCTCCTTTAATGTCTTTGCTTAGTATTTTTTACTTTTCATTTCCTTTGTTCATGTTTACTTTATTTTCTGCTACTTTTCTTTCTGTTGTACTTTACTGAGTTAGATGGACTTTTTAAACCTTTCAGATCAAAGTAAGAGAGGGTGGAACTGATTGGGGCTGGGGTGTTGTAGTCAATGTTGTTAAGAAACCTTCGGGTGGTGGTTATATAGTTGACACTTTACTTCATTGTTCACCTGGTTCAAATGAAAACAGCTCGCGGCCAAAACCATGTCCACCCCGCCCTGGAGAGAAAGGTGAAATGCATGTGGTATGTTATCATTTCAAACTGTGGTGCGACTCTTTTCATGGCATTCTGTTGTAACTCTCATCTTGACTGCTTCCTTTTGTAATAGGTCCCTGTTCAATTACCATTAATCTCTGCTCTTAGTAAACTGAGGATATTTATACCTCCTGATCTTCGGCCCTTGGAAGCTAGGCAAAGTATACTGCTTGCTTTGCAGGAGCTGGGCAATCGTTTTCCCCAAGGTCTTCCAAAGCTTAACCCTGTAAAGGTAAATATTTCCCCTACATAGCTGTCATAAGTTGATGCTATGTTCTGTATCTCTATAAATAGTTATCCAACATTGGGCATTAGAATTAGGGGCTGACTGCATTAGATTCTTTAGTGATTCACCTGCTAATGGGCACATACCTCCTATGTAAACTATATGACAAAAGCTTTTGTGCAGTCTATTGTTCTCTGACTTTTTATCTTCTCATTATAAGGTGTGTTCCAGTATATTCATTGCATAGTCAAAACTGTGAATGACCTTTCTGTTTCATATTTGGTCCTCTTCATTGTGTTTGTTTTGTAACTTCTCTATTTCATTCTCCTGCTTTTTAATGAGGAAGATTCTTTTACCACACTATTATGTTGAGTTTGATTGATCTTCAACAGAATCAAAGTAATATTTATGTATTGTGTTCTTTCAAACAATATTTCCAGGACATGAATGTACAAGACTCAGAGATAGTTGAACTAGTCAATCAAATAGAGGAACTTGAGAAAAAGTTGTTTGCTCATCCTATGCATAAGGTTTGTTAAAATGAACACTTAGGTCCCTATTCTGTTTGTTATAAATGCCATGTTGCTTGCCCTTTGGTTTGAGTGTTTCCTTAATATTTTGTTGCAAGTTAGCATCAAGACGTGGATCAAATTAAATGCTTTGAGAGGAAAGCAGAAGTGAATCATGAGATTCAGCAACTGAAAACAAAAATGCGGGATTCTCAGGTATTGACTTTACTGTGCTTTGTTCTTTGCCAGATTTATTTGTTAAGCCAAATCACATGTTGAAGTTGAAGCTTAATGGCAGTAAGGACAGCATCTGCTATGCATTGTATTTGTGTCCCCATGAACACATGCAAATCGACATCTTAATGGTTGGTGGGTTAATGTGGTGATTTTATTCATGACAAATTTGAGTGTGTTGTTTTGGATGGTGGATAACTGTACACCTTTATTAATTTCCTGAACTCTGTTGCATGTTTTCTTTGCTGTTTTGATGGATTCACTAATTATCAAAATGAAATTATCAAATTTTCAGCTACAAAAATTTCGTGAAGAACTAAAGAATCGCTCACGAGTATTAAAGAAGCTTGGTCATATTGATGCTGATGGTGTAGTTCAGTTGAAGGGACGGGCAGCCTGCTTGATTGACACAGGCGATGAACTCCTTGTCACTGAATTAATGTTTAATGGTGAATCAGTGTTCCTTTCCCCATTGTGCTTTCTGTATAGTTTACAATTTTATTATGTTTCATAATCTTTTTTTCATCATTTTCCCTCCATTAGGTACTTTTAATGACCTTGATCATCATCAAGTTGCTGCCCTTGCAAGTTGTTTCATACCAGGAGATAAGTCAAGTGAGCAGATACAATTGAGAACAGAGCTTGCAAGGCCACTACAACAGCTTCAAGATAGTGCAAGAAGGATAGCAGAGGTAGGTGTTTTATCATTTAACCCATAGTAATTAATCCTGCATGGCTGCATAGAGCAGCTGACCCCAAAAATGTTATAGTGAATAGCGGGATGATCGCTATTTTGAAAATTTAAAATATGCCAAATATAGATTATGCTACATGTTTATATGCTGAACAATATGTGGGGTCACCTTTTTGTCACAGATACAACATGAATGCAAATTGGATATAAATGTGAATGAATATGTGGAGTCAACAGTAAGGCCATACTTGATGGATGTGATATACTCTTGGTCAAAGGTTAGTTATAGCATATTTTTGGCTTGAAAACCTTGCCTACTTTTTCAAGTCATTTACTTGATTTCTTCTGTAAAGTTTGTTGAACAATGTAATATAAAAATCATTCATGTGTCTTCACACAATAGCTTAAGCTTTTGATATTGATGGCTCATGACAGTTTGTGTTGCTGGATAAATTTTAATTATTAGGTTAAATTACAATTTTCCCCCTACCCGACACACCATGGCTTTATATTTTTGGTCCCTACAGCAAGTCAACAACAATTAAGCGTTGTCCCACTAATAATATTTTGGTCCCTACACTGAAATATATTTACAAATTGGCACTTTTTGATTGTTGAAGTCATAACAATGTTAAAAGTTTTTTTTTTTTTTCCTGTAGAGATGAAAATGTAGATTTTATTATGTAAAGTCCATATCAAAGTGTTAAACGTTTTCATCTAGGGATAAAAATGAAATGTTTTGTCAGATATAAGGGCCAAATTAATAGTTATAACTTTGGCAAACAATATGGAGCAATTTGTAAATGCTTTTTTCAGGCAGGGATGAACATATAGAATTTTTCATGAAGGGACTAAAAAAAAAAAATCAGATGTAGAGGCTAAATTTTTATATATTTTTAATTATTTTTATTATTATTATTACTATTTTGTTTATGCTGGCCCTTGGGGATTTGAAGTAACCAAATAGGTTTTTATTGGAAAAAATAAATTTACTTTGTTTTGTATTTTTGATGTAATAAATGCTTCCTTGCTCAATTAAAACCTTTTTCTTTTACTGCATAAAATCAACATTAAGTGTTGTGTTAAAAAAAGCCCTTTTTCATGTTCTTTTCTATTTTTGTATTTAGTTATTTTTGTTTTGAACAATTTCTTATCTCCACCTGGTTGTGCTGGTTGTTGTTTTTTTCCTTTTTGATACTGAAGTTGCTTTTGCCATTAAAATAAACAAATCAATGCTTTGAGGCCATATTTGGATTGATGAAAGGGGTTGGAATGGAGGGACTGCCGTCATTGAGCATTGTTTTGATATCTTTAAACTGGATGGAATGACATGGAGGATCTGATCCATTTCATCCCATCCAATACTCTTTTCCCTTTTTTATTTTTTATTTTTTTTTGGGGGGAGGGGGGGGGTGGGTATGGATGCAACCCGTCTAATATAGTTATATCTCTTACCATTTCATCTACTTGTTAAACAATGGAATTCAAAACTTGAGTCTTTTTTATCATAAAATATTCAAACAATATCATAAAATATTCAAACAATGGTTTGGTAATTTTATTCCATGTCACTCCATTGCTTTCCATTTCACTTAACCGTAATTAGCTATGCAAGCATACAATCATCATTAAACTGTAAGTGTTGCTCATTAACATGGATTACAAGTTTGACAAGAGTGAGCTTCAGGAAACTTGCTGTTTGACAGTCCTAGTGAAGAACAAACTAAAAGGCTTGGGAATCATTGGATTTTTCTCAATATATTAAATTGTCACACAACTGGTCAAGAACCCTGCCTGAACCTGAGGCATCATTGTTTTGAAGTTAGTTATGAATACATCAGGATTTAATCTTTTCCATGAGTAGGGGACTGCATGTTTGGCAGTGAAAAGATGCCTGTTGGATTTATTCTGTCTCTTGATGCCTGATTGCTGTTGCAACTTGTTACAATAGGACCTGAAACTATTCATTGAGCATGTCTTAATATATTAACAAAAAAGTGACTCAAGCAAAATTTGTAAAATTTAGGCATTTGAGACATACTTGCAGAATTTATAAGATAATGTTGCCATGTAATATAATGTGTCTCTTTTTATACTTTGTAATTTATCTTCTAAGCATGTCCTTTTGATTCTACATTATGGAGCGAAAGAAACCCCAGAATTGGTTTGAGTGACAGGCTCCTAAGGTCTGCTACTCTTTATTCATTCCCAAGTAACATACATAGTATCTTCAACATGGACTCATCTCCATACATTGAGGTACTAAAACAAACCTAAGACATGTATAGTCATCTCAGCTGCAGCGAGACTTACGGTGGGTATGCATTCTCCTACGAGTGGGAGAAATGAACGGTTTACTGGTTTTAAGTTTATGTTAATCTTGTCTTTCCTTTCAAAATTTTCTCCCAGGGAGCAAACTTTGCAGATGTGATACAAATGACTGACATCTTTGAGGGGAGTATCATTCGGAGTGCTAGAAGGCTTGACGAGTTTTTAAATCAGGTATACAGATGTCCACACCTCTTGCAAATAACCCTGTGGTTTCATTTTTTTACAATGAACTTCCTTAAACTTGCATCTTGAAAATAGGCCCTTCTATTCAAGAAGTGGAAAAGAACAAGTAAATGTGGTTAAGTTGGGGTTTGATGCCATTTGACTAAAAAAGTGTGCTACTCTGGAATGTTTCATTTTCAATTAGGTTTTATAACTTTGTTACTGATGGAATATTTGATATACATTTGAAGTTTGAGGGGTTGCTTGCAGAAAATGTTAGTACAGCTTTTGCGGGAGTCAAACTCAAAAAAGTAAAGTGGTTCACTTGTATTTTGACAATTGGTTTTAGGGTTGGAAAAATCTTCCAGTAACCTCTTTAAATATGAGTAGTTTTTGAAATTTATTCAGTATTGATAACCTGGGTTGACAACATTATAACTTAATTATTTGGGACAAAATAAAGGCTTGGTGCCCTAGCTCACTTCAAATGTTGCAATTGCAAAGTGTTCAGATTTTACCTTTATAGGCTTACAAAATCCACTATTAGTATGCTTGATCATTGTCCAAGTTATCTTGACACAGATTTGGATTAGCTCAAAATTTGGAATCGAAGGTAAGTGATACAGTACATAATAAGTTTTATGGAGTTCTGATTGTCTTGTTTTTTTCCAGTTGCATGCTGCTGCTAATGCAGTAGGAGAGGCTGACTTGGAGAAGAAATTTGCAGCAGCAAGCGAAAGCCTTCGACGAGGGATTATGTTTGCAAATTCCCTGTATCTGTGAGACTGTTTTCCTGAAGGCCGTTTGTTATATTCATTGTTATTCCGGCAGGGAGAAAGTTTTTACTTTCGCATTCCACCTTTCTGGATGCGCTCAATTCCTTGTCATGTGAGCTTTCCGGTGTAAATATCTGTATTCTATTTAGAATCCACATGTATACAGTCACATGTAGTGAAGGGAGTGATTGTAAAGTGATAGAAAAATCTTGTCAATAGAAGGTAAAATCCGGTCAATAGAAGGCCCGGTGCGGTATGATTACATTTGGGTCCATCTTGTTCAGAGTTGGTAGGTAATTAACCTGGACTTCAGAACCCTCGCCTCTTGGGGCTTGAGGGGTGAGGTGGCGAAGATATTACAGTAAACGAGTCATTAATTTTCAGACGAGTCATTGGCCTGTAATTTACTGAAATTCAGTACAAATTTTGATTGACAGTTTATAGTTTAGTGATCATTTAATGCTTGTTTTAATTAGCTTTTCAGACGCCACATAGCATTGATTTGGCTGAAGGAAAATTTTTGCGGTGCGTTGAGATAAATCTCATCATGACATGATTTGATTGGTCGAATAAAGTCATTCTATGTCATTTTCATTTGAATTTACATAGTCATGTTTTAAATGGAATGAGGTTAAGTAAATCCGTAGAAGTCGTAATCCTTAGTTTAACTTATTATAATTGAGGGAAAAAGAAAGCCCCACGGGTACGATCTTGCTAGTGCAGGGAGAGAAGCTACGTTGCAGTACTGTCTTCTAGCGAAATTCAACGTCCTCGAATGCGCACAATCCTTTAAATATTTTCATTTTTAGTGGGGACATTTGTTCTACTTAAATTGCTTTACGAACGATGAAGCGTGAAAAAAATAAAAATATCAATTTCCATGGAATAGTGATCTATCAACTATGCGAAATTGTTGTTTGGAACTTCTTAGTGGCACTGTGCTGATACTGGACTTATTCCCCCGCCCCCCCACCCTTTATTTTTCATTTATTTGGACAGAAAATATATAAAAAGCTTTATTTTGTTTAATTTGTTTTTTGTTACTTCATTTAAATATTTGAACATTATAATGTTAATTTTTTGTGAATAAATACAAGAAAAATAAACCCCAAATTCCAAATATCTTTTTAAACCATCCATAATAAAGTTCTTTGGACAATTGCATGTTTCCAAGCCATATTAAATCTTACTGAATCGATCAGAAACCATAACTACTTTTATTGGAAGGAAATATGAAGAGAAGTAAACTCAGTCTATTTTACGGTTAGAGCAAACTATAATCACGAGCAATGACTTTCAACAATGCTATGTTTCGGTAAACATTCTTACAATCCTTTTTGTAACATAGTTGTATGACACTGGAGTATTTTTTTTATTTTTTTTTGAGTGGACATATTATTTCACTATAATACTATATTATCATTTCTTTACGTAGATATATAAAAATTTACAATATATTTTGGGTCAACAGAATATTTAAAAAAGTAGAATACATCCCTGATTACTTGGACAGGCTTGAAAGAAACCCAAGTTGGTGGGCCCAGTAGTGGTCCATTTGCGGGAGTGATGAAGGGTAGAAGGAAGGGCTGTGATGAAAGAGGGCGAACAGCCTGAGTCCCTCACCTTCCAACTGCCTAAGTTAGATTTAGATTTAGGCGGAGCTTTCAATTTAGCATTCCCCTCGTTTCCATCGACATTCACATCAAAACCCACTCCCAACACAACACATAGCCAAACCCACTTCATTATTCCCTTTCCTCTCTCACCATTTACACAACATTGCCACAGGTAAAAGCCTTTCGTCATTCTTTCCTTCCTTCCTTCCTTCATTCATTCATTCACAACCAATGCCTTCGTTTGTTGCAGGAAATGGAAGCCACAATGTCAGCGTGCAAGTCTGTTAGCTCGCCTTCTGTTCCCGTTGCTGTAAGCCCCCACTCCTCATCTTCTCGCAATTCACATTCACTCAATTAATTAATTAATTCATACGTTATTGCATTATTCTGAATCTGATCCATTTGGAAAATGAAAATAGGGTTTGTTTGCTGGTAGAAGAGGCATTAGGAGTTCCCAATGCAGTTTCTTAGCGGGAACCAACAGTGTGATGTTTCCTAGGCAAGTAGGTCGAATTACTCACACTCACAAACACCGCCAAACACGTCACTGCGGGGCTCTCCATGCCACGTGTCAGTATGACAAGATCCTGATTGCCAATAGAGGCGAGATTGCCGTTCGTGTTATTCGAACCGCTCATGAATTGGGGATACCCTGTGTGGCTGTCTACTCAACCATTGATAAGGACGCGCTTCATGTCAAATTGGCTGATGAAGCCGTTTGCATCGGTGAAGCGCCTAGTAGCCAGTCGTAAGTCACTGCCTTGTTATTTTCACTTCGATTTTAAATATGCTTCTATTTACGTTTAACTAATGTTCGTTAATGATATTTTTTTTTAAATTCTAATTCTGTGCAGATACTTGTTGATCCCAAATGTTCTGTCCGCTGCAATTAGCCGCAAATGCACGATGTTGCATCCTGGCTATGGTTTTCTTGCTGAGAATGCAGTGTTTGTTGAAATGTGCAGAGAACATGGAATCAACTTTATTGGGCCTAATGTAGGTGGACTCTGGAGTTTACCCAGTTTAATTGTTTGCTTATTGTCTTGTGACTGCTCCAATTTAATGATTTACAATTGACAATTTATTTGAGTAACTGTCCTGTGAAATCTTAAAACTAGCTTTTCTGTCTAAACTATCTTGAATTGAAGCACAGGAATTTGATTGCTGGTCACTAACACTACAGTAAGTCATAAAACCATCAAACTGATGTTGATTTATAGACACATTCATATCATATGACGAGGGTTACAATTTATCCACATTGACCACTCACCACCTTAAAAAGATTGTAACAAGTAAGCTAATGGTTGTTGAACATTGAATGACTAAAACAACAGTGTTGTTAACCTGTGTACAGATAATGTGCTTGCAGAGTTGTGTTTGATATTCTGTCATTTGTCTGTTTAATATTGAAAATTGTCATTGGAAGTTGTTGGTAAGCAAGGGAAGTTAAGTTTCTGTGCATTTTTATGGCACAGGCCTAGTCAAAGGTGGCTTCCAACTTATTCTTATCCCTGCATTTCATTTGATTTTAATGTATTAGTCTTAATCTTTAACAAGGGAAAAATTTGTTTCATTTTATTGTATCAGTCTTAATTTTTAATATTTTTACTGTTATATATATATATATATTCAGCTTCTTTAATTCATAAAGCTGTTACAGTAAATCAATGATTCTAATATTTTGCTTTCAAATTATTTGGTAAGACTGAATATTTAGTTAAAACTTTCAGCCTGACAGTATTCGGGTTATGGGTGACAAATCAACTGCCAGAGACACAATGAAGAAAGCAGGTGTTCCCACTGTTCCAGGAAGTGATGGGCTTTTACAGGTATTATATTAGACTCAAGTGTATAAATATCTTCAGATACCTTCCATGTAAAAATTGGGGTCAATACTGGATTCTATGACATCAGTTTGATGAAAGGAATTAATGTTACAGAGCACAGAAGAAGCTATCAGGCTGGCAAATGAGATTGGTTACCCCGTGATGATCAAGGTAGATTGCCTTATTATTTTTATATTTGTAACCTTGTGCCTTTTGATTTGAATTCCAATTTTCTGGTTTGACATAGATCAATTCACACATGCTTTATGCATTCACACATACATAATTTTCATGTGCATAAATAAATTTAACAAAGCATAATCCTGTTCAATATTGTCTTCATACCCTTTAATCAGTAAATATACATGGGATAATGTTTGAAAGTAAATTTATATTATGATTATGCTTAATTTAAAATTCTTGTGGAAATAGAGAGTACTTAGAATTTAATGTCAAGTAAGGCTACCAAATAATTAAATATCAGCTAAACTTAACAAAGCTCAATATGTATGAGGGTTTAGGGAGACAATCATGTCTGTATTTTTATCCATGCACACATATGAAAAATGGTATTAAGTTGGCATAAACTTCTCATATATTTTTTCTTTTAAATTTTTTTCCATCAACAGTGACGATGAAATAAAAAAAGGTTTATCTCCTAATATGACCCTTCATTTGTATTTGGGCTTAGGCATAGCAATGAAGGCTTGGGAAAAATGTCCAACATAGTCAGTTTTCCTTAATTTACTTTTTCATCCTTAAAATGATTTTCAATTTGAAGTTGTAAAAATAATGGGGTGAGAATAGATTGTGAAAGAATTAAAAAAAGTTAAGGTAGAATTTCTTCTGTAGACATTTCATAGTAGTCAATAGTGGCAAAAGTGGGCATGATTGCGGAGGAGCGGAGTGACTCCTTGTTGCAATACCGGGGCCATCATGTTGCAGATCAGTGTAGCGGCTGCCGCACTGTGATTCTCAACTGTGAAATGGAAAAATCATGTTGCAACCCCTATGTTAAATGGGGGCAAAAAGGCAAGTTTGCCCCCCTTTTATATTGCGATGCTCTGTCTTTGCAAGTCAAGATCAAAACCTGCCTCCATCTTTTTGTTCTCTCGTTCTCTTACTTCAACCTCCATCTCCAACGTCACTTTCTTGTGCAAATCACCATTTCTGGCTAAGTTCGGGTCATCTTTTTCGTTTCTTGCAAATTCAACTTGTTTTAAATGTGTTCAGAGATGATTTTCGGTTGTCTTCTTCATTTTCGGTGTAATCCAAGTTATTTTTTGACAAAATGTTGACTTTTTTTTATGATAGTGAGTTGCGTTAGAGCTTTTTCCAATGACAGACTACTCTTTGATCTATTTTCTATCTCTGTTTTGATTGTTTTCAGAATAATGGTCATCGTGCTATCTGGCTATAGTATTTTTGGGGCTGGCCACTCCACATCACTATCCAGGATTGACTACTATGAGACATTTGTAAATATTGCCTACAGGATGAATTTATGTCTGTGATAGTATGTTCTGTCCTTTTTGTGCACTTTGTATTCATTTTTTCTACCCTCCTCCTTACAGAATTGTCTCATGTTATAGTTTCGTTTGCTTATAGATATCCAATGTTTGAAATGTATATGTTATGAATCCAAATAGGCCAGATGGATCAGAAGAACAATTGGGCCAACAATTGGTTGAGAGTCCCAAGATTTGGAAATTTTGTAGGAGAAAGAATAGGAAAAGGAATGAGCTGGAGGAAAGAGAGCAAGGGCATAGTGAAAGTTAGTTACAAGAGGATGGGAGGATAAAAAATAGGAAAGGGAGAGAGAGAAGGCATTCAGGAAGGAGAATTGTGGAGTTAGTTAAGGATAGGAAAATACTTCTCTATTTGGAACTTCTGCTCTGGGACAGTAGTGTGCATTGTTGCTGTAATTCTTCCATTATTAGTGTTATAATCCATTTTATTTCAGTATTCATATTGCTTTTGCTATTATTTTTCTTCTTATTGAATATAGCCTGTAAGAACTGATTAAATTTTCCATGCAAAGTTCTTGTGCACAGTTTTCTTTAGCTAATTTTTGTGAACTGAGAAACATGATATTTCTTAGGCAACAGCAGGTGGTGGAGGGCGTGGCATGCGTCTTGCTAAAGAACCTGATGAGTTTGTGAAGTTGTTACAGGTATTTTTGCCTGAATGGAAGTTCTTGTTATGTTGTCTATACTGCTCAACTAATTGCAGTCTTTAGTTTTTTATGTTATAATAATTGTAGGTAAAAGCTAAAGCGGGAAACAAATTAATTTAACTATAGAAGCCATAATGATAAATTTACCTATAATCAGATTAAAGCAAAAAAATTAAGGAAGCAAGAATGGTTGTGCCTTGAGGGCATTCTTTTAGCATATCTATTTTTCTAACAAACTAATGGATAAAAAATTCTTAGTGATTTACTTGGGGCCAACAGGTAGAACAATGTTTTCTGCGGTTTCTAAGTTCCATTAATTGTTATCAAATGAAAGTATCTCCCTTGCAGAGCAAGTTTAAGGGCTAGACGATCATAATGGGTTCTGATGGAAGGGAGATTATTTTATTTTGATTGTAAATAGTTGTAGATTTTATCCCTTTGATGAGGAATAAATATGTGCATCTTTGGTGAATTTTTTCAAATTGATTTCTTTGCAGCAAGCTAAGAGTGAGGCAGCTGCTGCATTTGGCAATGATGGGGTTTATTTGGAGAAGTATATTCAAAACCCAAGGCACATCGAGTTCCAGGTAATGTTATCCTTTTTGTTATTGTAATCTGTAATTTGACTAAAGCCTGGAGATTAGGAGAACATTTGGAGGGAATTTTATCTATGAAGAAGAAGAATGTAAATGTTGATCTGTAGGAAACATTCAAGTAGGGGATTACTTTAGAAGGTCAAACATCAAATTTTGCATTTAAGCAATGTAATAATTTATTGCTTACATCATATAAAAATGTCCTGGTTGTCTAGAGGCTCTGAAATAGAAACTTAACTGCACTTATTGACGACATTCTTCCATTTGGTCAGTTAAATGCCATTAATCATGGAAAACTTACAGGTCCAATCCCAAAAAATTCCACATTATAGTTTATATATTTCACTCAAAAAATAAAGTCAATTTACATTCCATGTTGTGCATTCATCATGCCAATTTCATGCTTCAAAATGGTTAATTTTTTAACCATGTAGAAGCACCTTGCATCATCCTTTTCTGGCTATATGCTACCGCTGGTAAAGAAAAGCTTTGCATTGGTAATTGAGTAAATGAACCTTAGAAATTATTTGACAAATTTCTAGTTGGCTTGAGTGCTTTGCTTCGAGTCCTAGACTTGTATGGTTACAACAACAGATTAAGAAACTAATTCATTATTATTAATTTATTAAGTGCCTAAGTCTTATTGAAGTGCTTGTAGCTTAATATTGTTATGGTTGTAGTAGATATTGCCTTGATTTATAATAAGAATAGTGTTTATAATTCATCTCTCCTCCTGCTTCATGGCTGAACAGGTCCTTGCAGATAAATATGGTAATGTTGTTCACTTTGGTGAACGTGATTGCAGCATCCAGGTACTATGAACTAAATTCCTCCTTTTGTCATCTGTCTGTTTCTATTTTTTTGTTTGTCAAATTAGTTATTTATTTTAAGCATAATAACACTCATCTTGATTATAATAAAATGACATTTAACAAACATAAAATTTTGTGCTTTGTAAACTTGGTGATTTCTGACCTTGGTGCATTATAAAGATAAAAAACTGAATATAAACTAGTTTTACGTTTGTATGAGATGTGTTTCTGCCTAGAGTCTAATTTTTTTAATAACTCTGCATTGTAGAAGATTGAACTTAAATTTTAGGCTGTTATTTTATTGAGTTTGCTCTTCTATTCTAGTTCCTTATGAAGTTTCATATGTATACCTATCTAATGCTGATATTGTACGATGATGACAATTGACAAATAACAAAAGATACATATATGATAAAATATGGAAAAAAAACACCCTTCAATTAGTTCAAATAAAAAAAGTTTCATAGTAAGATAGTAATATCATAAGGTCTTTTGGTTATTTACTTTTCCATTTTTGTTTTTAATCATGTTGCAACTTGCAAGAGATCCTACCCAAATTAATTAGTTTTTTTAATTGTGATTTTCCATGCAGAGGCGTAATCAGAAACTGCTGGAAGAAGCACCATCTCCTGCCTTGACTGCTGAGTTGCGGAAGCAAATGGGAGATGCTGCAGTTGCGGCTGCTGCATCTATTGGTTACATAGGTGTGGGAACAGTTGAGTTCCTTTTGGATGAAAGGGGTTCCTTTTACTTCATGGAGATGAACACTCGTATCCAGGTTGAAACTGATTTCTAATGTACTTGTCTCGTGTGAAATTAACTTAGGCTATGATTTCTGATAGATTACTCCAGGTGTTCAATATTTGTTAGTTGTGCTGATTAATTTCCATTATTTTTTCCCTTCCTTTTTTTTTGGTGGGGCTGTGGGGTTGATGTGGGTCAGGTTGAGCATCCTGTGACTGAAATGATTTCCTCAACAGATTTGATAGAAGAGCAAATTCGTGTAGCTATGGGAGAAAAGCTGCGATACAAACAGGTAGTAGAGGATGTATATTACTTGTAATTTGAATCTTGCTTTAATTGTATTTTTCCTACAGGAGGATATTGTGCTCAGAGGACATTCTATTGAATGCCGTATCAATGCAGAAGATGCTTTTAAGGGATTTAGGCCAGGGCCAGGTATTTTGATGGAACAGTGGTGTATTTCTGCAAATATATATGTCATTCTCATGTTTGCTTAAAATACAGTAGATTGCATAGCTTGTTTGCTAATATGGTCAATTAGCTTCTTTCTATCATTTGAGTTTACTGTGCCAAGTATTTGCATTTTATGGCTTTGTTCTATTTTTATATAAAAGTTTTATTAATCTAAGGAATTTTCTCCCCTCCAACAACAGGTAGAATTACAGCTTACTTGCCATCTGGAGGACCATTTGTCAGAATGGATAGCCATGTTTATCCTGATTATGTGGTTCCTCCAAGCTATGACTCCCTTCTTGGAAAGGTGTGCCAATCTGTTCTCTTTTATTGCATTGATTTGTCATTCTCATCTGGATTGTTATACTACATTATTTTATGGCTCTGTGTTCCATTTGAACAGGAAATGCATTTACTGACTAGATATAAAGTATCTTATTTGTTCAATTCAATGTAATTGGTATCAATTCAATGTCAATATTTAATACCAGTATATATTAATCTTAATCTTTTCCTTTTATAACTCAATTACTTTTTAAGTTTGTTAGTCTTCATGTCCAGGGTTTTGGATTTAAGCAATGATAGGTTAAAAATGTAGATTTAGATAGGCTGACTATGTGTTTCACTTGTGAGTTTAACATTAGTTAATGTACAAGGCATTGACTCTTTTACTTTGTACAGGGATGCTTTCAATTTGATCGAATTTTGTAAGCTAGGAATGTAAATAGTTGATGTACAATTGCATTGCCTAATTGTATATGATTTGTAATTGATTGTTTGTGTAAATCAAGTTTCACCACCCGTTCAAATATAAGGTTTCTTCTTGTTTGCGAGTGATTAATTAAATCAGTATATCTATCAGATATCATAGTAATTGTTTCCCCACAACAAGACAAGTGGGAAGAATGAGTGGATGAAAAGACAAAAAAAGGGCTCAAATTATTCAATTAGCAGGGTCTAATGTATACTTCTGTGCCCTGTGATGTGCTGTTGTGAGGAGTACTTGGGTGTAATAATTCAACTGTATGTGCAAGTGCTCTTTTTATTTGAAACCTTTACTCTTGTCTTGACTTTGTGACATTTTCTGTAGCTGATTGTCTGGGCTCCAACAAGAGAAAAAGCAATTGAACGCATGAAAAGGGCTCTTGATGACACTATTATCACGGGTAAAATAGTCTGATTTTTATGATTGTGATTATTCTGTTAGATACCTGTACTTGGTGGAAATCAATTGCATGCCTGAAGCCAGAAAGGAATGAAATGAATCAATTGCTTTTTCTTTGCATCTTTGTAAATGTACCTTGCAAAAAAAAAAAAAAAAAAAAAAAAACCAAAGTTTGTTTTAAGGAACTGGATCCTCTGCTGTTTGAAACAAATTGCAGGAGGTGCACTTTTCTGATCCGTGGGATCATATTCATTGAACTATCTTTGTCATATTGTTTTACTATGTAATAAGAAAATAGAAAATGTTAACATGATCCCTTAAGGCTGATTTTAAGCTTCCAAAAGTAATAAAATTTTATAGGAAAAGTAAGTATTCATTACATAACGCATATCAAACTGTACTAAATGTTTTCTTTCTCAATAAAAACTTACCATTTTTGTATGCTTAAAATCAACTCTAAGGGATGGTGCTAACAAAATCATTAAAAAAAATATAGGGATCAAGATCACTGCAACTTTTAACTCTCAGATCTCAGTTTTAAAAAGAATCTGAACATGAGTTTGATCTTTGTTTTAAGCCCTTTGCTTTCTATGGTATAATTAACAGTTACAATTTTTGTGACAGGTGTTCCTACTACAATTGATTATCATAAACTTATCCTTGACATAGAGGTAGGTGCACCTTTTATATATTTTTGGTAAGATGTATACTTTAACATTATTTTCTGCTTGTCAGATATTGAAATAACTAATATATTCAATATCTTATTTGTGTTAACAGGATTTCAGAAATGGCAAGGTTGATACTGCTTTTATTCCAAAGCACGAGGAGGAGTTGGCAATGGTAGGAATCTAATATAGCCTTGAGAATATTTATGTCCCACGCAATGGGCTTAAAAATTATATATTTTCTTTTTTGAGCTGCTTCAAAACAGTTTTGGTAGGGAAAACTTGCTTCACTAGCATTTAGAATTATACACTGGATCCTTCAATAACATCTATCATGGTTGTTTAAGCTTAACATCTCCAGTTCCTGGTGAAAAACCTTGTCCCAGAGTTTGAGAAAATTCATAGTAAGCTGCTTCTAGAAACTTTTGGCACATAGCATTAGAGTTTGGTTTGGATATAAAAATGTAGTGTTACAGCCTAGTTGCTTTCACATCAGATGCTCTGAAGTTTGGTTTGGGTCGTTGCTAACACATTGGAGGCTCATGAACCTGGTGTTGGATTTATAAGGTTCAACTTCTTAAGCTAATGTTTGGGGTGTGGCTCTCCCAAGATCATGAAACAATTGGAATAAAAGCTTGCCACTGCTTCTTCTGGTGCCAGTGAATGGCACAGGAATATGGTGAGACTGGCATAGAAATGTCTCTCCAGGCTAGTGAAGAGCTAGCGCAGCCTTCACTTTGACAAAAGGCAGTGTAAAGCGATGCTATGTTGAAGACAACTATTGTATTGCTGATAATAGTTCAAAAAGTTTTCTTAATTGTCCTATGATATTAGTATTTGTTTACATTGTTTTTCGTTTTTGTAAATTATTTGATTTGATGTGCTCTTCAAATGCAGCCACCCCAAAAGATGGTACCAGTTTTCAGGGCAAAAGAATTGGCTGGTTCAACTGCCTGATGGATATTATTTTGTGATGCCAGAATCGCTTTGTTGTAATCCCTATGTCGACCCCTCATGGATGTGGAGGTTTTAATGAAATTTTGATAATTAGTCTCGCACATTTCTATTTATTCTCATAATTATATTGTAAAATCAGTTAGTTTTGTTTGATTTCATCCCGGATAATAGTGCGAGAGATTGGGAATACATCCTTGCAGTTTTTTAAGTCAATGGTTTTTACAGGCTTTTGCCCCAAAGCTGTTTGTAATTCTTGTATTAAGAGCACGATGCTAGGTACAGTAATAAAAAAAATTAACTTTATACTAACAGGTTTGGCGTCACTATATATTTAAAACAGTTCTATGGTGTTTGTTTTCTGAATTGAGTTTTTGGAGGGAAAGAGGAGAGTGTAATTTTTATTTTTAATAAATATTATTAATTTGATTTTTTAAAATGATAGAAATAAAATGATAAGTGAGCATAAATTTAATATTTTAATCTTGTTTGTTTTTATAAAATGTTACATTACCTAATAATTCTTTTCTTTTAAAACTCCACTTTTAAACACATCCCTGATAAACTTTTTTCACGTTTTTTGTCTTTTACCCGTCCTTTGACCAGATTATCCCCTTTACTTGTGTTCAACGTGAAGTGAGGGATTTCACGCAATTTGTCCGTCTGTGGCCTTAATTGGCATCGACCGTGTAAATGGTTGTTTGGGGACTGGACTAACATAGACTTGGACATAGATAGAACAAAGAATGACCTAGACAGGATTCAGATATTTGAAAGTGCGATTAGTGATTTTGGGAGAAAAAGTACGGTCATTCCCTTTTTTTTTTTCCATCAGCTGTACTGACATTACTTGTACGTTCATGCAGCTTAAAGCTAGGAAGTTCTGTCTAAAGATTTTTCTGTTAGAAAATTTCTATGCAAAAAAACACTCGAACAGTTACAGTTTTGCCTGGATACATTCTTGTATTTCTTCAAAGACAATAAACAAAAACTTTGGCCTAAATGTGGATGCCTGTTGGGATGTTATCGTGCTGTTGTTAGAGCAGCTCTAATGCTCGCTGTCTCCTCATGCACTTGTAACACATTTCATGCATCACAGGCTTGAAAGGGAAGGTAGAAGCATTATTACTATGGAGTGCACTTCACATTTTGCCCATTGATGATGTGCTTGATCGGCTTTCGTATTCGGATATTCCAGACATCGACTGGGACTCACTCATTGTGTCCTACAAGAAAAAACGTGATGTTAAAACGTGTAAGAAAATAAAACATGGGGATGATGAGTGAGTGTGTGACTCACTTGAACTGAGGAAAATGTGGAGCTTGAGTAATTGTAGTTGCTTCTGGGAGTGAATGCTGGGGGGCCGCCGAACATCATCATGGGCATGTTGTCTTCAGCATAATCTCTGAGTTTATTGAGCTCAGGTAATACAACTTTGCCTAGATCAGGCCTATCTTTTCTTCTCATTTCTGCACACATCAAAGCAAGTTTGGCAAAATGCAAGGCATGTTCATATGGCCAGTCTTCAACAGCAGGGTCAAGCATCTCAGCAAAAGTCCCGTTCTCAATGGCTCTTCCAACATGATGAGTCAAACCCATCGGTGATTTGGCTGTTACAATCTGTAGAAGCATGATCCCCAGTGAGTAAACATCAGATTTGATCCCCAGCATGCCCGTTTGCTGGTACTCAGGGTCAATGTAACAGAAAGTTCCAGCAGTTGATGTCATGCGATATTGTGTCACAGTGTCTGCAACTGAAGGAGGTACAAGCCTGGCCAACCCCACATCACTGATCTTGCTCACAAAGTTACGGTCAAGCAAAATGTTTCCTGGTTTCAAGTCACGATGCACCAGGGGTTCTGGTTTTGTTTGGTGTAGGAAAAGAAGCCCAGTAGCAATCTCTGCAGCAATTCGGAATCTTAGCTGCCAGGAAAGAGCTGGCTTGTTATTCCTCCGGAAGAGGCAATCATCCAGACTTCCATTAGCCATGTACTCGTACACTAAGCAACCATACTCTGGGCATGCTCCAAGAAGGAGAACCATGTTTGGATGCCTTATGCAACTTAGCACTTCAACCTGCATGCACCAAATGCCAAATTGATTGATTCAGTTTCAACTATAGTCCATTGATTACCTCAAATGACATGGAATGAAACATAACTTTTTCCCCTTTTCGGGTACAAATCATTTAGATGTTTGTCTTTTTCCATACCTCCTGCTGAAACTGTGACCTTCCCTGAGCTGCATCTGGTTTTAACACTTTTATTGCAACTGGCGTATGATCTAGTTCACACCTGTAGACTGGCCCGTATCCTCCTTCACCAATCTTGAGAGAGTTGGAAAAGAAATTTGTGGCTTCTTCTATTTCCTCAATTGTGTATTTTCTGTACATGGCAGGACTATGTCCCATGACATCCACTGTCTTATTCTTCTGCTCAGATTCTATACTAATTCTCTTTTGTGCCTCCAACTCTGCAATTCTTCGAGATGCTTGTGCTGCTTCCATGGCAGCTCTATATTTTGCTTTCTCTGTCTGAGCTATCGCCAATGCTGTTTCTTCAGCTATTCGCGCCTCTTCCAATTTCCTTTGTTCTTCCAATTTCCAACGCTGAAGATCCAGTGCCTGTAGTAGAAGAGTGTTAGTACATATTTTGTTGATCACATTGGCAACTTTATGACATGGCAGTAATATTCTTAGAACTTTCACGTTTGGATCAACCAAATTAGAATCTACATGGTACCTTTTGCTTTGCTGTCATAGCTTCCTTGCAAGCTGTACTGTACATATCCATTGTCTGCTGCAGTTCTAGCCTCAATCTCCTCATTTCAGCTTCCATTTCATCCTATAATTTCAAAGCACACATTTGTTAATTCGTGTCTTGCTATGCAGGCATGTTTCCATGTAAATATCTCTAGAGTATGACATAGAGCCTAAGTAACTTGATCTTGACAGAGTAAGGCAAGCAAGAATCATACTACATCAATCATGAGTGCTTAGGCATGGTAACAAGGTACATTAGTTAGCGATGTTTGATTATATATTGTGTGTAAATAGCTTACCGAAGCTGAAAACCTTGATGATGACATCGACATGCCACTGTCTTGTGAGCTGAACGAGTAGTCACATGGATCAATTGACTTAGGTCCTGAGAAAGAAGAACCAAAGCTTCTGACCTCAAAATCCGAGCTTGATGAAAGCCGATGGTTTATTCCAGAGTCCAGATCATCATACAATGAAGGGAACATCCTATCAACACTTGGCCTTCCACTGCTCACGAATGAAATATCTGAGTCAGGGATTGAGGACTCGTATGATCTGTTGGATACTCTACCAAGTCTTGTGAATGGTGATCTGTCCATAGGATATCAAGTTAGTCCTCTCAGTAAGCCCTGAAATCTTCTGAATCTTAAATATTCATCCACCTCTAAGCTCATTAACATCTCTATTGTGGAACACTTGGCATTTGGAATTAGCATTCATATGCTACTTCATGGCAATGATGTGACTCATTATTGCTCACGTGATTTTAAACTTTGAACATATAATGTTTCTAATCCTATCAATGATATTTAAGACTTCAGAGATCGATGCTTTTTCCCAGGATATTCTCATTGTATTCCTGATCTAACTAGGGAGATTGAGCACTCTTTGATACGTACTATCAGGTCAAGGTTTGCCAACCCACTTGAGATTTTCCCTTTTGATTTGATCAGTGCAATTGTGACAAGGAAGACAAGTTTGTGAGTTTTCACTAATCATTATGAATAATTAACTAGTTATAATATGCAATGGGAAAGAAATTCCCTACTATGAATGTAGAGCAATTAACATGTGTTCCGTTATCAACTTATCATTTTTCATATTAACAGTTATGACTAGTAGCTTATAGTTTGGGATTCATGAGGTACTTACTTGATTCCCTCTTCATCCACTGACTGGCGGGAAATGTATGATGGCTTCTCTATTGATGCTGTCAAAAATACAAGTAAACATTGTTATCCAAAAAATAATTAATGTTATGAACATTGATATAACCAATGAGATGTGTGTGCCAAAGACAAGAGAGAAATTGGTATACATCGTGGTGGTTGGTTGCGTATTAGTTGTGTATCCATTCTCTCAGGATTTTGGAGAGGCTGAGACTGCATTATATTGTTACGGGGTAGTGGAGCAGTAGCGGTCCGCACTGATGAGATTTTTCCTTTGGAAATAATGTACACAGTGCAGAATGGTGGCGCCCCTTTGGACACAGCACTTGGAATATCGAATATTCTAAATTTTCTGTCATTATCTCAACAAAATTTGAATTATGTTATGTTCTGATCACAGAAACAAATGTGGAGTAATACTTGGCTAAAATATGATTCAAGAGTATCCATTCATATTTTAATCAAGTAAATGTTATTTGATACGAAATAAGTACTATCAAAGTTGTGGCAAATGGGTTGTGATCAATTATTGTTAGCTATCATACATGAAATGTTTAGGATTTGGCTTCTCTAGAGTTAAAATATAACTACCAAAGTAATAATAATATGGATGCCAACTCATTAGAATTTTGTCAAAAGTAGTATATTCCAATCTGCAAATCTCACAATCAAAACAATTTCACAAAATGCGAATTTTCTTCATCAACCAATTTCACAATTGCTAGCTTAATTTTTGCATTAATTTCCTAGCATGGAGCATGAACTAGTGTTTGGTGAGCAGGGAGGAATCGTCAATACCTGACAAGACCACTCCTTGATGCTGCCCCAAGTACCAAAATCTCAATGGAATATGTGGAAATACCTTCTATTAATCCCTTGGTTATATCCGTGTCCTCCAACAAAATTTCTTTGCATTGTATCTGTTATAAATAAATAAATAAGGTCATTGAAAAGGAAAAGAAAAAGAAATGAGGAAAAAAAAGAAGAAGAGAGAGAAGCATATTCCTGACAAAAGAAAAACTACACGAGATGGACGCTCATTTAAAAGCAAGCTCTTTTGATGGCATGAAACTTAATGCTAATTTTTTATTAATGTATTTCTTCTCTTTAATTTTATTATTGCAAGATGGAAGTGAAGGGAATATATGTTAATGTAATGTGTTAGAACTAACACTCTTTCTATTGCAGAAGACACGAAATGAAGCGAAAAGCGCCCTGGATTCGTTGTCCATTTGTTGCATGTATGCTCTAGCCACATCAGCATTGCCATCAAGGGATATATGATTTCCCACTGCATTCATAATCATCCAAATCAGTAACACGTGCATGGTTCATGGTTGTGTATCACAAAGTACTTATTCTGATTAAAAGGGTCCAAGAAATTTCACAAGTGGTAAAACAACAACAAAATAGCACTGAACGACAAATGCTTTAATGCATGCATATACTTTTACTTATACTGAAAAGAGAAAAAGAAAAGATTACATATAGGCCTTTCATCATTCAAGGAAAATGTGTAAACATAAAGCAATTAAGATTGAGGGTATAATGATTACTTGGCGTAGGAATGGTAGATGCTTTTTGTCTAACATTGACCAATAAGAGAGCTTGGTCTTTGGGAAGAAGATTGTCAACTGCCCATTTAGCTGCATATTGGCTTGCTTTGTTATTCTCAATTGCCACGGCCACCACACGGCCTGCACCTAGCTTCTTCTCTTGAACCAACCTTGCCATCTTTATATGAGTTCTTTGAATTCCCTTCAATTTTTTTACCAGCTAAAAGAAATGGTATTTGAGAGAAATTAACTACTACTCTTTCTTGGGGGACTTAGTTTATGTTTTTATAGTTTGTTTGGATTCCCCTAGAGACAGGCTATATGTGAAGCTTAGAAGGAAAAACAACTTGGAAAATGAAAGTGTGCATCCATAACGAGTAGCCACAATGGTTAGCCCTATTTTAAGCATTTTTTGAGTGCTTTTGCAAAGTGCCAACCCTTTATTAGTATGCACTTTGTTGTTAGCCTCCAAAATTAGTTAACATTCACGCGTACAGAATCTTGTACATGTTCTATCATTGAGTGACAAACATTGCGGTAATATAGGACGGTTTACACGAAAGCATCCATAATTAGTTTCACGAAGATTACACGTGTTCTTCATACTCAAAATGCTGTTAAGGTTTTTTTTTTTTCTTTCTTTCTTTCTTGGTATGACTAATAAGGCAAGTATCGAATATCACATTTGACTAGTCAAAAGTCAAACTGGATAATGCCTAATATAGTGTCCTAATACTGATAATTCTGAGGGAAAAAAATTTAACAGAGTGGATTCATGTTATATAGCGAGACTCGTGCAATATTTACTTAATTAATAATAAAGAAATATGCCAATTATTAGGAGAGGAAAAATTCTTTATCTAATTTTTATGTCTTTAAAAAATTAATTTCTAATGCATTACTTCAGGAACAATTTGTTTCATGCAAAAAAGGTTTTAGAAAGAATGTATAAACTCTTTTTCTTTTTCTTTTTTGTAAATAGGAATAGACAGAAGAGGAAGCAAGAATTATAGCTTGCAAAACAAGCTACCCAGGCTATTCTCATGGACTCATTTTTGGCAAGAGGATTCCAAACAGATCAAATTAAAAAAATTAGATCTAATTCGGATTTATAAAATAGTATTTAAAACGAATAAAATCTATTTTTTTAAGAGTTTAACACATGTTAAATAAAAAGATTCAAATTTAAAATTTAAGTCTTACATTTTATTAAACAGGTTTAGTAGACTCCGTAAACTCATTTCTTCCAATATGTCGTGTACTTACATATCAAGTATGTTACATTTTATCAATTTTTTTTCACAAGTATTATTACTTAAACTTATCCAATTTTAATGTATCTATTTATTGGTACCAAAAAAAATTGTATCTATAAAATTTTAACCATAAATTTAACTTTTGATACGTCAAATCATTTTAATAGTTAGTATACTCATTATTTATTTATGTAATTTACTCCTTAATTTTAAAAATCTCAGCTTTTTAATTTATTCTTATAATGAAAATCTTCATTTTAAACAATGAAAGTATCTTCTATTAGGCTAAATTTTTTCCCTCCCTTATTTTCTGAATGTATCCCAACTTGTGAAATTTCTCTTAAATAAAATCTATTAAAGTCAAAAAACAGTTCTTCGTCACTGTTATAAATATCCTCTTGCACGCATATATTGATAAAGTTTATACTTCCTTAGAATTTTAAGTGTTATGTGAATTGTCAACAAACTGTGCAAAATTGGATAAGGACGTTCACAAATGTTGTATAGTTGAATTGTTTTCTAAGATTGTTTCAAAGTTTAATAGAATTCTATATGATCTCTTAATTATTTATGAGAAGCATTCTCTACTGTTTATATATTATCTATATATTTTACAAGTATATATAAAATTGGGAATGGACTGTTGTATGTTAAAATTTTATTTAACTTTATCGTGTTAATATTTTGGATTTATTTCTCTCTTCATTATTATTAAATAGGAGGAATCTTATTAATATTTATAAATAAAATTTCCATACATGACGAAGATATGTACAACTTCGACATAAAATTATCCATTTCAATAATATTATGATTTTTAATAACGATGTAGCATCTTAGAAATAAGTTAATTGTTTACGATCTTTACAACTTATAATCGATCGGCAGACATTTATCTCTCTAAAATCTATGTTTCATTTTTTTTTTCTCCTTTTGAATTTTGTTACTAACAGGTTATAAGAGATAAGATATACAAAGTATAATTCCTTTCACTTTCATGCTGGCATTGGTGTAATAGCATGCAAGTTTCTTAATTTTCTCCAGTCTCACATTGCTCGTTTAAAAAAATATAATATTGTGCTGCACATTGGTTAGACAAAAAATGCCAGAGGATCAAAATACTATAATGAGTTTTAACATAATATCATTTTATAACATTCAATAAATAATCCATTATTTTTTACAGTCTTAAATTGCAGAATCTTTAAAAAGTCTGGATTCTACCCCCAACGTAGCACACAGATTCTGGTCTAGTTTAATCTCACATTCAAACCCATGTTAGTTTGAAAGATCAGATTTTGTAATCAAATCCAAAAAAGATGTTTAATCAAATTCAATTTTAATCTCACACCCATGTAATACCCTTTTCCATTAATTTCTTTTTCTTTGATTTCTACCATCATACATTCTTACATCATGAAAGATCAAAGCAAAAAGAACAAAGTCCTAGATCAGGTAATCTATCTCAACTCACGCTGCATTGTTTTCAAAGGGATAGAAAACCAATTAATGTAATAACTAAGGTAATTTCATTATTCAATTTGAAGACTTCATATCTGCTTCACTAGCATAAGAAGTATAAAAATTCTCTTCCTGATCCCTTTCCTTCACCTCTTGAATTTTCTCTACTGCCTCTTTCAGATCCCATCTTTTTTCCACATCCCCTTCACTACAACTCAAAGCAATCTTCAAAAGTTTAGTCATCTCTCCCTCACTGTTCGTAGTTGCTCCCATTTCTTGATCAAACACAGCATTAGTCCACTCTTCTGGCACAACTGATTGAACCCAAGTTGCCAAACTCACCTCACTTCCTTTACCTTGTTGCAAAAAGTTAGCTGGGAACTTGCCAGTTAGAATCTCCAGAATTAGTATTCCAAGACACCACACGTCAGTCTTCTTTGTAATTCTTCCATGTTGCAAATATTCAGGAGACTTGTATATCACCATGATGTCTTGAACCAGCTCCTGGTTTATCACAGGGACTAATCCATAGTCTGTGAGAAGGGGCTCAAAATTTTTAGTCAGAAGAACATTAGAGGACTTCAGATTTCCATGGGGTGCAATTAGGCTAGGCATGTCCTTGTATAGATATTCAAGACCTTTTGCTATGCCCTTCACAATCTTCAACCTGATTGGCCAATCAAGGCTTGGTTCTCCCAGAGCTTGATGTCCTGAAACAAGAAATAACCATGCACAACTTACTCTACCATAAACAAAGACATCCATAGTTATGAAAGTGGCAACTTGTGTTGATTTGGTCTCTGAAAGTTTGTGTATACAATTTAGTCACCAAATTCGTCAACTTCATGAAAAAATAGTCTTTCTAACGTGAGTCAATTGAATTTAGGGACTAAATTTGTCATGAAGTTGAGAGATTTAGAGATTAATTTATATACACACATATTTGCAAGGACCTGATCAACATGGACTGTCACTTTTGTGGACAAACTTGTATACTTACTCTGTTTATATTTATATATAGTAAACAGAATATGAACACAACCACTTATCTCAAATCTTGCCTTCAATTAAAAAGAAAAGAACAATTTGGTAAGGGAAGAATTAGCTCCAATTCATCAATGTATCCAACATGTCTTCAAAAATTTAAGAAGTGTTTATAATACATACCATGGAGGCGAACAGCCAAGCTGCCATTTTGAACAAAGTCGGTAACCAAGAGCTTCTCTTCCTTTCTATAATAGTAAGCCACAGGAGGAAGCAAGTTAGGATGATTCAATCTTCCTATCCTTCTCATGTGTTCTTGAAACTCTTCCTTCCCCACATTGTTCATTTGCTTAAACCTTTTCACAACAATTGTTGGGCCATTCAACAAGGAAGCCTTGTAAGAAGAACTAAAGCAACCACTGCCCAAAATCTCAGCTGAAGCTCTTAGCAACTCTTGCAAATCAAACTTCTCTCTATCATCACGGATAAAAGATAACTTCATGTGATCTCCTCTTCTGCTGTGGTTGGAACTCACTGATCTAGATGACCTGCGACTATCATCACCTGCTTCCGCTGATTTTCCTTTCTTGTGGCCACAGGGTGGACACTCCACTGATGATGTTGCTCCTTGTTTTCTTCTATGAAGGATGAATATTACTGCTGCAATCACTAGCACTGCCACACAAACAACTACCACAGCCACAACAATACTCACAGTTGAGGGTTTATTGGAAGGACACTCTTCCAATGGGGCTCCACATAACCCGCTGTTACCTGCTCATTTGATGTGTATGTATGTACTAGTTTAGATTGATGCTACACTCTAGTGTCAACACACACGAAATCAAGAGTCAAAACATATCATCATTGTCGTTAGATTTACTATACATCTGAATTTGCATAGGGCCACCGTGCATTCATTTTCTTCATAAATTTACATGGAATTCAATGACTCTCATAGCTTACTTGTACATCCAACTTTTGTTAACTTGGCATTGCACTGTATAGCTCACGTTAATTCCACTAACACTAGTTATAAGAATGGGTCTTGTCTCGCTTCACCTGACAAACACTTCCTTTTCATCCTTTATACAATGTCATGTACAAAGACATGGAAAGAGAGGTCAAAGAAGCTCCTTTTCAACAGGTTTAAGCGTAGATGTAAAAGAAAAGGGATATTAGATAATTATAGTCCAAGTTATAAAAAATATTTACTTGTGGGTGTGTCTATTTTGGCGTGTATGAAGGGTATTCTCTAATTGAGGGTCAGATATTATTTCTTTTAAAGTGTAGAGATTATCGAATTATGTAGATTTTCTCTTTCTCAATTATGTATTTTTTATACACACGATCAAAAATTGAAACTTTGTTAACATGTTTAAAGGACATAACTATTTACCAACTCTGTGAGGCTTTGTTGGTTATGTGTGCATGCATATATAACATGGAAAATTGGTATATATGTATTTTATGTTATGTATTAATTGGATATATTATATATTGGGAGAATTGAATTGAAATGTGTGACTCACCAGAAAAGGAAGAAACCGGCATTTTACTAACGGTAACAGGAATTGGGCCATGCAACTGATTATTAGCCACACTAAATGATTTAAATTTGCTCTGTCTAAGTTCGGGAATGGTGCCATTAAATTTGTTTCCCTCCAACCTCAACTCCATGAGCCTTGGCAAAATTGCAAGCGAAGCTGGAATTGCACCCGAGAACTGGTTATTTGACAAATGTATTTTCTTCAACCACTGCATGCCCTCAAAGGTTTTAGGAGGAATTTCCCCAGAAAACTTGTTATTAGAAAGGTAAAGGGACTTCAAACCAACTATCTTGTTAACTTCTGGCCACGTACCATCAAAATCATTATTCATGAAACTCAAGGTTCTAAGAGAAGGTAACTGCTTAAGAGAGTCCACATCAATGAGCCCTTTGAGTCCCATATTCTCAAGCTTCAACCCCCACACTCTTCCTTGGTAGCACAGAACCCCACGCCAATGAGAATGATCATGTGTGCATGGAGATGACGATGTGTTCCATGAGGTTAAAACATGATTGGTAATTTGTAGGTTGTCTTTGACCTTAAGGAGCAATTCAGAATCTGAAGCCCCAGAAGAGGCAATGACATGCAAAAGAAGAATGAAAATGATCCAAGAAGGCCAACCACTTAGTGCCATAGTGAAGGGTAGGCACTAGGGGCGGCGAGCGCGCCCTGAAGAAGGGCTATTCTTCTTTTTGCAATGGGAAGAAAAGGTGCTACTAAGGGTGAAGAAGAAGAAGAAAGGCTTGGGTGGTTGAGAACTTTTGATGGCATTGAAAGAAGGAGGGGAGAGAGAGAGAGAGAGGGGGAGGGAGAAGAAAAAGAGAGCTAAGAATAGGAGATAGAGAAGTTGTTTAATGTGAAATTATTGACGAAGTCTTTTTTATTTCTTGGTTGCATGCAAATGTGTTTATGTGTCTTCAACGAGAGAAGTACCCGGGTAGCCTTTAAATTTGCACAAGACAACACCTATTTGAATGCCTATTTTCAAGGCTTGTGCCGACTCTACCTTGACGGCCAACAACACTCCACTACATTATCAATGCATTGCATGCTATATAGCCTACAACATGTTTGTCCACGTTCATCTACCAGCTTCAATGCTTTCAATTCATCATCATATATCTCTATCTCTATGTTGCACTAACTTGTCCACTTAGTTAACCTCTCAAGTGAGTCTCTACAATGACCAATTTCAACTTCAGGGGACCCAAGGATTGGCTTACGGATAATTTCCTATTTTTCTCCCGATTATTCATTTTCTTTTGGCGGTGATAGAAAAGCAACAAGAGTCGGTACCCAAAAAGGAAAAGAAATCAAAATTTTAAGAGGTCATTGCCAGCATGGCACCAGACATTCCTCATTACTAATAAAGTAATATCTTTTTATGTAACGTTATTCTTTATTTATCAAAATGATTTTTCATAATTTTTTTTTTATCCCATCACTCATTTCATATTTCTTTTTCTCCTTTTCTTATCACTCTCTTTATTGTAAAAAGTATTGTTAAAAATTTGAGTAAAAATAATTTTTTTCTATGTAAACTTCAAAATTGAAAAAACAACACTCACTTATTTGTTAAAAGATAATTACCATACCTGAAACCATTAGCGTTTCTACATTATACCTTAAAATACTTACATATACATTATCAAATCCGTAAATGCGTGTTCAGATTAATTTATTTTAAAAAATTGCTTGTAATTTTTGGATAAAATTAAAAAAAAATTGCTTATCTAATTTCTCAAGGATTTTATTTCTCTAAAACTAATTTAAAATAAGCATGCTATATTACATTTTAGATTAAGGGTCATTTTTTTATCCCACTCACACTATAGATTTGTAATAATCAAATTCCTCAAAGCCCAACAATATTACGAATGCCAATCTACTTTAATTTGTTGGAAGAAAAGACTTTAAAAAAATAAGTCAAACTGAGATCTTCAATTTGAGAGACATTTGGTAATAATTAGCTAAAATTAATAAAATTACACAAACTGTTATCCATTCACCAATTATGCCACCGAATTCAGATCCGTCTCTCTTCAATTTTTCTGCATTCAGGGAAAGCCGTGTGGGTTTTTCTTTTCTATGTACTGTTTTTGTTTTTCACATATGAATTTAATCTCATTTTGGCAATTTAGAGTTACTTTTCCTACACTTTTGTCCTTCACACGTGGGAGTACACTTCAATTTGGTCCAACTTTATTTCTTTAATATTGATCCATCAGAGTTTTCTATTTTCTCATTTTGTTCTCGTATAGATGTACTAAAATTCATTGTGATCCCCAAGCTAAACTCAATAATTTAGTTATCTATGCAAGTTGCCAAATAAACTCAAATGAAAGAAAGTATATCTATGAAGGGTCGAAATGGATGAAAATAATTTTGACGGACAAAAAAAAAGTGTACTTGCCAAGAGGTAGACGTACCAAACCAATATTTTGTTTTTACCACATGGAATAGCAACATAAAAAAAAAGGCTAAAATTTCAGTTTGAAGCTTAAAAAATAATAAATAAAAATCTGAATGTACAACAATGGAGAGCCAAGATGCCGAATTCTAGTAATCTAGTGCAACTTCATCGCTGGAGCTGCTCGTAATAACAAAATGACAATGTGGAAGATCAAATTACAAAATATTGGATAAAAATGCAGCCCCGAATTAAAATCTGCCAGTATTACTGACCCTAGTACATACATTTGGTTAAGAACCTAGTAGAAATGTGGCCTACCGCTTGTTTCAATAAAATGAAAGATTCCTACGACTTTAACAAACTTGTTGACCGAAAAAAAAAAAAAAAACAAATCATTACTTTATCAGGATGAAGCATTTTTCGGAGTCAAATTCAGTATACCCTACATCAACTAGACATAGACCATCAGGAGGTGCTGGAGGAGCAGTGGCACGCCGACATGTGGCATCCATGAGCTTTAGCAAGGCATCATCTTCAGCACCAGCAGCAGCTTCTCTAATTGAGGTTGCCACAAGCACTCGAACCATCTATAAAAATATGCTTAGCCTCAACCAAGTTAGTAGTGGATATACAAATACACACACCACTAAGAGCAGCAAGTTTTAGTTTTAACCCAAATCAAGCACGCCACAATTACATAAACATCGCAATAAACTTATGATGCTTTATTTTTCAAATTTACATCAACAAATTTCATTTTCTATATTTTAGTAATAGTTCCACATGAGACATGTTTCCCCTAAGCAAAGCAAAAAACTCAACAAGTTACCTTGCGTAAAAAGCGATTGGCTACCAGCTCAACGCACATAACCTTTGTTTCTTCTCCACAATCCTAAAAAACCCATGAGCAAAATCAAACATAAACACAGGATTACTTGGATTTTTACCACTGTGAAGATAATTGTCTTCATTAAATTTAATTTGCTTGTTACTAATGTCCATTTCCTTCGGCCCTTTTTTTTTATATATAAATTATCCTCTGCCATACCTTGACATTTCTTAAGTTCTAAAAGTACACAAAAAAAAAACTGTATACACTTTGCAGTGTGAACTATATTATTGAGGTTGGAAACCCACCTCAAGCCACCAAGAAAACAGTCACTAACAAATTTCCATTTATTCATGTCATTTAGTAATTTAAAAAAGAAAAGTAAAATTAGATAGGGGTAATATTCCTTGATTGAAGCCAGCAAATGTAGCCATGCCCTCTTTAGCATTTGCCCTTATTTCCTATAGCTATTATTCATTTGGACGAATTTCCTCTAACTATTTTGATGAGCAATATCATGAATAATTGATTTTTCTTATTTAATGGTTAATGACTATGATTTGAATTTGAAGCTTGGTCTCTCAGTTATGTTTATCATGGAAAGAAAAAATGTGAAGATAAGCTATAAATAAAATGAATCTATTCACTACTCCAACAGAACATCAGCTTAGCAGGCAAAACAGGATAGCCAATTTGGGGCAAGCTACATCAACAAACACACCCAGACATAACAAGAGCCACAAAAACATAATTTCAATTATGGAACAATAACAATTGGGGGTAACAAAAAAGAGACAAAAAAAGGAGATTACAAGGTGAAAAATTAAAAGTCACTTACAGTTGTAGGCAATCTGGCTTCAATAGCACAAGCATGGTAAACAAAACACTCAGTGGGTGGACCTCTGAAACACAATGACAGTAATAAGTCAATTTAGTGAATGACAGGTCATGCCTTAAAAGTCATGTCAACACCAAGGAAATATGTAAGTGGTGTCATGAACCGACAATCCCACAAGAAGCTTAAGTTGCTAAATGAAACAAGAGATTGGTTTTTATATTATATTTCTAACATGTCCTTTCACATAAGAACCCTTAAGGCCAAGAAGTGGATCAAAAACTCTACACACATGAATAGCTTTTATATTCTATCTCTAACAGGTAGGCCAGCTACTACTTGTGCGCTCACACTCTAAAAAGGTACCACATAATAATAAAATAATGAAAACAATTTAAGATTCAATTCCAAATGGAACCATTAAGTTTTGCTATCCTCCCAAAAATGTTATGCAGAAGTTTCTATAATGTGGTTGCAGATTAATGAGATAATGCAATGAGTAGAAATATAAATTCAAGTATTAAGTCCTCACTCATTTCTTGAAGCTTTTGTATCACGGGCAAACATCTTGTAGGATAGCAATTTTCCTTCTAATTTTTGCAAAAGCCGATTTACCTTGCTTACACTGAACACGTAAGATTTCTTTTCATTTTCTAACTCATCCCTGCTGGAAGAATTATGAATTTCATTATGTCTGGAACTGTCACAGAACTCCCCATCACCATTACTTTGCTCCCTGTAAACTCCATCAGTGAGTGGAAAAATATAAAGGTAACGCCTCCATTTGGCTGAGAAATTAGGATGAAAGACACGTGATACCTACAATAAGTCATGTTAACATTATCAGATTAAATATTTGGTGAACAACAAAGAATTCAATCAGCAAATCATATTTTTGTTTTAGTTTTTATTTTTCTTTGAATTCAAGGCAATTAATAATTGTATCAAACATTAGCTGCACATTGCAATTACCTAAAAATAATATTACCTCAGAAACTGATATGACCCTAAGTTTTCCTGGTGCTGCATAATTGATTGCATCCTCAATATCTCTTGGTTTAACATCCTTCTTCCAAGTGTCTGCATATAATGAATCCTAGATCAGGCATCATACATGTCTAGGCATCTAAGATACCATACCAAATTATGTCAGACATTAGCATTAAGCACATCTGAAGTAAAAAATTTCCAATCAGAAAACCTAATATTTACTGTTGATTGTATCACTATGAGCACATTAACGTGAGGTCCAATAATGCTAAACAATCTTTGTAACAAATACTGCACTTATAAGAGAGACTACGGGACTCCAGTTCTGTCTTCTCACCAATTGAAAACAGTGTGTGTGACAATTCACTCATACAAAGGCATGGACATAGCAAAAGCATTACTAAGAACAGGGAAATGACTTACAGAAAGAACAGACTTGTCGAAGGCCTGTCACTCCTTTGTCTGTACGACCAGCAACAACAGCACAACCTTCAACAGGCAAGCCTTTGTCCTTGAGCAGTTGAGTTTTCTTTTCATCAACAAATTTACCAAGTGACCCTTCTACTATGCTGCAGCAAGAAATGAGAGCAAGAAGCAGAATGATCATCCGAAAAGATGAATTCATATTAGCGTAAATAATTGTTTTGATTATTGTACATGTTAATAATGTAACAAAAATAAAAGGCAAGCATGTCGAATCTGACAGGGAGAAGATCAAGCAGTAAAGTAAGAAACAAGGAAACACTTGAGCCACGTTCAATTGCATCACAGTTTTGTCAATTATATATGTTTATATGCAATTTAAGATCAACTAACAGGTAATGAATTATTTATATAAAAAATAATGAAGCACAAAAAGGAAAGCTAATTAGTTGACGTAGAGCATGTTATTGTACCAAAACCACAATCTTAAGAAGGAAAAAAGCACCCCATCCATTCCATTCATTGGTAAGAGTCCTAGACAAATTGTTGCTTCCTAATACATGGAGTTCGCAATATGCACAAAACTGCAAAGGTTGTAAGAAGAACAACTTGCCTTTGGACAGTGTTCAGACCTGGTTGCTTTTGCCATCCATCGAAAGAACCCCCGTGATATGAAAGAACGATTTTGAATGTTAATCTCGCCCACCTCCCGCACCGATCTTCAGATGCAACACTTTCCAACTCAGTCTTATCAGAAAGTGCTGCAATTCCAGTATCATTATGATCAGGAAGTGACTGTTAGAAAATCATGAATTAGCATACAAACAGTTAAAGACACTCATACACACAATCATGCATAATTTTCAACTACATGGTGATCGCATGCCACATCATGATCTTAAAAAACTTAAGAAGTTGTCAACATAACTAAGTTTAAAAAAAGAAAAAAGAAAAAAGAAAAAAAAAGAGCATTGAGACAGCACAGGGAATACCCGTGAATCAGAAATTAGGGTTCAAATTTGAAAACGGAAAAATTACAAAATAATGTGATGCTAGTGAACCTCGGGTTCAAAGAGAAGCTGCAGAGACAAGTTGCCACGGACAATATTCAAATAAAAATCATTGACTCGTTGCCAAGGCCTTGCATACATGAATTGGAAACTCTCCCTGCGAAACCCAAATAAAAGCCATTGCAATTAAATTAAAGAGAAGACTCGTTCGTAGAAAGGTTTCCATAAAATCAATGTCAAATATGAAATCAAAATGAAAAAGGATACCTAGCAGTCCATCTTGCGTATTTACATGGATGAGTGTGGTCGTAATGCACATAAGGTTGAGTTTGGATTTCCATATGGCGTTGGTTATTCATGGAAGAGAGAGTACCTTTGATAAGCGATGTGGATTATGCAGGTTGTTTGCAAAAGAACCGTGTCTGTGGAATCCAATGAATATGTGTTTACTCATGCACTAAGCATTAAGCAGCGACCATAAATCTCCGCGCAATTCAACCAGCACACTAGTAAGGTAATGTTTTATGGGCCTTTTTATTTAAATATTGCATTTTCAAAAACAAATTATCAAATTTTTTTAGGTAATTTATACTGCCAGGTAAACTAGAAATCACTGTCTATCGTAAAATAACAATTACGGTTAATTCTGTATTAAATATGTATAATAATAAAATTATTAATTTATTTTAAAAATATATAAATATCATTTAATTTTTAAGATATTAAAAAATTTATAATAGTTAATATCACTCTATATGTGTTACTTTTTTTTTAACGAATCTTGTGACTGAATCTAGTAATGTTTGGCAAAAGTTTTGCAACATGTAGAGATTATGTCACCTGTCAAGGAGACAAACCTTTTACCGTAAAATTGGCAAAATTAAATCAAAGTTTAGTGTAATAGAGAAAACATATAAAAATATGATACGCAAGTTGCACAAATTTTGCCAAAAAACACAAAAGTCGCAAAAATATTTGAAAAATATTAAAATGAACAATTAAGGAAAGATGTAACATCATTCTATTTAACGGAATAATAAAGTAATTATGAAGTTGAGAAGAGAAAATTTTATTAAATTCATTTGCAAAACGAATATAATGTCTGGAAATATAAAACATCTCTTTTACTTTAATTAAACTTATAAAAATTTAAATAACAAAGTAATGGAAATAAAATCAATTAAAAGGAGACGTGAAATAGCATTAATATACACTATTCTTATAAATTTACATGAGTTTGACAATTAAATAATATAACTCAAAATACATTAAGACTCGTCTATATTTTTTACAAAATTAAAATATAATAAGTCCTAATGAACAGTCTGTCAACTAGAAAAATTGAAGACGATCCTAGTCGTCTTCATGCTATCCTTCTATTTTCGCAAAGTCTTCCAAATAAAGATAATCATTTGATCTAAGATAACGATCACCAAAATTCGTAATGGTTTCTATGCCAGTAACTCGCTCAAAAGTCTATCAACTTTGTCTTACAACATGATCTTAATCATGATATGTGAACAGGTAGGTTACAACTGATGGAATTCTAACTTTGCCTTGATAGAAGTACACACATAGGGTGTGGTGGATCCAATCATTTATAGAAAAATCTAAAGGCAGGCTATAATATAGATCAATTTTCATCTTAATTATATTTCTAGGTATATTGTCCACATGCACAGCAAATTTGAAATAATAAGTCATTTAATATTCGTTAAACACAAAATTAAGCCTATTATGTACAAAACTATCTATGAGTCTAATCCTCTCTCTGGGTGTCGTCATTCTGGTTCCTTAAAAAGTTATATAAGAATGAGTCTATATTCTTATTATTAAGCATAGATTTACAATTAAGTCATATAATATAGCAAAGTAATACAACAATCAATCATGTTCATATACATGCAATAATCCTTAATTATTCAGCTTATTACTTTTCCTCTCTCTTAATACTTAGAGTTATCATTTCGTACTTTCACTGCCTCTAGGATTCCTCGAGGTCTTCTTTAGCATAGATAGTTATTGGATAATTATAGCTACACGGATACAACATGTGTCATCCCAGCCCCTTTTAGCAAAAGCGTAGTCAGGAGTTTAGGTTAGGAAATAAATGTGAAGCATGTAGTGTTCTTACTCTCATTTATTATGCGCAATTCAAGAAGAACATTCACCACTCTCATTTTCCTAAAATTTCTCAAACATATGTTTACAATCATGCATTACATTATAACATTTTCACGAGACAAATATATTATATTCTTAGTAACAAGATACAACTCTTCTTAGCTTGAAATGAAAGTTTAGTAAAGGGTTTGGAGTGAATCTTGCTTAAAACATTGAGTTCTTCCTAAACATTACAAAATATCTTATTTAGAGGTGAAAAACAAGAAAATAACCAAGGAAATGGAGAGTCAAGCTTCATTAACTTACCAAAGAGTAAGAAAAGTGAACTCTTAACTTTGGATTAAAGAGAGATTGAAGTTTATCAAGGATTTTTTGATAAAAAAAGGAGAGAGGCCAGAGGAAGTGGAGAAAGGTCAAAACTTTGATTATAATCTAAGTTTTTTAACTTGAAAAACCTTAAATATTCCTCAACTCATGACATTCTTGCTACAGCAAGCCATTTTTTCATTGCAGCAAAAAAATCAGATAAAATTCTTCTTTGCTATTTGTCATTATAACTACAGCAAAAAAGTATCAAAGAGTCTGACTCTGAACGCTTATTTCTTGCTACAGCAAGAAATCCTATAACTCACATGTCTAAAGTTCTGTTAATTTCAAACAACATGCATTAATAATTATTATACAAAACATAATTAATAAATAAAAAGAATAGGAGTGTTGTAAGAGATAGTGATAATATCGTGTTTATTTAGCAACTTTGATAACGAAAATACCTTTTACTGCAAGATGAAAATACTCTTACTGCAATTGTAGTAAAACTTTATTGTTTAATAACAGTAAACTTTGATCTCTTCTCCTTCCTTTTTTTTCTTTCTTTTTTATATTCTTTTTGACATAAAAATTTACCTTCTCTTTTTTAGATGTTATTATATTTTTTTATTATTTTTTTTAACTAATAAAAATGTAATTTTGTAATTTGTTTTGCTAATAAAAATTATGTGACTTTTTAATAAAAAAGTCAGTGGTAGGATAGAAAAAAGTTAGTAACAAATTTTTATTTTTTTATATTATAGTTTTAGATTGTGTTTATATTTAAAAAATTTATTAAATTAGTTAAATAAAATTTAGCTTAATCAAAAGTATAGAAAAAGAATAATTTTGTAGTTACTTTTTTTCATAATGTTATTATTATGATGTTGAATATTAGATAATTTAAATTTTTTAAAAATTAAAAAATAGAAAAATTATAGTTGATTAAGAAAATTGTATGATAATTGAATTTAAAAATATTAATATAATGTGACAAATTTATTTGTATATAGAAAATATTTGATATAAGACACTCGAATGAAAGAATTTATTTGTGTGTAAAATAAATAAATATAAAAAATATTTTAACTATTTTAATACAAGTATTAATTAAGATGCAATAATAATATGTATGTACTATATGTATATATTTTTGTAATTAATTATAATATTAAAAAATTACACAATGACCTTTTAAGTAGACTTAAAATAGTATGAATATTTGTCATTGTATTTATTAATAATTATATATTAAATATTGGTATAAATGATAACATTTATACATATAGTAAGGTTATTCATTTTGTCCCAAAAAATCTATCTCTAAATATATATGAGATGAACATGATTATCCAATTTTAAGTGTTAGGTATTTTATGAAAAATTATTTTTCATCTAAAGTTGGCTGGTTTTATTGAAGTAACTAAAGTATGTTAACTTTTGTGGAATTTAAAATTAATTATTATATTGGTTAAGAGATAAAAGCTTGAGATCTATACCATCTTCTATAGAGAATGTATAATTACTATTCCATGTTACCATCTTGTTAGACTTATACATTGACTAGAAGACAATTTTTATTTATAAATATTTATTTACTATTTTTTATTTCCTTTTAAACATAAATATTATGATTCCATTCAGATTAATATCAAACTCGTAATATATCGATGCCCTCTTTGTTTAAATTAAAGAAATAGTATCCTTACAACAATTTTCTATAATAATTTTATAGGTTTAGAATTTTAATTTTCTTATATTTTTTATCTTATTGTTTCACTCTTTTACACGAAAATATTATAAGAATAAAGTTATTCTTTTAATTATTATACTGTAAAATATTTTGAAATATTTTTATCTAATATATATATATATATATATATATATATATATATATATTAGAATTAATAGTTTAGTTGAAAAAGGTGTTAATACTATCTAATTGTTAAGATATTAGATGAATTACAACCATATATAAAATATACTTTTCAGTTTAAATGTATAGCAAATACGTTATAAGAATTGTCAATGAACAACAAATATTATTGTAATTAAAAATTATAAAAAATTTGTGTAAGTTCACCTTTAAATAAAATGAAGTTATATTCAAAATTTTTATAGTTAAACACAAATCAATTCAATTGTATACATTTTTTATTAATATTATTTTGAAATAATTTTAAAATAAATATAATATTTATTATTTTTTAAAACATTAAAATTTATTATATTAAGTATTTTAAACTTATGGTTATTAAGTTCACTTATCACTTAAAACACACATTTCAAGGCCTAAATTTTTTTAAAAAATTATAGGTCAATTTTAAAAAAATTATAAAATCATATACCTACTCACTGAAGGATTTATTTTTTATAATTTTTATTATATATTTTTTCACATGTGTAACAATTATTATTATTTTATATTAACGATATATTTAAAAAATATATATAAATATTATAATTTAAAAAATTACAACCATTATTAATGACTTATAAATTAAAAAGATATTCTTTATTTTCCACATGAATAACAATTACCAATATTAATTTTATATTAAATATATACATAGAAATTAGGAGTTAATAATATATTTAAAAAAAAAACATAAGTATACTATAACTTAAAAATCACAACTCTTAATTTTAAGAGAATATAAAATAAGTTTACGAATTTACGAAGTACCACAAGCACATTTACTTTTGTTAAAATAAAAAAAAATGTGCGATGAACATATAAAAATTACGATTGGGAGCATTAAGAAAATGAACGTAAAAGATAAATCAGTAAATGTAAAACCAAACGCATGCTAAAATTTTTATAAGTTATTTGATAAAATTGAAACTTAATTACTTGTGAATTTTGATATATATAAAAAATACATTTATCCTTTTATATATCTAAAAAAGAATGAAAATAAATAAATAAAAACAGCAGCAGGGGTCAGTTCCGTAGTTTTACTGAAGACAGAGGTTGAATGGGAAAGGGAGAGGCAGAGAATAGTGAAAAATAAATAAGAGGAACCCTCGATTGTGCTGGGCCCTGTGTAGTGTGTTGGATAATTTTCTTTTCTTCCCCGCTTTGCGTTTAGTAATACATACAATACAATATCGACTAAGCACTTGTAAGTTCATATTTCTCCCTCTAGGGTTTTTCCATCGCTTTTCTCTTTTCAAATATTCAAATTACTTCAATTGATACGCGCTGCTGAAAAAGTAATCAGTGTTTTTGTGTCATTCAGAATGTGACTGTGACTTTTTTTTTTTTTTAAGTTTTACTTTTGAATTTATTTGTAATTGATTGATTATATGTAGTTATTGCTGTTTATTTCTTGGGGCGATGAGTTCCTCTTCTACCGATGCCTTCCCAGCAATCCAGGTAATAATGCCGTTGTATTTTACATTTTTTTTCTTTTTTGGATAAATTTAAAGAATAGAATAAATGAGTTCACTCCTTGAATCCTCTTTATTTGGGCATGAAATTTTCTGTGTTGAACCAAAAGCAATCTGGATTGTTGTGAGAAAGTTTATGGTAGTGCTGTGCTGTAATATTTATTGCATCAAGAATCTGCAATACTTGTAGTGGAGATGAATGGTTGCAACGTGTGGTTTGCAATTGTGAGCTTAAGTTGATGGTTAATTTGTTTTAAATTTGATGAATGAAGTCAGAGAGATCTGGGTTTAAGTGTTTGTGTTTTTGCAGTGTTTTTCCCTCTTTGTTTTTTTATTGATTAGAATATAATGGCAGGAAATTATGCTGGAGTTCCGTGCTGGTAAAATGTTTCTAGAGGGAAAAAAGGTTGTACCTGATACACGGAAAGGACTTGTTCGAATTGCTAGGGTATGGTCTAATTTGAATACATTTTTTTATTATTCCTTGTGTTTTAAATCCGTGACTGCCACTGGATTTTTGAAGTGATTTATTTTGTCATAGGGTGAGGAGGGATTAGTCCATTTTCAGTGGCTTGATCGCACCCAAAATGTTGTTGAAGATGTATCCTTTATTTTCCCTCCCCAATTATGTATACTTGGTCATCATCATTTTAGTGATGCACATTGTGTTGTAGTCTCTAGTTTCTTGCTTCTGTTTTTATTGTTTTCTTTATGTGAATATGTTTTGGTTTCTTTTGAGGCTGATGCAAGTATTCTGTTATGAAATATATATGATAAAGTTCAGGAATTGAAGTTAAATGGAGCAATGACGCATTTTGAACCCCAGATTAACATTGTGATTGCCATAAAATTTAAATAACATTTTTAGTTAAAAAAATTTATTAAGATAGATTTGAATGTGTTCATAGATTATTTGTCTTGGAGTTCCAGACACATCCTTATTTACTGGTACTTTTTTCTTTCCCCAATGCGTATTTGCAAGTTTCCCTATGAAGATATGTGATACAATGTTCTAAAAATGGTACTCTTTTTTTCCAGCAGCACTCCTGCACACCCCTCGTTTTTTTGTGAAAGAAAAAGAAGGAAATGTTGTATGAGTTTATAATACCTTCATATATTATTGCCATGGCCAGTGGACACTGTTGGAGGAGGTTGCTTTCATCTAGTTACAGTAATAAGTAGAAAAAGTTTAATAAATTGCAGAGACTGCTGCTAGAAGCAAATTGTTATTTGCTTTCTAGAAACTGATCAAAACCCTTGATTTTGATTTTGAGGAGTATGATGCCTACAGAAGAATGAGAAGATGTAAAATAATAGCAAACAGTTTACAAAAGTTTAGAGAATTGGCAAATAAGCTACGTAAACATTTATAGAATATCTCTGAATGGGTTTAAAATAAAAATTGAAACAGTCAGTTTTCTTCCCCATCTTGCCATCGTGACCTTGTTAAAGATGGCTGCACAGTGGCATAACATATATAGAAAGAGATAATGGTTTCTAGTGAATTGTGAATTATCAAGAACACTTGTAAGTTTTTAGGTATGTATTGGTACTATTGCAAGATCGTTGTTGTTATTACCATCATCATCATCACAAAAGTGAATTAGTTTGGGGAATTTCCAATAGCTTGTCATGACATGTCTCCAAAAGCATCAATTTGCATGAATGCAGGTGCTAGTTTAGAAACTACAGCTGCTTGATCAAAGCAAAGACTAGGATGATACTTTGGACATGAAAAGTTAAGGGTTTGTTTGGTTTGAGGAAATGTTTTCATTTCCTTTTTTCAAAAATAATTACAAAAATACCACTTGGTTTTACGTTGTTTCTTATTTTCAAAAAATTGTATAGGAAATAGTGAAAAAAAGTTTTTTTGTCGGTTGTGCAATGTGCATAGAAGTTTTAAGATGTCATTTTGTTGATACAAATTGTATCATACAATGATGGGTGGAGTCTAGAGAATAAGCTGCAAACTTGATCTTTCACTTGGTTTGTTCTCAATGTAACACCTCAAAGTCTCTTTCATTCAGGTTTAAGAGGTATCCAATGTGTAATGTTCCAGGCGTTTTCTAATTTGTTCTCCCCGCTACTTCCTGACCATTATCCTGTTGATGATCATTCTTTTTATACTGTGTCACTATAGTATTTGAAACATTATGTTGCTTCCTGCTGGATTTATCTTTATTTTTCTTGACCCAAGCTAATACAGGATCAGATAATATTTCCCAATGAGGCTATTTTTGAGAAGGTTCCATTGCTTTGCTCTCAATGATTTTGGTTACACCATTCATTTGATGTTTCTGACTGCTCCATTTTCTGGTTGCTTAGGTTAATCAAACTTCTGGAAGGGTTTTCATATTAAAGTTTAATAGTGATGACAGGAAGTTCTTTTTCTGGATGCAGGTTGGTCTTATTACTGAATGTCCTACCCGAGAGCTTTAGCTGTATGATTAGTTCTTAAATTTCTATACTTTCATTGATTTTGTCTAGGAATCAAATGCTGACAATGACTTGCAACTGTGTAGCTCAGTGAATGATTGCATTAATAGACCATTAGGTAAGTATTCTCCTTTTGCTTTAAAGTAGAAAACACTGAGCTTTCTTTCTGTTAGCTTAAGCCTTCTGTCACTGGACATTTCTGCTATTCTGATTAGACATCGTTGCAAAATAAGTTTTGTTCTTAATATAAATGAAAGCAAAAAAGTGGACATCAAATTTCTATGTCAATTTTTAAATAGTTTTTGAAGTAAATAATTTCTAGAAAATATTGAAGTTTGCTTTCATTTTGTATTATTGATTTTTGGTTCTGAGAAATTTTAATGAATTACAAAGCACTTCTTTTCAGTAAGTATATATATTCCTCTATCATTGACAAAAGTATTTGGAAAACATGAAAACCATTGAACAAATTCCAGAAGGCTCTGAATTTTCATCGAAGTCTCATGGACATGGGTACGAGTGCTTGTGCCAGTACTGGTATGGATATTATGAAAAAAAAACTTTAAAGGGGATCAAATCATTAGATATATTTTTCACGTTTTAACTCAAGTAAGCAAAAAATTTTATGGAACAAGTTTTGAACATTAAGTAGCCATGTGTCATTAATCAAACAACTAAGCTTTAAAACTTGATGTTTTGCACCAACCTTTGTACTTGATTGATTAGTGGGTAATGAGTAAATACAAAACACAAATATGTACCTAAAAGTAGCAGTAACAGATACATTCCTGGTATGGGTATGACAACTATTTAGGGGCACCCGTGCATCATAGATTTTCATTTAGGACAGTAATAACAGACTCTAACTCATAATCTTAGATTGATGTTTTTTTATGTTTTTTTATTGTTCTATTATTGTTTTATGGGAATATATAACTAAAGCATTTTATCATTTTTTGATCCATTTGATTATGATTCTACATATTTTCTCATTATTGGAGCATATTATTGCGAGACCTAGTAGTGTGAGTTGACTCCGTGTTATCTATAACATATATATAGTTTGATGTCTTATATTTCATCAAACCACTGTCTAATAGGTGCACCCAGGTACTGTGATTGTATGTAGAGGTGCTCTGTAGCAATTGATCTTTACTTAAAAAGTTTGGTTGAGTCCTGGATATTGTTATGAATAAGTTATACAATTATTTCAAAATGACATAGGCAAATAGCAAAATTTATTATGTGCTTCAAACTTTTATCTTTAAATATAAAGAACTACTACTTACATATTAACAGAGTTCCTTGGCGAAGAGGAGCCAGATGGATCCCTTCCGCTTCAAGTTTCTGAAGATATGGCTGAGGATGATATCTCATCTAGGTAATGATATATTTTGGATATTCAATTGTTTGCAGATGCTATGAGTCTATGACTTGAAAATTAGTTTGGGTTTTGTTTCTTGGTTTAGTTTTCTCTTGCAATTGATGAAAGTAATTTGCACTTATTGCTATTACTACTATTTATTTATGTACCACCTGAAATTCTGGTACAGTTCCAAATTTCCAATCAAAGTCAAGAATAATGCATGTTCATACATTTTATGTGTACTTCATTCAATCTGTTGTATCTTTGCACTCTATTGTCTATGTTATACACTTCCCATTCTTGTCCCATTTGCTAGATACCTCCATTTTGTTAGAGATGGTGCACTGGCCAAATCTAATATGGGTGGTTCCTCTTTGCCAATTGATATCCTCTTCCTTTTAGATGGCTTTGTATCCTTTCTGAGCTAGACTGATTGATTCAAAACAGAACCACTGGGACATGGCGTGAGTCTTGCACCCTTGCCTTTTAGAGCTTCAAAGTAATAATGTATTAGTTGTAAATAAAATCATCATTTCTCAGGATCTTAGGGCCAACATCAAGTAGTTCTGATTTGGATGGAATATATGCTGCTTTTATAGCAAATATTTCTTTAACAAAGGGAAAGAAAGTAAATGCCTGGATGTCATGTCTCAAACTACCAAATTCTTTTCATTAGCAATTGTCTCGTCTTGGCCAGCCAAGTATTAAGTACCAAACTTCATTTTTTTTCCCTCACTGCTAAATATGTTCATTTTTTCTTTTTTAAACATAAAATGGTGTTATTTAAGGTTACAGTGAGTTGTACCATTCTTCCTTAGGGATTTGTTCCTCTAAAATGCGGGGTTCACTTCATAGGTTAAAATGTAGAGTTATGACTGTTGGGGTTATGATCAAATACAGCTACATGTATAACAAAATATGAAGTTACAATCTCAACTGTCCTTTTTTTTTTCATTCAGTTTAGACAAAATTGAACTAAAGTGAAGGCTGTGAAGCCAAAGCTGTGATGTGATGTTGCATTTAGGGAGGTTGTTTAGTTATCAAACTGTATCCAATCCTTCTTATTGCTTACTCTTATCTTATGTATATGACCAACTGGACACTAAATGTATCTAGTTTTATTGTTGTTAAAGAGCTGCAAACTTAGCTGTCCCAAACTTAGGTGTGGAAGCAACTAGTGATGTAACATCTTCGGGTCCTGTTAAATTGGAAGATCTTCAAAGAATACTGAGTAACATTGGGCCTGCAGGTAATAAGTTCAATTGAAAGAGATCGTTCATGTATTTTAAATCATTTTGAGACCTAACCTGTTACTTTTCTGATGATATGTTTGCAGATAATATTGTTGATCCTGATGGAGGTAAACATTTGATATTATATTCCGTTCCTGCTTATGTATTAATATGGTTATAAGGATGTGCATCAACAGATAACATTGCATGCTATTACATTCAAAATTCAAATTAGACACTATATATATATAGCCCATACTGAAGTACATTTTTCGAAAGAGAAATGCTAACAACATATTTTTCGACACACTCTTTATAACACATTTTAAAAATTATTGGCTAAAATTTATTAAAAATTATAGAAGTATAAGAAAGAAACATTAAATTAAGAGTAAGAAAATGCATGGCTAGCATTTCTCTTTTCAACAATGATGATGAGAAGGAAATATGTATCAACTAATGCAGACTAATTTATTTGGTCAGTTATGAGCCACAGTGTGGTTCATACACGGAGTGATTAATATAGGGGTCATTAATATGTGTGCATTATTATTATATCCAAAGTTTCATGTTTATTGCTAATTATTGTTGTTGGTGTCATGCTTTTTATTGGAACTTCCGATTGTCAATGTACTCTCTGAAAACTTTAGCTGTCAATGCACTCTTAGAACTGTATCTCATGAGGTGTACTAGTGGGAATAGTTGGATTTCTCCTTTTTTATTTTGGCTGTAATGTTGTTCATAAAATATAAATCTACTTTGACTATTTTCTTGCATTTGTTTAGGCTTTGGACTTGGGGATATATTGAAGCCTGATCTAATAATGCCATTGATGGAGACATTACATTTGGAACAGCGTTTAGCTCCCTACTTACCTGAGGTATATGTCGTTGTGGTGATTATGTTTTAGTATTCCTTCATAAAGATTCATGTAATATTCTTTGATGTAGGGTAATTGGTCTCCAGAAGAGATATTGGAATTGCTGCAGAGCCCACCTTTCCGTCAGCAAGTAGATTCATTTACTTACGTGAGATTGCAGTGCTTTCCTTTTCTTTTTTACATTTCTTTCAAAATATACTTAACAGATAGGTTATTTATTTATTGCTATAGGTTCTTCGAACGGGACAGATAGATTTGTCTCAGTTTGGAATTGATCCAAGTAAATGTGAGTAATCCTTTTATAGTGCCTTGCCTAAGTGTTACTGAGTTCTATACTAGCATTTTTAACATTTAATGTCCAACGTAGTAGTTTCTTCTCTAATCTTGCTTGTTATAGGACATGAATAGCCAGCGAATGCTGATAGACTAGTCATTTTTTCACCTTTATTCCTTTTGTCTCTTTGGTTGGTAGATGGGTTTCAGGAGTAATGTTATTTTAACACCCGATTTGGGTGTCTATGAGACACTTTTTACAAATTAAAAGCACTTAATACTATACAACTATATATCACATTTACGTTTGTCCGGAGTGGATATTGGAAAAAGGGAATTGTCATTAAACTAAACTCAGATCGTCTTGCAACGTTTTCTTTCAAACTTCCATGTCTTTTTAAGTGTTCAGATGTGTGTAGCTTGGCATAACGTACATGTGATTGGCATTTCACTATGTTTTTCTGGAAAGGAAACAAAATGAGAAGAAAAAAAAAATGAATGTTCAAAACTATTATCTGATTATTGGCTTGATGATTTAATATTGCTGATTCTCTTTCTTTCTTCGCAGACAAGTTCACAGTTTTGTCTTTTCTTGAGGCTCTAGAAGATTCTGTTTCTTCGTCGTTAGAGTCTGAAGAGGCCAGGCAAGATGATCAGGATTTACGATCTCAATCTTGTAATCGTCATGACCCAATGGATGAATCTCAGTAGCGTGGCTCTTTCTGCATCTTTTTTAATTCTATAGATACAAGAAACATTTGTTTTTTCCTCAAGACATATACTTCTGCTTGCAAAAGGAAATTTAAAATGCAGTGAAAAAAGGTGCAAAAATCATTTGAGATCTTTTAAGGCTATAGAGTGAATTATTAATCAATAAAATCTATTAGGTCATCTTCCCTTTTCTTCTTTGAAATTTTTTTCGTAATTTATAATCTCTATAATAATCATAATCAATGCATATATATATATATATATATATATATATATATATATATATAAGAAAAATGCTAGTTGATGTTTGAAAGTGTATTGGTGAAAAAATTATTAAAAATGTATTAATGCATTTTTTTGTATTTTTAAATATTTTTATTTTTTTTAACCTTTAATTAGTGCGGAACAAGACGTTTCTCTTATTTGATTTAAAGACAATCTTTCCTTACTAATTGATACTCTAGTAGTGATGAAAACTGATTTAATATATGATTGCATTTGATAGGTGACCTGTTGAGTTTAAACTTGGATTTTACTATTTAAACATGTCTTTTGATTTCTTGGCATTTGAAAGATATACCGAAAATTAAGATCTTGAAGATGATATTTTTCTCTGTTCCTATAGTCTGAATTCTCCTTTTAATAAAACAAGCTGCTAACATGTATGATCTTTTGTTTAAAATAAAATAAAAAATGATTAAATAATGTTAACTTCAGAGGAGTGGATATATTTGAAGTGGATATTGTATAAGTACTAGAAATTTGTTTCTTGACTACAATCTAATCAAAGTCAGGGGAGCCATTGTCCTAATAAACTAGTATGTTATAAGAGAAATGCGAATAACACTTCAACGTATTTTTAGTTATTAATTGAAATTTATTAAACATATATAAAATATACATGTTTCACTTTTAATTTAATTATTTTTATTCATATTTTTTAATTTTTAATAATTTTTAATTAATAATTGAGTGTTATTAGCACTTCTCATGTTAAAATGTTCTTTCTTGTTTTCTCAGCATAAATTTACTTAATAAATCCATTATGCTACCAAGTGTCTTGAGTAGGATTATTCAGATGCACAAATAATCATTATCAGTACCATAATATTGTCATAAGTATTTCATGTGTAGTTTTTTACTAGTTTTATGTTGACTGTCAAAACTTTAACATAAACTTCCTCTTCCTTTACCTGAGCTTGAGATTAACAATTATCTCATAGGCTTAAGTTTCAAAGGACAGTCATTACCTTAAAATCCACTAACCCGCACAACTTGAGATCAGTTAAAACACCTGAGTTTTTAATATACCTTCAAAAGTAACCTGGCATCACCCAGTTTACTTTTGAAGGTGCCAAGTGTTATGCTTTATTGAAGTAGGAAATTGCTAGGGCGAGCTAATACATTCTAGTTTCTATTTTCTAATTTTCAAGATCTATTTTAGCCGCGTTTAACTCGTTAACATGTTTTTCAGATCCTTATTAGGGTGCTTGTTTGCCGAGTCTAGTAAAGTTCTCAGAACATTCCCTACTGCAGCAAAGCCACCAAAGCCTCACATTATTGTAGCCTAAACCAATTGGCTCAAACCTTCGAATGAATCAATCAAATAATCTAAACATTGCATTAAAATATGCTATAATTATAATATCATTTTTACATTATTTGTAATTACTTAATAGATTAGCCGTTTTAAGTCACAAAATTTTTTACACTACCGAAAATTATGGCAATTAAATAATCCTTTTTTAAAAAATTAACTTACTTAGTAAATACGTATAACAACCTAAATTTAATGTTAGTTTATAAACCCTTAACGAGCCGCATGACCGATTAACACCTCAACAGAGATGACGCACAACACGCAACATGCTCAAGTAATGTTTGACAAAGTAATTAAACCGCAGAAAGTAGTTAAAAAAGAAAGAAAGAAAGAAAGAAAGAAAAATGTTTGACAAGTACTCTATAAAATATACCATTAACAACGTCCTGATGATTCAAAATTGGAAGAGAACCAATAGAGAATGCTTAAGCCACATAATTGCCTGGGCCACATACTGCTCAAAGCGAACAAACTCTGGAAACACCAACCGGATCCTCCTGTCAACATTTTGTACAAATTTTCATTGCCATCCTTACTGGTGAAACTTCAACTTCAAGAAGACTTGTCTTGGAGCACAATTTTTGGTCAGGAACTAAGGCATTTGAAGGCTGGCTTCTGCTTTTTTATCGTCTAGATTCGCTACCATAAACCTTGTTATTTTAGTATGGCTTTAGCCCTATGTTGGAGGGTCATTGCTGCCCTTCGGAACCTCATAAATGGTTATACTGCTACCACCACTTTGAAGTATTTGATCTTCCTCATTTTCCCCTTTTGACTGGAAGTTTTCAAGAATTTCAACAACCTGGCTCATCAGAGGTCTGCCTTTCGGGTTTTGGCTAAGACATTGGTATGCTAAATGAGCCACTTTTAATGCAGTTTTACTTGAATATTGCCCTTCTAGTTTTGGATCTAAAATTTTCAAAAGTTTTTTATTATGATTCAACAGCGGGCGGGCCCACTCAACCAAGTTGTGCTCTCGGCTGGGCCTGCTCTTGTCTAATGCTCTCCTACCAATAAGCATTTCAAGTAGCACCACCCCAAAACCATACACGTCACTTCGAGCTGTCAAATGCCCTGTTCACAATGAGAGAAGTTAGTTAACAGAAGCAATTCGACACTGATCTATGGAAGCACATGTTAAAATTGTGGCTTGATCATCACTTTCAAGGTTTAAAGAACTGTCAAAAAGAAAAACCGTTGGTTATCCACACTATAAATAGTTAACAATATCTATTGAAAGTTAGAAAATAAAAAGGGCGGCCAATTGCACAGTCTATTTTCAGGATTTGAACCTATGACCTCTAGGTGAAGACAAGGGAGCAACTTTATCATTGCGCCAAGACTTGCCCTCATATACTGAATGTTAGAATAAAGCACTAAAATTTGACTCAAGTGAACAATATTTATTATGTCTGACTACTTGGCAGAAAGTTGCTTTACATCCACCTTTTTGTTTTTCAATTAACAACGAGTGTCTAGAGAGAAAAATGAAATACAAATCAAAACTTAAGAATATAAGGTATATTACGACATCATGAAAACGAAGTTTAAATATAAGAAATCAAATATCATACCTATTCTAAATTGCTAATGTGTCACAAAACTCCAACCATGGTTGAAGAAATTTAGATGATCAAATTTCATACCAAGTTCAATTTGTTAATGCAGTGTTTCATTACAATGCACAGAAAAAAGGCTCAAACATTTACAATAATTGCTTATGTCAATTTACAATTTTGTAAATTGCATAAGAAATGCAAGAGTTTGTACTTTAATATCACACTCACGAATTCTTGATATTTCAAAAATTTTAGAAAAATAAGTGACAAAAAAATTCATCATAAATAGCTTCAAGTAACTCACCAGTCATGACATACTCAGGTGCTGCATATCCATATGTGCCCATTACTCGTGTTGAAACATGGGTTTGGTCCCCCATTGGCCCATCCTTTGCTAGGCCAAAGTCTGAAAGCTTTGCATTGAAATCCTACAGGTTTATGCCTCAATATTAAATGGCAGAAACCTAGACCAAATTCACTTGTTTGATAGTGTACACACATAAACACTTTTAAAAAGTTATGGCTTGTTTTTCTTCATCACTCTTTTCAGATTTGTTTTTTTAAAAAGAAAAAAAATGCTGTTGGAAGAGTTGTGATGCAATTGAATAGGACAGACTTATTTTTGATAAATAAAATAATAGAATTTTGCTCAAGACAGACATTAGAGGAAAAAAGCTGCTAGGCATAAGAATCCACTACAATGAACCGAAAAAACACAAACCACAAATCATACAAAGACATATCAACTAAACAGAGCTCATCAATCTCTCTGCTCTTTGATTAGTTAAAAGTCTCGAAAGAAACCTTTAGCTGATCACCATAAATATGCTAAAATAAAGCTTTATTCCAGGTCTGTTTAAATTGAAGTGTAGATCAGGTTGAATAATCTGGAAAGATATTTATAGAAGATGAAAACAGTTTTTCTTCTTCCCTTCAAATTTTGCAGAAGTTAAAAATATCTTATAATGTTAAAAAGAATGATGCTACAAATCTCAGATTCTAGTAAAAAGTTGGCAACAAAACTTAGTTTTCCACACACACACACACATAATAGAAGACAACAAACCGCATCTAGCAAGATATTAGAAGTCTTGAAGTCACGATATATGATAGGCCTTTCAGCACCATGAAGAAAAGCAAGCCCTTTTGCAGCATGTAAAGCAATCTTCATTCTTTTTGACCAGGTCAATGTTGAGCCCACTCCTAGTATCAATAAACATTCTGATCGTTAGGACTGTAAACTAGGGGTAGTATCCTTACCAATCTTTTTTTTTTATTATTCTGTTAAATGATCTGTGCAATGCTCTTAAGGAATTGGAAGGTAAGAATCGTTGATCAAGGTTTCTAAGTCAAAAAGAAGCTGTGGCAAAAAATGGGACACTCATTACATGAATTGACAAGACTGGATGCTTTACTTGATTATCAGCAAGTTAACTTTCAAAAAGTTAAGTACACCAAAATCACACAGAAAATTAAAGGATAATATATATTTACGGTGTTAAAGTTTTTGGACCTTGCTGCCCCAAGCAAACTGCATACCGAGAAACAGCCACCTACATAAAATGGATAGAGTGGCAGAGAGAGCAAAGGAGGACTGGAAGGTGGCCTAAACTATTTTGAAGCTCAAGGAAGGCTTCACACCACCAATCCACGAAGTGTTAATATAGTTGAGCAAGTCTTTTGGATAGAGATGTATATGTAAGCCTTGTTCTATAGCATGACAAAATACAACCTCTATGGCACAAATACAATGGCAAGTAATTACATGAATAATCCAATCTTAGCCTATAACCTTAGCTCGATTTAAACATCAGAAACATTTGCAATTTCATACGATGCTTACTGCGAAAAAGATGTTTCTCCAAGCTCCCACTTGCCATGTACTCATACACCAATAACCTGTGTTCATCCTCACAGCAATATCCAATGAGCTTGACAAGATTTGGATGACTGAATTGACCTAAATAGTTAACTTCCGCCTGCAAAGTAAACAAAACCATGTAGCTAAGTTTGGTCCTGTCTACTGCTTAGGGTGTGTTTGGAAACACATTAGAACACTTGTAAACGTGGATCCAACGTAAAAGTACAATTAGTACCGTTGAAGTAAACATGAATCCATGTCTATTAAAATGTGAATTCAAACACATTATTACTCACATCAAGCCTTTCTCATTACTCTAACTATCAACTATCATTATTCAAACACAAAATCAAATTCAATTACAAGGATGCTCGGCAACAAATAATCCATCATCTTCGCTTCTCAAGTTCCTCAACTCCTAATCCTAACTCCTATGTCCTAACCATATAGGTATACACCACGCCCATTTGTGCAATACAGAAAACACGAATTATGAAAACGAGTTGAATGTTAAAGGAGAAATAGGAAAATTTACATACGAGCCATTCCCTATCGCCTTGAAATCCTTCGCGATTAAGCTCCTTAATGGCGACTTCAGTGGACTTGTAACCCAACCTCACACTATCATCTATAACTCCTTTATATACAACGCCAAAGCCACCTTCTCCCAAAATGAAATCAGGACGAAAGTGTTTGGTTGCGAGCCTCAACTCCTCGTACGTGAAAATATCAACATTGCTGTATCCAGCGCTTTGACGGAGATCTACGATATTCATGGAACTGGAGACTAATGGAGCCGTGGATGAGACAGATTCATGACCTAATGATCCTATTTCAGACGCAGATTAACGTAAATCGTCGAAGACAGAGAAATCAAATCGGATCGGAGATCTGATCTCGAAGTTACCTGCAGGTTTAGGCTTTGCGTTTGAATCCGAGACGGTGAGATGCTTTTGTTCTTCAATGCTGAAGCAAATCCCCATGAATCTGGATCTTAATCGAAACTGCACAACACTACATTCACATTCACGTACATTTACGTCATTTCATGGATTCGAGATGGTTCGTCGAGAGAAGAAACCAACTCCGAAGGAATTGGAATTGAAACTTGAGTTTTAAGTTTTCAGTTTGAGTTTGAGAGATAGAGAAAGAAAAAGAAGAGAGAGAGAGAGAGAGCGAGAGAGAGAGAGAAAGCGGAGGGTTTGACTGAAACGAAGCGAGTGAAGAATGATTCAAAGCTCAATGGCATTGGGGGTTGGCTTCCAGCGAGAGGCGCCGAAAGCGCCAAATTAAGGGCTCCTAATCTTCTTTCGTTTTTGTCCCGTTTCCATTACATAAAATACCTTCCACTTGTACGTTATTTGCACCTTTGCCATTTCTTTTGCTATTTGTTGTTAGAAACGCAAGTAACATTTTCAATTTTTTAAAAAAAATTTGTTATTAGATATAATTTATTAAATTATGTTAATTTTATTTTTTATTTTAAAAAAATTATGAGTTTTATTAAAAAAATAAATACAAATAGACTAACAAATGTGTTATTAATATTTTTTATTTATATTTGAAAACCCGTTTATGTTTTTTTATGTTATAATATTTCTAAATTTATGCATGTACTTTTATTTTAATGAAATTATTTTATGGCATATTTTATGAATTTTTTATTGAACAAAATATATATTTTTCATTAACAAAAATATTTTTCGTACATTTTTTTAATTTAACTTTTATTTATGAATACCGTACAATGCGCGGTCACCCTTAATTAATCTGCACCGATTTTGCCGTCTCTGAGAAAATGACAAGTTATCGATTCAACGTTGATCCCAACTCATAAGAAAATAAAATTATAGGCATTTGCATGGAAGACTAGCATGTCTATTCCAACATACCAACGACATTAAGACATTTCATTATTTATGTTTTGTTTGAAAGTAAAGAGTGAGAAAAAAACAAAATTAATTTTCCTTGTTTAATTTACAAATGAGAGAAAAACATAATTGTTAATGACAATTGAATCCTTAACATATTAAAAAATATGTTAATAAAATTATTTTTTTAATAAATGAACCTTTTCTCCCTTATTTCCTCTCCACTAAAAGAGAGAATTTCTCTGTAGACTCGGTATTTCTTTTTTCCTTTTTCCATTTTCCCTCCTCAAACAATAAAAAGAAAAGCATTTTCCCCTTACTTCTTACTACCTATTTCTTTTTCACTCAATCTCTATCAAACAAAATAAAGGCTTATCAACGACCAACGAAGATTCATTTGCTTTAAAATATTTCATTGATTGAAATTGACTTTAAGATGAATGAGTACAGTAGATTATTTGTTTTTGTGCTCTTTAATTAGGTATCTGGGCATCACATGTGAAGGCCATAAATACTATCCACAAATAATAATTCTAAATAGTCTTGACTTGTGAAGTCAATGTTACATATATTTTTTTTAAAATATCAGTTTGACAATCCTTATGATAAAACAATTACTGAATAACTCTGATTCCTCCGAAATTGCATTGGGCATGGTATGGTAACGAGGCATCATAGGGGCATTGAGGCAACAAGAGTTCGAGTTACGGGTGGTTAAGCATTTGGTTTTTATGCGTAAAGACTGGGCGACTATAATCTCCCAAAGCCCATATGGGAAAAATGTTTCGATAGGATGAGTAGTTGAGGGTACAATTCCTCAAAAATGCTCCAGTGATCTCCTGTACATGGCAATGAAAGATATTTTAAAAGAGAAAAATGTATATGTGCATACTATGTGATCGCTTAATTGTCATCACTTGTAAGTTACCTGTTGTGGGAAGTCTCCATCTTCCAATTGTGAATTGATTAATAACCTTATTCCGCGCTCTGTGGGTGTTGGATCTATCTCAACCTTTTCGTCACCAAATAAATCATTTTTTTATTAGCACAATAACAGGCTACATGGGTGAGAAAATTTTGTTCTTTCATTTAATCCTCAACTATATGTCATTCTGATGTAATCTTACTTTCTTTTTTAACGAAAATCAAACACCCCCTAATTTCTCATACTAGTGTGATTTGCAAGGATTTGCCATTGGCTTTAGGGGCTTACTTAAATACAAGCTCAGTCAACAAATAACATTCGCTTAATTTAAATAAATTTCTCAACAAATATTTATAAATAAAAAAATAGAATAAATCAATATTTTTCATAAATTAAACTTATAAATATTAATTTTTAGAGAAGTCAAATAATTTTAATTTTTAATGTAAGTTTGAAAAAGTTTTCCCAAGATAATACAAAATTACCACTGAAACAACTGAAGATTTTTGTTTACTAACCTGCCCTGCATCAATAAGGGACATCAAAGCCCATGAAGTTTGAACTAAGTTTGCCCTGTTCCCTTCTAGATTTGTATATACCTGTTTGACCAAGAAAGCATCTGAGTATATTTGTGGGTGTAGATAGAAATTTTCCTCTTTCTGCAGAGTCAATTTTGCTATTCAAAGCACTTAAATACCTTATTTTGGCATGACAAGTAACTCTTTCTCCAGGATTTTGTGTTTTTTCAATGTAACTGATTGGTTTAGAAATGCAGTGATCCACTTCCTTTCTTCTGTGCTTTGGGTATAACTTTCTAAAGAGAGCCAGTCCCTGCATTGCTGATGCTGTACATTCTACATACCTATTTCACAACATGACACGTAGTGAGTAGCATGAATTGGCCAATATAACTCGTCAACAATATGCTTGCCCCTGTAATCCTACTCCATCTCAATGAAAGTGCCTTCAAATAATTCCGTTGGATTGAAGTTCTGCAGAAGTAGAAATGATTAGTTAGGGAGCATTTGGAGGAACAGCTTATAGAAAGTCTGAATCTATAAGTTCTTTTTAAGCTCATTTCAATAATTTTCTGTTTATTAGTATAGTTTGTTAAAATAAGCTCTTTTCCACTTATTCTAAAAGGTTTTATAGTCAAGTTTATAGAATAAATGTATCTATAAAAAGATTTTATTGGATAAGAATTTAATTAAGTTATATTTCCAAATTAATGTTTTGAAATATCCATTTGACAAAATAGGACAATCCATATTTTCTTACCTCTAACCAACGGCTCCCAACCAGTGAAACCGCCATTATTGCTCTGTAGTTGAACGGGACATGTTAAAGGTGTTGTACTTGTATGAATAAGTACTATGGTATGGTCACATTGAAGAGAGAAAGATATAATATTTATCTAACAAAGACGTATCTTATTGGTTGTCAGTACTATTAGTTAAAGTTGATAAAAATTGTACCTCTCTCTCTGTAATGTGATCATATTATATTATTTAATAACCCTAGAGGATTCAAATTATGCTAGTTAAGCACGATACAATTAGAAAGTGCATGGATCATTGTAATTAAAGAAAAACACACCTGAAGAGATAGAATGACATTAACTGCAACGTAGAACCGTTCATCTCCATTTTCTCGCCAACAAATGTATTTGCAGTATGTCAAACAATAATACTAAGTGTTGATAATCAATATCGTAAGAACATTTAAAAAACAAAAATAAAAAAATTATTTAGCACATACATTTTTAAGGTACATAAAGGTATTAAAGATGATGTGTTTGATATTTTTTAAGTAACATCTTTGGAGTACTATTTAGTAAGACCCATAATTAAATTGAAAAATGTTAACATTAATATTTACAATTAATTTTAAATAATTAAAAATGATAAATTTATATAAAAAAAAGTATAATAATTTTTTCATGAACCTTTAGTCCTTCTGCCGTGCAGTCAGAGACTTGCCAGCCATGATCCTGCATTGAGAATGTCCGTGCCCCTTTGGATATGTGTCCATGCATTGCTTTGAAGTCACCTGATGGGTTTTCACGAACCTTTAAAATAGAAAAAATAAATGGCATTAGAACTCTCCTTCAACAGTCATTTTATGGTTTTGAGGGTTTTTCGAGTCTATGCATATTAAGCGCAACCTGGGAAGCCTTCACGAAGTGGTGTGCTTTCTGAAGTGTAGGCACATACTCTTCACTCAAATCACATGACAGGATTCCTTGTATAGCAAATGCAGCATCCCACAGTTGAGACCCAAAAGACTGTAATTTTTCAGTGAATAAACATAAGCAGTCAATGCACGTCCTATTTGTTAATAGGTGAAATACTCATTTTAATCCTTTAAATTGGATATGTCCATTATTTTAGTTTTCAATTTTACAAAAATCTCATTTTAATTCTTATTTTTAAAAATAACATTCATTTTAAGCCTTTTTTATTTAAATTAATGACAAAAAAACTGAAATAAGTGATTTAAAAATATTAAAAAATAAATTAAATTTTTTATAAATTAAAAATTAAATTGATAAAGATTTATAATTTTAAGGACTAAAATAAATATTTACTCTTTATTTTAATTTTTTAAAAGTAATAACTTTTTTATTTGAAAGATTAAAATATTCATTTCATTTTTATATTCTCAGTATAATAAATATTTTTTTATAAAACTTCATTAGTTCTAATTGCTTAAAATTAGTTGTAAGACCTGATATTAACACTTCTATTTTAATAACAATACATATTCGAAAAGATTAAAGAAGACTCTAGCCTCTAGTTATTGAAATTTAAAAGGTGATACCAATTACCTGGATTTTCAAGCCATCTTCCGCAAGCCAGAAGTAATCAGGGATTCTAGCCAAATGAAGTTTGAATGCATCTGAGTTGGGATCTTCGACCCAACACGCAATCAAACATATGACCTGACATGGGAGTAACCATGCATGCAAAACTCCATTAATTAATCAACCTCGAAATAGTAATAATACTGTCATTTATTGGTTGAGATTGTTACTGTGTTTACCTTCATTACGCTGCCAAAGCAAATGTATTTACTATTCTCAACCTCATAATGTTATATGATTAATTGTGACTTCTAGTGCCTTTTCTCTCAGCATGGAAAAGGGCCAGCAGTAGTTCAGAAGAGGCTCTACCACTTGATGAAGGGATGCCCATACCATGTCTTGAATCAGAGAATGTGGATAATAGAGATCCTCCTGAAATTGCATATTTCATTCCCTTGGACAAGCAATAAATTTATATAAAGGATTGTTAAAGAGCTAAATATTTTGACATATGTAACAAAACCTTAGCAACTGTATTTCGGGCTTTATTCCAATTGATTTGATCATAAGGCCGGTTGTACATTTCTTC